AATAATAAAATAAATAATCTAAAATAAATCACTGAGATTTTCTTAGATATATTTTGCTTTAGGTTAGGTAAATATAGAAATCATTAAGAGCGAACTATACATTGTATCGAGTGTTGCCTGTGCCGTGCACTTTGTGTTTTGTCGCGCATATTAATCATAAAGCGGACACGCGTCGCTTTACGCACGTCTGCCGGCTGCGGATGCGGATGCGGACGCGGATGCGGAAGACAAGAGACTCTAGCAAGAAACCCGACACTCCCCACTCCGTCTTGAGTACTGTCCGCGTATTAGATTTAAGCGCGTTATAAATGAGCCAGGCCAATACACACAAACACACATAATTTTGGGGATCCTCCTTGCCTTTTACTTTGGCTTTCGTCTGCTCATAAATCAAAATTTTTCGTTTTTGGCATTTTTAAAGGCCATAGAACTAACACACACAGTGCGGAGTTCTTTTCGGTAGCAGCGCGGGGTTTTTCCGGGCGCTTTTTTTCCCCCCGTTTGAGGTCCGGGAAAATGGACAGCCCTTTGCTGCTGCTTTTACTGTCCATGACGGATGATTGGATTTTATGTTGATTACGAAAATGTCTGCCACTGTATTTGTGTGTGCAAGTCGAATTTTTGGCTTTGCCTTTCACAGATATCTTTTATTTCCCCCTGACAAAAAATTAGGCAAAAGTATTGCCAAGGGGTAGCGAAACGAGGTATTCGAGGCTAATGGGTAAAGTTGGTCAAAAAAGTGGTTATAATCGTTTGTAATATACAAAAAAAACTAATAAATAAATAAATGTAAAAACTAAAAAATTAATTTTTTTAGAATTAGTAAAACAATTATGTTGTGGTAAATAAATGTTAAAATAAATAATTAAATGTATAAATAAATAAATAAGTGTATGAATGTGTTAATTAATACGTAAATGTATAAATTAATAAATACCTATAAAAATTAATAAATAAATGTATAAATTAAGCATACAGAATTTTAATTTTTAAGTAATCAATATAATATGCCCTACAATTCTTAACTTTTTCCAAAACCCAAAAAAAATTTAAATAAATTGTATGATTAGTTTTAGTTTGGTAGTTTCTCAAGGTTTTGACCTAATTTCCTCAAAATTTGTAAATTCAACTAAGTTAGGAACTATTTACTGAGTATTAACCTATTCAGATCCTGATATTAGATGGCTTTTCCTTAGTTTTACCCCCACCACCTCGCTACTCCCTACTCGTATTACCAATTTTAGTCCAGCCCGAACTGCGGCATTATGTTTTCGGGGGTTGTGTTGGGTGGAGTGCGGTGGAGTGAAGGAGTTGGGGTAACTGGGATATATCACATGGATATTTCGGTTATTATTGGCCATATTTTAATGCTCTCTCTCGCTGCTCCGTCTGTTTTGGGCCAACCGAGATTTGTCGTAGTCCATTTTTGATTTATTTATGTGTTTATTTGCCTTGTTTTTGGCTTTGCGTCTGTGATTACTCATGGCTCCATGGCTCCCAGTTTGCCCGTTGTTTTTGGGGTTCTGGGTTCTGGGTTCTGGTGACTCGGGTTCGATTTGCATATTATTTTATTTGCATTTTACATAATAATTTAATTTTATTAGTTTTGCTGCATCATCGACATCATGATGACGATGTGCGGAGGCTCAAGTTCGGCAATCCTAATGGCACCTTAGTGGCCCCTCTTCTTCTTTCACATCGATTATATGAGGGTTCATTGGCCGACATTTCATCGTGGTTTAATTTTATTTTACTTTTTTTCGGATTTCTTTTTTTTTTTTGCCCTATTGGGGACACTTAATGCTAGCAACGCCTACTCGCCATTCGCTGGGTGTATACTATAATTTCTAGTTGCATTTTTGGGCATTTATTTTCATGGTTTACTTGTAGCATATTTCGCTGGCCACCACATTCATTTAACTTTGCGGTGCAGGGTGTTAAAAAGGGGGCAAGGAGGTAAGGAGGTGGGCGGCCGGGGGTCAGGGGTCAGCGGGTTGCTGCAGGAATTGCCCGACAATTGCCGCAGTCTTTGGAGAGTCTTCCCAGCGCGACGGGCAGTCGTAAATTAGTTGCGAATGGCAGCAGTAACACCATCAACAACAACAATCACACCAACAACTACAACAACAGGGGCAAAAACACAAACTACAACTGAAAAGTTCCACCGTGCAGAGGGAGAAAAGTTCAAAAAGTCGAAAGGAAAAGTTGGGGAAAAGTGTGAGGTGAAATTATTATCAAGTGCTTGCCACGAAATTTGCGGTAGCCTTAAATTGGTGCACCTGTTTGCGTTCAAGCGAGAGTGTTCTAATTTAACATATCCACATGGAAGTATATGTACTTTGCTCGACCAATTATTCCAATTTAAAAGTTGCCCACTTATTCACAGTGAGACCCGAAAGCAGCAGTTTTAACTAATTAGCATGCACATCAATTACACCAATTGCAGAAATATTTAAAAAAAAATACACCAATAATGCACATATGTACAACATGACAAATTTACAGCATTAACACCAATGTGAAATGCAGTTTGTAAAACCAATAATAAATTTAGAAAAACTAAGTACAAAATTATTTTAAAAAGTACACCAACAATGAAAATACAACATAAAAAATTAACAGCTGAACACCAATGAGAAATGCACTTGGTAAAATCAATAATAAAACCACACCAACAATATAAATATTAAACAATTACACCAATTACAAAATTATTTTAAAATATTCATCAACAAAAGAAATATCAATAGAAATCTTAAATAAAGCAATAGAAAAAAAAGCTCAAAAACAACATTTACACTAATAAGAGGCTTACTAAATTAAAAAAATTAACATACATATTAAACAATGAATACTAAAAATACAAGTATCAATCCTTATTCTTGTGCAAAATTCCGATAGCAGAACTAAATATTTAAAAATTAAGCTACACCGACCACTACAATAATAACAACAAATTGCATGATAATTATACTCATATTAAAAGCACCTCAACAAAAGCTAGTTGCATTCACAAATAAAATAAATACTTTGCTAACGACGTTTACGAACCACAGGTACAATGGAAATAGTTTAAGACCCCAGACAAAAGACATCAATGCCATTTTAAATGCCACTCCAAATCTATTTTTTCCCCACATTAAACAGTAGTGAAAATAAAAACACATAGTCTGAGGCCCAAAAAGAATATAAATACTAGAATTCCGAATGACTTGCAGGCAAACCCGAAAATCTGACTCAGAAGCCTTAACGTTCGATGCAATTTGGCCGGCTTCTGGTGGCGCTTGCCATTACCAATTATTTGCGCTGTTATCGCGACCTTCTTGTGCTGACCCCAATTTGGCCAATAAGGTTTCCTTGTCGAAATGAAAAGCAAGAAAAAAAACCTAAGGGAAAAAATGAAAATACAAAGGAAAAGGGAGCCGCAAGCTTCGAGTTTCGAGCTTGTTGATTGCCTTCGCGTCTTGGCGATGGCAGCTGATTGAAGTGCAAGGTAAGGCGGCGACGAGGGGGACGCCTCTGACAATTTCTCTCAGTGTACGGGATGGCGGGGGGGAGGGGGTACACTTTGCAAGTCCTTGGGCAGGTTTCTCTTTCACTTTTAATGGCAACTGGCATAATGAGCTGCTATGTGTGCCATGTGCCACCAGGCCAAATTCGAACTTGCTGCATTTGTTTTGGCCACTTGGGACCTGGCTGGAAATCGACCCCCCTTTTGCCGTCCTTTTTTTAAACCCGCCTTTTGGCCAGCATTGACACAATAAAATATTTGTTGTCGTTGCATTTATTGACGCATTTGCTCTTTTGCATATTTTGAATGTTTCCATACTCTTTGCGAAGGTATGTCAATTGGAGTTAAAGCTAATCCAGTAAACGACCACCGAGAAAAGTTATTCCAATAAAACTCTGTTCAAAAATACACCAATCAAAAGACTCCAATAAAAGTGCACATTAAATGTACATACAATAAAATAAAGATATAATATATATATATATAAATATATATTATTACACCAGTAAAAAATTTAATAGATTTTATATAAAATGTATTTAAAAACAGTGATTGAGAGACCTAAATATTTATTTTTGTAAGTTCTACACCAATGAGAAATACACCAATATAAAATCTCAGCCAATAAGAATTACACCAATAGAAAATACATCAAAAAAATAGTAATAATTAATACCACTAACCCATTTTTTTAAGAAAAATCTACACCAATAAGAATTACACCAATAAAGGTATACCATTGAAAAATACCGAAAACAATCATCGAAATACATATTTTAGTAAAATTTCATACGTTTTACACCAATAAATTTACACCAATCAAAGTTACGGAAATAAATATTACACCAACTACACCACAATGTACAAATTAAATTTACAAACAATAAACAGTAGTTGTAAAACAGAGTATTCACAATTTCCGCACCTCGTATACCCCATTTCTCTCCGCTTTTTGCCGTTGTTGCTGGGGCTCCGCGACATGCGACAAAATAAAATGTAATTTCTCTTTCAGGCCCAGTTCCAGTTCCAGTTTGCAGTTTGCAGTTCCCAACCCTGGCCAACATGCGACAATTCAATGCTGACAACAACGACGAAAAATGGCAAAAATAACAACGATAGTAACAACAACAACAACGAAATATGCAAATCGTAGTTCGTAGTTTCTAGTTGGGCGAGGTCAGGCATACGGGGTTTGGGTTATTGGCCAAATTGGAGTCAAGTGCAATCGTATTCCCGCCCCATCGAACATAAATAATTTAAGAGTGTGAAAACTATTTTTTTTTCTCCTCTCTGGCCCGTCCGGAATTTTGTTTAGATTGTATTTCGGTTGACTGGAAATAATTACAGCAACAAACAAAAAAAGAAAAAAGTAAAGCTAAAACCGAATTTCGTTATTGTTATAATCTCGTTGAAATGCGATATTGTGATTTTTAATTGTTATGCTTTTTTAAATGATTTTATTTTGATGTTAGTTTTGTGTCATTGCCATTGATTTTGCTAGCCCATTTAATAGTTTTTACAGCGCACTGCACTTTGTTTATTTTATTTATGCCGTTCATTTATATTCAAATATGGGGCAGTGACATTTTAATTTCGGATAATTTGCATGCCAAAGGGATTGGCCTGTTCGATTTTAAATCATAGCATTTGCAAAGGTCTTCATTAAATTGAATATTTCTTGGGTAAACATTAGATTTCGCACAGTAATTGCTAATTACAGTGTGTAAATAAAGAGGGGCTAGTAAATTAATTTTAAAATTACACAGCGAACAGGCTTAACATTTCTCTTTAGATATATTTTTACGATTTTACAATACAGATAATTCTGAATTTTTTTTTACGATTTTGTGCTACTTCTTAATATCTAATAATATTATTTTATATGATTCCTTTGCTATATTCCATAGAGGCTGGTATTTTGGCGGGCCAAATCCAACGGCTCAAATGAAGGGCATTGTATTGAAACATTGCCCCTCAGTCAATCCGCCGAATTAGGCCGTCAGAAGATCAGCCTCCTGCTTCTTAATCTCCGAAAAGTTGGGCGAGTAGTTGGGTGAGCTGAAGAAGCTGGACCTATTGGAGATTTTGGTGCGTAGTCGCTTGCTGGTCACCAGCTGGGACATCTTGCGCAGCGTTATGTAGTCCTTGTTCAGCATGCGGCACAGTTCGATGAAGGTGCAAAGTTGCGGCGACTTCAGCTGCGTGGCCAGTTGGTAGGCGGCATTGAGAACCTCCGTTTGCCGCTCGTACTTGTGCAGCACTGCGTGCGATTTGGCCATCAGCATGGTGCCGAGGAACTCCCAGATCCGACTATTGCACATCCTGGCCTCCTCGATGGCCTTCTGGGCGTAGGACAGGCTCTGGACGAAGTGGTTCTTCTGCATGTACCGATCGGCCAGTTCGTGGAGCAAGTAGCTCCTTTCGATCGGCAGGCGGGCGAAGAGCAGACGCTTCTCCAGGTATTCGATGTAGTTTCTGGCGGCAAGGGAGATCATAAATATAAATTATATATCATGTTAGTTAATAACTCACTGATCGGCCAATCGGTCGGTGCTCTGCTTGTCGGGACCCGCGTAGGAGTAAGTCGACCGGTCGCCGAAGATGAACTCTGAGTGCTCCAGCGGCTTGGCGCTGGGTATGTTGAGCAGATGGCACATGGCGCCCTTATCGTAGGGCGTCACCCGCGTGGAGGGCAGGCGGTAGCCCTGGCACAGGCTCAGGCCCAGGTGGTTGTACACCTCGTTCATGAATTCCGCCTTCCAGGGCATCAGCCGGTTCGTCTTGATGACCACATAGTTGCCCATCACGTCCTCCACGAATTTGCGCAGGCGCTAGGCGGTACAAAATAAAAATAGTGAGTAAACCTAAGCTAATAAAAAAGTGATGAAAAAAATCGGGAAGCCAAAACCGCTTAGCATAAAAATCTTAAAAGAAATCCGAAATTCGGAAAATGTATAACAACAATAAATAATTTCATATAATAAAAAAAATCAATTTTAAATTAAAAAAATATCTATTATACATTATAATAATATAAAGTAATTTTATATGGTAAAACAAATAAATGTACAAACTAATTATATTTTAAATTACAAAAATATCTATAATATAATAGAAAACTATAAAAATAAAAGAAATTGAATATAATAATAATACAACATAAAGTAAATAATTTTCTATAATAAAACAAATAAATGTACAGATTGTAATTGTAATATTAAAAAATATTTATAATAATATTAGCCTTAATCTTATTAAAAAAATAAACACTAAAAACAAAAATAAATATTTAAAAATCTCTAAATACTCCCACAATCCTCGACTCACCTTGATGTCATTCTTTTTCCTCAGCACCTGGATGGTTCGCAGGATGCTCTGCATATTCCTCCTGGTCTGGTACTGAATCCTAAACAGATTCGAGTCCCGCATGCGAGCCTCCATTCGTGGATTCCGCTGGAAGTACTCATTGTACATGGGGCTGCGTGCCTGTAGCATCCGCGTGAAGGTCTTCAGCCGCCGAAAGGAGTACTCCAGATTCTCGGTTATTTGCGGCGAGGAGCCAAAGTTGTTGTTCAGCAGGCAGTTGGGATTGCGACGTAGTGTCTTCAGGAATATAAAATCCGTCCAGTTGCGACCGAGATAGTTCTGATAATAGATCTTAGTTTTGCGACGCCTGCGCTCGCTCTCCAGCGGCGAGAGCATCTCCTCCCTGCGAATCCTGCTGCTCTGGACGTCGCACTCGTTGCGCTCCTTCAGGATTTTCCACAGCGGTCGCTTGTCCGCCTTCCTTAGCTCCTCCTGCTGGTGCTCATAGAAGCCGGGCAGCTGCGACGAGTGCTCCATGAAGAAGTTGGCCAGACTGTAGCCCGTGCAATCCTTCAGATTCTCATCGACCAACAGGATGCGATTCTCGAAGGCCTTCATAGCGGTGCCCGCATGCCGCCGCACATTCTCGTGCAGCAAGCTCTTGTTGTCCTCGAACCGATTCAGATCGTACAGCGCATCGGCCAGTTCCATCGACACATTCGCATTCCACACCTCGCTCGCCTCCGTAGCCCGCAAACTATCAGCCAAGGCGCCCAGCGGCAGGGCCACCGATCTCTGGAACTTGCTGCGCAGATACAGCGCCTTGTGATCGAGCACCTCGTGCTCGTGCTCCTCGCCGATGCACCTGTCGAAATACGTGTGCGCGAAGCTGTTCTTGCGCATCCTCGCAAAGTACTGGCCCCAGCTGCGGTGGATCCAGCGCTGCTGCTCCGCCGGCCAGTCGATGGTCTCCCAGGGCCGCTGATTCGCCGCCGGCACCGCCAGATTCGAGTCCTTCATCCTTCGTCGTCGTCGGTCAAGTAAAAAGGAGGTAATAAAAAATAACTACAAAAAATGAAAACAAAACGAATTTGTCTCGCCTAAAACTGAAATGAAAATGAAGGAAAAATCATGAGTACAGGGTGATGAACTTAAAAATACTTAAATAAATAGAAATATCTCTCTATGCCAAGGAATTACACATAATCATAAGGTTTATCGACAGTTTATGTAAACGAAATGTAAGTACTTCAAGGCCTTTTTCTCGATCAACAGGCAAAGCTCGGGCCTAGGTGTATAATATCATATATAACATTTCAAGTGTGCGGTAAAATAATATATATCTCCATCAAAGACAGCCAAAAACCATAGAATCCAAAATACAGGGTGGTGTGTACAAATATCAGTGCTCGCTGGGATCGCTGGGTCGCTGGGATCATCACTTCGCCTGGAAGGGATCCTTCTCGATGTATCTGTCCAGCCGCTGGGCGCCATCGGGCTCCACCTGCGACAACTGGCCGAAGCCCTCCTCGTCGACGAAGCAGATCTCATGGCCATCGGGATCGCCGAGGATCACCACCGAAACGGTGGCCTTGCCCGGCGTGTCCAGCGTGATGAGGGGCGTCAAAATGGTGCCGCCGGCCGCCTTGACGGCCTCCTGAAGCGGCGGCTGCTGGGCCGCCGGAATGGCGAAGGCAACGCGGCCATAGGCCTTGGCTCGGTTAATGGCCTCTGCGATCTGGGTGATCTGCAGCGAAGCCTGCTGGGCGCCGTAACTCAAACGCAGGCCGCCCTCGCTCTCCTCGAGCAACTGCAGCTGGAGTAAGTCGTGCCAGTACTTCCTCGAGCTCTGGAGATTGCTCACATGCAGCTCCACCGACTGGACAGGATCGGAGCTGGCCGACTGCTGATCGATCACATAGAACTTGTAGCCATCGGGCGAGGTAAGCAGACTGCCCGGCTTGCCAGGCACCTGGGTAACAGGATACGAGTGCTCGGCGGCCCGGGAAAGAATGTCCTTGGAATGTATGGTCACGCCGCCAAAGTCGTTGCCTAAAAAATATTGAAAGTATTAGAAATTAGAAGCGGTTTTTAATAGAGCTTGAAAAAACGTCGACATTTTGATATCTCTCTATTTAAGTTGTGTTATCTCTTCAAAACATCGATTTCATCGAATCTGTGTTGTCAAAATATCGAAAATATCGATCATTTAGATCTAGATTTTTATCAATCGTTTGTAATATTCAATTTTCTTTACATATATCAAAAAATATTTAACAAACATCGGACTCATGAACTTTCTTTATCGGTTAATTTCGTGATTAACAGAAATCTTGAAGTAGGTTTTCAAATAACTTCACTACTGATTAATCGACTGTCTGATGGATTTCAGCCTCCTTAAAGATAACTATTTGCCTATTCATAAAGCGCAAGATTATTAACCTATTATCTGCAGGGAATTGTGCTCGGTCACTTATCAAATAGCTATTAATAGTGGAACACTTAATTATAAAGTTGTCGAAGATAGAACAATCCATTTGTGCGTTACGATAAGCCAACCGAATCGTAGCAAACACAATTTTGTGGAAATCATTGAGATTTATCAAAGGTGAAAGGAGCTTATCATGTGATATTTTTAGGATGTTTTTGAATTAGAATAAACTAGGTTAAATGCCTTGAATCTAGAAAACTATAAACCATTATTTAAAAATCTTGAAAAATATATACCTTGATTTTAAAAATTAAAAAAAATTAAACTTTTTTTTTAGATTACTATTTTCTTTAGATTAAATATGAGAAATAATTTAAGGGAGATCGTATTTCTAATTTATTTGAACCCCATAAGGGTTAAGTATGCACTTGGCCTAAGGGTTGAGGACATTTAACCCTTGTGGGACATTTTTTTGTATTTTTTAAAATATCTCACCCATTTCGTAGCTGCTCACTCCATAGTTATACGTCAGTTCGATGACGAAATGCGAACTTTCGGGTCCATAGCCCACCATCGTTTTGCTCCACCGGTTGTCGTAGGGCCTGCCAAGGGTTAAGGATCGCCGGTTAGTCCTGTCCCCACACCACACACACACACATATAGTCATCTCCCTCGCACTCACCCGTTGCACTCGGCATCGCATCCCTCCTTGAACTCCTCATGCCGCAGCACCTGTTGCCGTGCGACAGAGCGAGATGATAGTAGGGGGGGCGGAGAAGGAGAAAGAAAAATTAAAGTAATTTTAACATTGTCATTATATGGCATTATCGGACATCTGGGCTTTTTAATTAGCAGCCGCGCGTCGTTGACACGTCGTTCAGATAAAACTACGGCCCAGACATAACAACTTGCCGATAAGAAAGTCTGCCGATTTTGAAAGATATCCCCCTCCCCTTTCACATTTCCCATCTTCCCTCTCCCTCGCTCTCACCGTCATTCCCAAGATTTGGCGAAAGAAAAATGAGTTTTTCGCGCGATCTCCGATCTTGAAAACGTAGTGAAGTGCACGTCCCGAAATGGCCGACATCTTTGGGGGGTTTTGTTTACTGGGACTTTGATCAGCGTGCTCCGAGTTTTGGGGGAAAATGTTTTACGAGCGAATTTCGACCTTGTTTATGTACATTCAGGATGGTGTGACCGTGGGCAGAGCGCCAAAAAATACCAACTCTCAGGGAGCTTTTGCCGTTATCGATAGGCAGCTGTGAGGTATCGCTGGGGCGCACATCTCTAGATTTTTTAAAATTTAATTAACAAAAATAATAAAATTTAAAAATATTAAAGAATAATATATTAATGAAAATAAACGTTTATTAAAATACAGATTTTAAATTACTTGCTTTAAAAAAATATTACTAAAATAAAATTAATAAAGAAAACCTCCTACAAAAAATGTTTTTTTTTTAATCTGCACCCCAAAGAAAAACCAAACTTTCAGTAAACTGGTGATATAAAAATGATTTAATACATTGTAATAGCAACGTTAAAAAAAGCTTAAAAAGCCAATTATTTAACAATTTGTGGCTAAAAAGTAGCGCACATCGTGGAATATTCAGCCATGATGCCAAGATTTCTTGGCCCATTCATTTTAATTATATATAATATATAGTAGATAGGTGTATAGCCATCACAAGGCCTCTGAAGTGCTCATTTTGTAGTCATGGAAGGGCTCTTCTTGTGCTTCTCCATCCTCCTCTAATTTGTGCTGCCATTCGGGGTGCTCCTCCTCCTGCTTTAGGTGCTCCTCCTGCTCCTCCTGGCAGCCTTGATCTTGTTGTCTCTCCTTCTGCCGCTTCCTCAGCCGCTTCCTCCGATCCTCCAGGCTCTCTGAATCTGAATTTGAATCTGAATCCGAATCGGAATCGGAATCCTCCTTCTCCCTCCTCTTCCTGTGGCGCCTTAGGTGCAACTCCAGCGTCTCCAGCGAAACGCAGGGCTCTCCACCTCCTCCCGCCGCCGCCGTCTCCGCGTGCAGCCGCTCGTGCCGCACCTGCGAGGCATGCGTGCCGAACTTCTTCTCGCAATGGCCGCACTGGAAGCGCCGCTGTCCCTCGTGCACCACGCGCACATGCCGACTAATGGCGCTCTTGTGGCGAAAGAGCTGCGGACACTGCTCGCACTTGAAGCGCTCCCAGGTGGGATTGTGGGTTCGCAGGTGGGTCAGTAGCTCGGTGCGCGTCACCTTCGCCACGCCGCAATGCTCGCAGACATGCTCCTTGCGCTGCGCATGTCGCTTCAAGTGCTCACCCAAGGCATTCTTGGTGCTGTACTGACGATTGCACAGCTCGCAGATGAGGTCGCGCAGCTCCTGCTGCAGTTGCTCCAGCTGCGGATGGGCGTTGCGCATGTGCGAGCGCAGCTGCTCGTAGCGGGTGAAGCACTTGTCGCAGCTGCGACACAGGAAGGGCTTCGTGTAGCCCTGATGGACGCTGCGAATGTGGGCTTCCAGGTAGGGCAACTTGTACACCTGCTTGCCGCACTGATCGCAGGCCAAACCGGCGCGTCGCTTGCTGCTGTGGCCGCCCGGCGGCTGCTGCTCCTCCTCGAGGGTTTCCTCCTGATCTTCTCCTGGCTTTTCCTCCTCCTGCAGGCTTTCCTCCCGCTTCTCCTGCTCTAACGCCATTTCCTGCGAATTTTCCTGGTTGACCTCCTCCAGCGGCTCCTCCTTCACCTGCGGAAGCCCTAAGAAGGTATTAATTCCAATCTTAAGAGGGTAAAACCACATATATATCCACCCTGTCCAAGGGAATCATCGCCGGCGTTTGCCACTCGCTGAGCTTCTGGCCGGATTCCCTGGCCACCTGGCGCAGCTCCTCCAGGCAAAGCACCGCATTGTGGCACAGATTGCAGATCTCCGTCGGCCAACCCGGCGGCTCCTGGGGTAAATTTATGTCGAGGAATCTCTGGAGGATCGCAAAGAGTCGGGAATCTGGGAGGCGAACTTGCATTTCCTTCTCCCGCTCGCGCAGGTGGCGCAGGCAGATGCGGCACAGGCGCGCCAGGTCGGTGAAGGCGGCGGTGAACATCGCTGCATGAGAGAGTACAACGCCCAGTTTCGGTCAGCCAGCCCTTTTATTTTATTTTATATTATTTTAACTACACCCTACGACTATCGCCTATCGGTCGTCGATATCGCAAACTATCGAACCTGTTGCATCGCCAAACGGTCTCTTTAAAAACGAAGGCGGGCGGGTGTGTGTCCTCGCTAACTTAGCCAAGACACCCTTTAACAGAAATGTTAACTTACAACTAATCTAAATGTTATTTTAACTTAACACTAACTAATTTGTGACCCAATTTTTTTATTTTTTGGGAAAAATCAGAATCTTTTTTTTTGGTAAACATTTTTTTTTTATTATGGGTATTTTGCTGTAACTTGGACAAAAATGGTTCCAAATCGAAAGAGCGTACTGTTTTGTACAGCTTACAACCTAATAATTAACACCAGTAAACTTTCCAATTGATTTAAAGAAATAAATATTTGACCCAATTTTCACATTTTTGTTCAGGGGTTTTAATTTTGCCAAAAATGGCAAAAATTAAAAATTTGCAGGTTGAAATGCAAATCGATTGGAGATTTTATTACGAGTTCAACGAGGTATGGCATTCCATATTTAGATCATTATTTCAATTTTTATGACGAAAATACTTTATTTTTTGGTTGGAAAATCAGGAGTTTGATTTTTGGTAAAAATTGCACTTTTTTTTAATCGATTTTTTGCTGTAACTTGGCAAGCTTGGAGCAGCTAAAAACCTAGTAATTAACATCAGTATACGTTTTTTTATCAGTATAGATTTCCTAAAATAGTTTATTAATTAAAACATTTAGGAGAGTTAACAGATCTGTTACAAAAATGCAAAATTTCTGTTAAAAAGACCGCCACCAACATTTCAGTGATGTGCAAATGCCGATAGTCGACATCGAACCTCGATTGTTTTTCGCCCAACTTTCGTTGTTTCTATCGACTCCCGACCACCTCTAGTGCGCTGCGCCTCGCAAAAAAAATTTGGTTGGTTTTATTTTAATTTTTCGGAATACGTCGTGTGCCGCTCGATCGGATCGGATTGCTCACCAGCCCGCCTTTGCCCGCTTACCTTTCGTCGCACCTTCCGCCTTCCCACGAGTGAAATGTCGCTGAATCCGCAGTACGAGGACATCGGCAAGGGCTTTGTGCAGCAGTACTATGCGATATTCGATGACCCGGCGAACCGGGCGAACGTGGTCAACTTCTACAGCGTAAGTGTTGTTGTTCTCTGTTCTGTTTTCCCATCCCCCAGCTCCTCCTTTATCCCGCTGCTCCGCTTTGTCCTCCGCCTCCGCATCCATCTGTTGCTGTCCCGCTCGCACGCAGGTGACGCGCGACGCGCCCTTGAAAAATTCCGCCTCCTTTGGCAGTGCAATGCAAAAAAAAAAAAAAATGAAGCGAAAATGGGCGCAAAACGAAAAAGAGCGCGAAAATATATGTAGCAGCTGGAGATATAGGAATCGGGATATCGGGAGAATAGGATGAGAGGGGGGGATAAGTGTGGGGGGCGATCGATTCTCGAAGTTTCGAGTGACACATTACGCCCATGCTCGCATAAATAATACACACATGCGAGATATATGTGACCAACATACAACAGCGGGCAACCAAATAGCATCATCAAAAAAAAATTCAAAAATAAGAAAAATTTAAAATTTTCACTGAAATTTTTACGTTATTAAAGTGAGATTAAAATTATCAAACAATTTAGGTTTAAAAAGTGGTTAAATACTAGGTAGAATGATCATAATATTATAGAATTATTAAAGAAAAATCATGGGATTAAAATTGTGAATCAATTTAGGTTTAAAAAGTGGTTAAATACAAGGTAGAATCATCATAATATTATAGAATTATTATAGAAACAGAGAAACTTAGTTGAATCTTAATATTGTACCAAAAGGCAAACAATAAAAGTAAAAAACTCACCAAATTCTCATTATTTTCCACTTAAATTATTTTCCAAATAAAATGTATAATCTAAAAAAAACCTTAATTTTATAATATTGGCAAAAATTCAGAAATTTAATCACACATTTTTCTATCTTCCAGGCTACCGACTCCTTTATGACCTTTGAAGGTCACCAAATACAGGGTGCGCCCAAGATCCTCGAGAAAGTCCAGGCAAGTCCTCATAAAACATAGCCCTTTGAGCGTATTGTTAATATAGTAAATTCTTGCAGAGCCTGAGTTTTCAGAAGATTACACGAGTGATAACCACAGTGGACTCGCAGCCCACTTTCGATGGCGGAGTGCTGATCAATGTCCTCGGAAGGCTACAGGTAAGCAGAACGATGGTTATAGGAAAAAAAGAAACACCCATTCATCCGAGGGGAAATTCCCGTGCTCAGCGGCGGCTAGGATATAATAGCACTGTCTATAAAATCGTATTGCATCACTAGTAAAATTTGTATAAACGATTTTTAGATATTTTCACATTCCATCCTTTTTTTGCTTGCCTATTTTGCAATATATTCAAATGAGAACAAAATATATTCATTACTCGCACTTTCTACACACTTTCATATTTTTTATAAGCTTGCTTTAGTCTGCCTCATTTTTTATATATATATTAATATACATAAATCATTTGTACCTATTATGTAAACATAAGCACATTAATTACCCGGATTAAGTTCATTTTCCTTGAAAAAGTAGCTACAACTAGAAATATAAATCTTTTAATAATACCAGAACAATTAAATAATAATCTAAGCATAAGAAATAAATATAATCAAAAGAAAAAAAGAATCATATCATAAAAGTACATAAAAAATACATTAATTAATAGATTACCCTTTGAAATAATCGAAAAATGTTTAAGAAAAGAAAACTATCATTACCCTCATTCGTTCTTGGCCTTAAACTCAATTTCCCATTGGTCAGTGCTATTAGCCAACCGCCGCTGCATCGAATATACCATATACATCAACTGTTGTATCGTATATCTCAACTCTGGTTATTATCAAAAATACAAACAAAAAAAAAACAACAGACCGATGAGGATCAGCCGCATGCCTACATTCAGACCTTCGTTTTGAAGCCGGTGGGCGGCAGTTTCTTTGTGCAGCACGATATATTTCGGCTATCGCTGCACGATGTGTAGCCCCACCGCCCCCCGATTGCCACGCCCAGTCAACAGACACCAGCGACCGGCCATATACTGTATACAGATCGAGAAATGCAGCTGCAGCCAAATGATCAGCCAGCAGCGACGAGACGAGAGCCAGTTAAAAAACGAAAGAAAGCTATATCTAAGCGATAGGAAGGTGTTCTGCTGTCCGTCGACCTTCTGCCGCCCAGCCCCGCCCACAATAACTATCGTCCTTCGTCCTTCAACTTCTTCTAATTGTCCTCACAGTACGTGAATGCCCAACGATAGATAATTAACCAAAATCAAAATGTTGCGCATTTCATTTCGTGCATGGTTTTCGCTAGTTTTTGAGTTGGATTGGTTAGTTCTACTTAACAATTTGCAGTTGGTCGCTGGGAACTTGGAACTAAATGAATATTAAACCGGAAAATAAAAAAATTCAAGAGAAAGTTCCTTTCAGCACTAATAACATGTGATAAATAGATGTATTTTTCAATGTCTCTCTCATAAGCTGTCCCTTTTTGAAATAATTTCTAAACTTACTTTAATTTAACTTTACATTTTCATCTATTTTAAAAACTCTTCTAAAATATGCCTTTAAATTAGAGCATGAAAATATCGATATTTTCGATATGTTTACAATATTGATTCGATAAAATCCATGTTTTTAAGGAATATTAATTATCGAGAATTAGCAAACTGTAGATATTTTTTCAAGCTCTACTTTAAAGGCTTTCAAAAAATATAAAAACTATTTGAAACTTAACACAAAACTCTACAGAAATGAACAAGATTATAAAACATTTTATTTCAACACCTTATTTTAATAAGTTCACTGTATAGTTTTTGTTTTTAAATGGCCAGAAAAGTGTTTATCAATTTTGTAACTGGCCAGCCAATTTGCGAGCGACCACTGTACAGTGAACACGCACCTGCACACACGACCAATCGGCTGCCAGTTGTACACCACACCCCTCTTCCTCTGAATTTCTGAAATCCCGGCTTGAAATTGTCTGTGTTCTCCCTTTCATTTCTAACTTGAGAAATTAAAAACTTTAAAAATCGAAATTGGTTATTCGCACGCTTGTTAATGAATTAAAATAATATTTATTTTTATTTGATATATTCAACTAATATATGTATGATTTAATTGTTTTGCAGTGCGACGACGATCCCCCGCACGCCTTCTCGCAGGTTTTCGTCCTGAAGGCCAATGCCGGCACCTTCTTCGTCGCCCACGACATCTTCCGTCTGAACATCCACAACTCTGCCTAGGAACCCGGGAGCCTGGGAGCCTCCACACCACTCAGCAACAACACACTCAACACGACATCCAAAGATGCCTAACGACAACCACAACAACAACCAGCTGGCAGAGGAACACTCAATGGGAAGCACAGCATAACAAAGCAGAAGCAGCGGTCTCACGTTTATCAACAAATGAAAAAAACCCACACAATAAACAAAAAAAAAAGAAGAAATTAATTTGTAACTACTATTACGATGTGTAAACAAAATGGGCCACCAGCAGCTCACCTATACCATTACCATTGTGTCCCCAAACTGTACTGCTCTCGGTACTCTCGATTTACCATTGTATATTCCGCGAACAACACCTGGATCTCGGGATCTAATTTAGCTAGGGCTATCAAATTTGGTATGTGGTCTGCGACGAGCTTGCTTTTGCGTTTGCCCCGGAAAAGAATCAAAAAACACACATAGTTGGCAACTACTTAAATTAAAAGTGACATTTTCTATTATATATATATTTTGTTTGAGTTGATTGACCTTGAATTTCGATTATGTACTGTAATTATTGAAATAATTTTAGATAGCCGTATTGCAAATGTTTTCTATCGAATTTTCCCCCCACTTTGTAAACCATGATCGGAGTACCGGGATATTATTACTTAGTCGAGAGAATATCGACGCTAGCTTTCTTGTATGACTAATTGAGTGATGGCGAATTACTTTTTATTGAGACAAAAAAAAGAACACTTAAATATAAAGATTAACGTTAACAGTTTGTATGTCTTGTTTGTATGGCTTGATTGGTGGAAGTTAGAGCTTGAAAAGTATCGATATTTTCGATATATTGACAATACCGATTCGATAACATCGATGTTTTTAAGGTCTAGTGGAAGTACAATTTAGGGCGACGAAAAAAATATATATATATTCTTACAACTATTAAATGCACAAAAAAGAAGCTCCAGAGGATTTGGCAAAATGGTGTCCAGTGGCTCAAAAAAAGCGATGATTCACTTGTCGCGAAATGTGAAGACGGCATCGAATCCGAACAGCACCCCATTGACGATGGACAACGAGGCCTTGATGAGCGCGAGATCCCGAGTTCTGGTGCGGAACGAGAACTCCCAGGCCTCGATGATGAACACGCCGCTGGCCACGAACAGAGTGCAGCCCAGGACACTGAAGAAAATGTCGATGCGCTTGTGAATGGGGGCCCGCATCAGAACACCTGGAATTTTGACGATATCTAGTTTTAGTATTTTATATGGATACCTATTTCTGATTAAGAATATACTGATTTTATAATATACCTGCAAATACCCCGATCACCACTATGATGTAGCCCGTAAAGGTGCCAGTGGCCAAAAACGAGGTCATAATATCGCGATCATTAAAGCTGTAGAAGTGAAGCACTAGACACGCTACCGCAAAGCCCTAAAAACGAAATAATAGAGTTATAGAGGGCTTTTAATTTATGTTTTATGTTTTGGTAATCCAAATATTTTAAAATCTCAAATAATTTCTTATAATTCCTATTTTAGTTTTGATCTAATTCCCAAGTTGTTTTTTGGAAAGAAATAATTATGTTTTGGTAATCCATATCCATATCCTTATTATTCCAAAAAATAATTCAATTATTTTTAAATATACATCATACAAATTTTGTTATAATTCCCAAGTTGTTTTTTGGTATGATATATTTATAGATGTCGAACTTCAATCTTCAACAGTTCATTTATTTTTTCGAGTTATTTATCACAACATTAAGGATCACTTGAAAAAAAAATCCATTACCAATTCCAGAAACTTGACCACATTCAGGCGGCCTTTTCGCTCGCCGTGGGACATTTTGTGAAACTGCTGCCGCTGACCGTCCTCGAAAATGTGATCCAGTTTGATAATCCGTAAATTCCGTAATACGAAAACAGATTTTTTCGAGTTATTCTGGACGTGTTCGCGACGACAGTGCGCTGGATAAACTGAATCGAATGGATGTCGGAGATGTCGGATGCAGCAGGCAACTGCTGCTTGCAGTTGGGCGCAGTCACCGTCACAGCCACCGAAATTAATTAATTACACTTAGGAAATAGGCTTTTCATCCGTTCACGTTTGCTATTCTCGGGGCCTCTCGGGTCCGTCTGTGAAGTGGACACCGTCTGGGTTTTCCGCTGTAAGCCGTACTCGAGCCCCCAACCCTTGCCACTTGATTGAGTGGAGCATAATGACTGCATATATGCATGTACATATATTCGCTTGGGTCTGGGTACCCAGAACTCGGAATCGCGCCCTATAGAATCATTGTGCCTGCATTACCATTACCCCAAATTTGCTGGCAGAAGGTTAGGCCCAAGATCGGAGCGATTTCGCGGAATTGGGGCCAGCGGGTTAGGTCGCCAAGTGGATAATGGAAAACAGATCGTTGGGGAAATCACTTCCTCAAATTATGATTAAGGCAGGACTATTGTTTTGATGGGTTATAATGGGAAGTCGAAGATTCTTCAAAGATATTTTAGAACATATATCTCTAAAATGGGGGAAATCACTTCCTCAAATTATGATTAAGGCAGGATTATTATTATAATGGATTTTCAAGGGTCTAAAGCTTCTTTAAACTTCTTTTATTAGTTAATAAACATTTAAATTGCTAAAAAGGTAATTTAAAATATATAATTTCGCATTATTTTGACCAAGTTTAAATATTTGAATATTTTATAAACCCCTTACATCAAGTATAATTTATTTGTACTGCTTTAGAAATCGCATAATTACAGGTTAATTATATTGAAATATTTCTCTATTTAAGTCACAGGTTAAACCTGTTTGTGATAAGATTTTTCTAGTACCTTCGTTTTTTCAATTGAGTTCAAATATTATAATATATTATTTTTTATTAAAGTCCAGCGATTTAATGGGATTTACTCTAGTCTTATCAATTTGAAGGCACATTTCGATATGATTGAACAAATACAGGTGCGCTTCTAATCTATATTTAGCCCTTCTTATCGCTTGACTTGTCCGATTAAACCATATTTAATTTTTTCAATTTTGAAACTGCAATTTTTATGATTTTTGTTGAATAACTAGAACGAAATTTAATTTACCGAGCTTTTTGTCTTTGCAATTTGACGGTAATTACCGGCAATTCGTTTGCTTTTGTAGTTTCATTTAATGTTAATCGCCGGCACTTGACGGCGACGACAACAAAACGAGTTATAGAAGGCAATTATGAGTGATGGTCGAAAAATACCCTCGCCAAACAACCGAAAAAACCACTTGGGAATTACAAGGTTCTGCAATGTAGCTTTCATTTAAAACCAAAGACTGGGAAATTGTAGGAAAAGTACGAAAATATTGTTACCAAGTGGACTAGAAATAAATAAATTTTAGAAAATATCACAGGAGTTCTAGATCACCTTATCTAAATGATTTTGTGTTATGAATAAATATTTAGGAATTTGAAGAACAAACTAAATTCCTCTGAATTAATATACCCAATTTACTAGTCTCTAGGGTATCGTCAGCTTCTGTTTACCAACTCGATTACAACCGATTTCAGTTTGCAAGTGCACCTGTAGCTCTCAAAATGCTAAATCCCGAGCTTATTTCACTGGACAATCAGGTGTTCCGATGCTATCTGGGATGGTCGGCTATATTGGTGCTCAAGATCTTCGCCACGGGCATTTATACGGGTCTGATGCGTTTCATTACGGCGGTAAGATACATTTTTGATTTTTATAATCTATTTTTTATGGTTCCATCCGAAGATACAGGTATTGCCTAAAGCTCTACTGCACCAAGTAACATTTTTTTTATAAACAAACAAATTTTAAATTTAAGGTAAAAAATTTGTTCCCTTAAAATTAAAGAAATTTTATGAAACTGAAAAAGATCAACAAGAAAATAAATATTTTTAATCTGAAATATTATTATTTTGACCTCAGCTGTCCCTCTCTCGATCGCATTCGCTGTCTCAGAATGACTAGGCACTATTATCAATTAGTCGGAGCGAGAGGGCAAATAGCGAGAGAGAGAGCTTTCGCTTGCCGGTATGGTGTGGTATAAAAATATAGAGCGAGTGCGAACGGTGCTCATTTTATTTTTTAGCGGCGTCCGGACAGGCTGTTAAATAAAGTTATAGTTTATTTATTGATAAAGTTGAAAAACAGAGAAGAAAACAAATAAAATGGCCAGCCCCGTGGAACTGCTCAGCCTCACGAATCCCGTCTTCAAGAGTTTCACCTTTTGGGTCGGAGTTTTGGTCATCAAAATGCTGCTCATGAGCCTTTTGACCGCCATCCAGCGATTCAAGACGAAGGTGAGAGAGAGAGAGAGAGAGAGAGGGGGGGGTCGCACAGTGGGGTCAAAGTCTCGTGTCAGTGAAAGTTTAAATGGATCCAAACTAAACTGATTACCCAATTTATTTGTATTAAAAGTTACGAGATGTGAAACACCAAAGGTCTGAATTAACGGTTTGATATATTAACAGGACTAAATATTATTTTTACATGGTGTAGTCCAAAGTCTGGCTTTAGTGAAAGTTAAATTAGCTTAAGATAAATAAATTAAATATTCTATTTTATTATTATTATTCTAAAGTGTTCGGCTGTAATGTAAAATTTACAGCCGAACCTAACCTTAGCTATAGCTACGGGGCCTTAAGCTAAAATATTCTATTTAAATCACAGTAAAGTATCAAAACAGTGAACTGTCCTATAAACAATGTTTTTTATCTTTTATCTGTGAAATTAGTAATTAAAATGTTTAGATTACAATTTAAAGTTCTAAATATACATATGTTGACCGGCATAATAATGATCCCATTTTAAATTAAAAAGAAAGGTTTGGGATGATGTATTTTATTATTTTAATGTTATTTTAACATCAACTTGATATGTCTTTTTTGTTAAGCTGATATGATACAGATAAGACTGGTTCGACTTATGTTTATGGACTTCGACATTGGAAAGTTCATATCTGTGACATTCACGATGACACTTCAAAACCAAACTCATAGCTCATAGGTTTTGAAAAGTATGTGCTAGGCATAGATTTTTCAATTTTCATTGGAACTTATATATCTTATCCTGATTTTAATGTTATTTCTTTATTTAACATCCTTCTTGTTTAATATTAAACATACAAAATATTTCCAAGAAATTCTAAAAAAAATTGTAATTCCCAATCGTTATCTTCGTTTTCAGACCTTCGCCAACCCCGAGGACCTGATGTCCCCCAAGCTGAAGGTCAAGTTCGACGATCCGAATGTGGAGCGTGTGCGTCGTGCCCACCGCAACGACTTGGAGAACATCCTGCCCTTCTTCGCCATCGGCCTGCTCTACGTCCTGACCAATCCGGCCGCCTTCCTGGCCATCAATCTGTTCCGGGCCGTGGGCATCGCCCGCATCGTCCACACGCTCGTCTACGCCGTGGTCGTAGTGCCCCAGCCATCCCGGGCCCTCGCCTTCTTCGTGGCCCTGGGCGCCACCGTCTACATGGCCCTGCAGGTCGTCCTCACGGCTGCCTTCTAAGCACATAAATCTAGTCCTTCATGTTTTTTTTATTCCATTTTTGAAATAATTTCTTAAATACAAAATTACATCGGCCTCGGCTTCGGTGCTGTTGGATCACACTTGTGAGTGTTTTCATTTTAGGGATATAAAAAAAAGTTATTCTAAATGGGAAATTCTTGTTTTAAGTAATTAAAAGAATTCAAGTCATGTTAAAACGTATACTTATTTTATACTTATCAAAATATTCAAATCTATTCGTACATTTTTTTTAATATTATTTTTTTTAATCTATAAAATCCAAGGAAAAAAAAGTTCTGAATTTTTTAAAATAAATATTCAGTACTTACCTAGAAAATACGATTACATTTATTTTACAGTTTTAGGTTCATTGAAAGTTTAAAAAGCTTTTTTGGGCGGCTTTTGTATTACAGTTTTAAACGCTGAATTTCTTTTGCTTTACAGTTTGTTAAATTACAGTTTTAAACAGAATTGTTTATAATTTAAGTTAAAAGAATCAGGTGTTTTGCCTTTAATACATAGATTAAGTTTTGAAGTTGCTTTAAATAATATTATATAGTTTTTGAGTGATAAGTTCATCGGAAAATGCGTTTTAGGCTGCGTGTGATTAAACCGATTTTCCGTTTATTTTTAGTACAACAAATCACAGCTCAAGCCACGCTGTGCGAGCGAGACCGAAAACTGGTTATCACTAACGCTTTCTTTTTCTCACATGTACCATTGGACGAAAACCGATGATTGCGACAAATTCAAATATTTTGAATTAAATAAAAATATAAATTAAAATATATTTACCACAATTTAAAAATGCTAATCTGGTTTTGGGTCTGCCTTTTTCATTTAATTTTAAATTAAAATGAAGAATTTTGTTAACAGTACGCATCTTTAATGTCGGATTATTTTTGGCTAAGTTACAGCAAAACAACCAAAAGAAAAATCGTTTTTCGGCCGAAACAATGAAATTATATTAGTCGAAATATAGATTGTCATACCTTTTTGAACTCGTTATTAAATTTCCAATCGATTGGCATTTAAATCTGGATATTTTCGTAAAAAATCATGATGTATAAAAAATGTTTAATGTGGGGATGATGGGCCCCACTGTACACAGCCGCCGCCTCTGCCGGCGTCGCAGTCGACCGTTAGCCGCAAATTGTTCGCGTTGGTTGGACTTTTTGTTGGATTTTGTTCAATTGCCTTCGTTGGGAGCATCGTAGCGGTCGCTTTTCGCAGTTCTCGTTAGTTAGTTGCTCCTTAATCACTAATCACCAGCACTAGTAAGTAAAACTAAAGCTAAAAACATCCTTAGTCCTTTTCCTGCCAAGTTCCTGGTGCCGTCTCGTTCGCACTCTACGCGATTAACAAAAAAAAACCCCAACCGGCAAAATACAAATACATTGAAAATATCAGAGAAAAAACATGTGCTTGTCTTTTTTACGTGTTGTTCTTTTTTTTTACTTACCGTTCGTTGTTTTTGTTTTTCTATTTTGAAGCCGCGTGCTTGTGAAACAAATATATAAATACATACATACATATTAACATCTGTATGGAGAGTTGTGTGTGTGTAAGTGTGCTGCGGAGGGGGAGATAAACAAGAAAGAGCAATAAAAAACTCCTGAACGAATGAGAGAGTTTACACTGAAAAAAATTAAGAAACAAATTCAGAGGAATAGATTAAAGAGTTTATTAACAAATTTATAAAAAATATGTTTTAAAGTACCGAGTTTGTAAATTTTTTGTTATATGTTTTTATACAGAATCTTTTTTAAACTTAAATCCTTAAAGAAATATCCTCATTATTTCTCATGGGTTTAAAATCCTATAGATATTGGACTGTACGATGGATTCCGACCTACCCTAGACTAGTCCTACACTCAAGACCTCTCCACAAAACGTGGCCCCAGATACCAGAGCTTTTTATATAGAATACAGAAAACACTGTCCCTTATTTGAGTTTACTTTGAAGGGGGTTAGACTTCGAGTGGCGTATCGCATAGAGTGCAATCAATCAGTGCCACCTGGGAACCTTATCTATGAAATACAACCCAACTTGAACGGCAGCCACCTATTATTTATTTACCAGCTTATTTGTAAAGGGCTTCTAATTAAAAATAAAACCATCAGGATAAACGCTAAGATCAATGAACTGGGAAAAGTCTACAGATCTACAGAAAGACGGAGAAATTGTATTAGGCAGAACTAAAATCAGTTGTAAAATTTCCCCATTCGTCTCGATAAGAAAAACCTTGAGATTTAAAGTCATAAAAATAGCACGTCATTGTTCTTCGAGTAAATTCTCCTGATCAGTCTAGGAAAAACCACATATTTAAATTTGGGGTTATTAATTGTAAATTCAAAGAGTTGATAAGATTTCCTTCCTGTTTTCTAACTGCTCTTCTTTTTATCAGTTTTATAGTCACGTCATCGTTTTCAAGGCCCGACCTTTTCGATTTCGATTGAATAATAATTTCCTGCAATTTCACAATCTCAGTCGCAATGAGACAACAAGAAATGTATTTTGATTCAGCTTTCTTTCGTACTTCCCTACGTAGGCCCACCGGATTCTGGGTTGATAAGGTCTGGGGTCATCGGAGGTCCAATCGCACCATCTGGCGTTCGGGAACACATCAAAAACTTAGAAATATTGGGCATTCGAAGAAGTAGGAAACATCATACCTTAGTTATATAATAGATTGGGAACAAATATTATGAAATACTTCTGAAATACGCTGAGTTCTTATCATCCAGATCGAATTAGAGACTTCTGTATAGTTATTCCTAAAGATACATCATTTTACGGCTTTATATTTGGAAAAGAAAATATCCTTACCTTAACATAATTGATTTTACAACCCAAACTCACCATTTTTTTTTACCCTTATAGAGATGCCACAACCGAAGCCGTACGAGAGGCCCGCGGACTTCATCGATCCCGGAAAGCCATCCAAGTGCAAATGGCATCTGGGAAGCACCGAAAAATCGCCCCACACCCAACGGGGCATCGCACACCGCCAACAGATCACGCCGAACATCCTCGAGGTGATCGGATGCACTCCACTGGTCAGGCTGAATCACATTCCCGCCAGCGAGGGAATCGAGTGCGAGATGTGTAAGTCTCCAGGGGAAGGAAACCCGATTGGAACCCTTTTTCCCATTCATTAAATACTTGGGAATATATTAATAAATATTATTTAAACTCTCATAGCTTCTTAAATGTCAATTCAATTTAAAATTCACTTAGATCCTGAAGCTAATATAACAGATCTTAACTTGAAAGTTTGATCCTTCTTTTGATCAACGAATTCTTTATATAATATTTTAATAATTCTTATTGCAATGATCCTTAATTACTAACAATATCAAATGGTTCTAGAAATCTCTGCTTAATTAGAATGATAATGATATACCTGAGGATCAACTTGATTTTAGGAGAAAATAATATTTTTGTAATATTTATTTAATTAATATCTGCATAAATATCAATAGAACCCATGGTAATATTTAAAATTCACTAAGTTCCTGAGAGTTATGAACCTGATATATTATTATATTACCTACGTAATTTTCTAACAGAAAGAAAAGATCCTAACTAAAAAGTTTGATCCCTCTTTTGTAATATTTAATAATTCCCATTGCAATATATTATTGATCCTTAAATATTATAAATATAAAATGGTTCTAGAAATGTTTGCCTAATTAGAATGATAATGATATATCTTAGGATCAACTCGATTTTAGGTAGAACATAATATTATTGTAATATTTCCTTCATTAATGTTTCATTATGGTTACAGACGCCAAGTGCGAGTTCCTCAATCCCGGTGGCTCGGTGAAGGACCGCATCGGCTATCGCATGGTGCAGGATGCCGAGGAGCAGGGCCTCCTCAAGCCGGGCTTCACCATCATCGAGCCGACGTCGGGCAATACGGGAATCGGCCTGGCGATGGCCTGTGCCGTCAAGGGCTACAAGTGCATCATCGTGATGCCGGAGAAGATGTCCAACGAGAAGGTGTCGGCGCTGCGAACCCTGGGGGCCAAGATCATCCGGACGCCCACGGAGGCGGCCTACGACTCGCCGGAGGGACTGATCTACGTGGCCCAGCAGCTGCAGCGGGAGACGCCCAACTCGATTGTCTTGGATCAGTATCGAAACGCCGGCAATCCGCTGGCTCACTACGACGGCACGGCCGCCGAGATCCTGTGGCAGCTGGACAACCGGGTGGATATGATAGTGGTCTCCGCGGGAACGGCGGGCACCATTAGCGGCATTGGCCGGAAGATCAAGGAGCAGGCGCCCAATTGCCAGATTGTCGGCGTCGATCCCTATGGCTCGATACTCGCGCGTCCCGCCGAGCTCAACAAGACCGATGTGCAGTTCTACGAAGTGGAGGGCATTGGCTATGACTTTCCGCCCACCGTTTTCGATGATTCCGTGGTGGATGTGTGGACCAAGATCGGCGATCCCGACTGCTTCCCCATGAGCCGACGCCTGAACGCCGAGGAGGGTCTGCTGTGCGGCGGCTCCAGTGGCGGCGCCATGCACGCCGCCCTCCAGCATGCCCGCAAACTGAAAAAGGGCCAGCGGTGCGTGGTCATCCTGCCCGACGGCATACGCAACTACATGACCAAGTTCGTCTCGGACAACTGGATGGAGGCGCGCGGCTTCAAGGAGCCGGTGAACGAGCACCGGCACTGGTGGTGGAGTCTGTCCATCGACCAGCTGCAGCTCCCCGCTCCGCCGGCCGTCCTCAAGTCGAATGCCACGGTTGGCGAGGCCATTGCCCTGATGAAGAAACATCGCGTGGACCAGCTGCCCGTTGTGGATCTGGATGATGGGTGAGATCTCCGAATTTTCTACACCGAAAAACAAAAAAAAAATTTATGATGATCGATTTTACGTTTTGTGCTATCGACTTGATATGCTCGAAAACGTATAAACGATATTTTTATATATGAATACGAATTTCGAATGCGTCTTTCTCGCTCCCACTCACGTCTTCTTGCTCTCTTTTTCGAAGTCAGACAATCTCCGAGAGAGAGAATTCGGCAAAATGATATTATCTAATATCAATTTTACCAGTATTTCATGGTAAAAACGATATGTGTATGAAATACTTGATATATTTTACCGCTACGTGTTTTTTTTTGGTGTTGAGTACACGATTTCTAACTCTTAATCTTTCCCTCTCCCCATTCAGTTCCATTCTGGGCGTTGTGGGTCAGGAGACGCTCATCACGCAGATCGTGAGCATGAACCGCCAGCAGTCCGATCCCGCCATCAAGGCCATCAATAAGCGGGTGATCCGATTGAACGAAACCGAGATCCTTGGCAAGCTGGCCCGCGTCCTCGAGGTGGATCCCAGTGTGCTCATCCTGGGCAAGAGCTCGGCCGGCAAGGAGGAGCTGAAAGCGCTGGCCAGCAAGCTGGACGTCACGACCTTCATTGCCGCCGGCCAGCAGAATCCCAAGGCCAATGGCACCACCAACGGCAGCAGCCACTAAGATTGAGATCCGTGTCCTACGAAAAACTAGAACCACCTACCGATTATATCTACTCGCTTTTAACTTATACCCGCATGCATTTCGCCTTATTTCCAATAAAGCACTTAAATATACACGAATCTTGGAAGTTGTATTATAAATCTGCGGTTAATAATTTTATATACCTTTAGCTCTGATTATCTGTACTATGTAGATGGTCTCGCTTCCTAATCAGTGTCATATATTTGAAACGCAAAAAAGTACAGCGCGAAAAGAAACCCAAAAATGTTCCTATCTCTATCTCTATATTTAAATGTATATTATTATATTCCTCATATTCGTATTGCCGAATTCGGCATAAAAGTTCCAGATCCATCTCGGTTTAAGCTCAGTTCAATTTCACAGCCGACGGTTGCACTTTCAACATAATGAAGTCCGAGATTTTAGTAGTTCTTCTGGCGATTTCGGTATTGGAGCGCTTATCTCCTGGAGACGGTGCCAATTTGCCGCAGGAAAATTTGGAAACGAAGTGTAGGGGATATTGTTTTACGGTCCTAAAGCCTTTACTCGACAATGCTGTTCTAGCCAAACCAGCGATTGATGGAGGTATTATCAAAGACCTGCAGAGTGAACTGGCGGTTGCTGAAAATAAAATTCAATTCAATGAAGCTCTTAGCGATTTGAAAAACCAGTTGGCAAACGCCGAGTTGCAAGTGAAACTTAAAGAACTCATAATTGTGAAAGATAAGGAAATAAGTAATGAACAATTAAAATGCAAAGATAACGAAATAGACGTTCAAAATAAACAAATAAAATATTATAATGATAAAGTAGACAATATGACGGAAATTATAAGAAACTTACAGACTCAGTTAGTAAATGCTGAGGCTCAACTTAAAATCAACGATAAGGAAATTAATGATAAAAGTGAACAACTTAAACAAAACGAAGACCAAATTAAGGATCAAAATAAACAAATAAAATATTACAATGATAAAGTAGACAATATGACGGAAATTATAAGAAACTTACAGACTCAGTTAGTAAATGCTGAGGCCCAATTAAAAATCAACGATAAGGAAATAATTGATAAAAGTGAACAACTTAAACAAAACGAAGATCAAATTAAGGATCAAACTAATCAGATCCAGAACAAAGATGAAGAACTTGTTATTAAAACTAATGCAGTTAAGGACTTGAGTGCCCAGATTTCGACGAAGGATAACCAGATCAATGGGCTCAACAATCAGATTAAATCGGTTTCTGAAGATTTGGAACGAAGTAAGAAGTATTTTGGATCCGATGAGTGTCCCAAAAGCGGTCCAAGTGGCATTTACGTATTAAAAGTCCCCGGAAATGTTTTAATGGAAGTTCCCTGCAACTCCACTGGTTGGATTGTTGTTCTAAGGCGGCAGGACGGATCGGTTGACTTTCAACGCAGATGGATGGAATATAAGGACGGCTTTGGCAACTTAACAGGCGAATTTTTCATTGGTCTGGAGAAACTACACCAACTGACTAAGGGACGATCTTACCACCTCTACATCAAGTTAGTCGACGTACATGGATCGGTTGTGTACGCTCAGTACGATAACTTTAAGGTTAGCAACGAGGAAAACAAGTATCGTCTAGACTCGGTTGGTAAATACTCTGGTACAGCAGGAGATTCTCTAGCCTACAATGCGGATGAATACTTTACCACAATTGATCGAGATAATGACGCTAATTCGGGTAATTGTGCGATATCTTACTCTGGCGGTGGTTGGTGGTACAGCAGTTGCAGTTTCAGGTATAAAGTCAAAAAAAAAAATTTGAAAATGTTTACTAAAAATTTAAATTACAGTTTTCTTACTGGAAAGTTCTATAAGGATGGAATTTCACCAGATTATGGAGGAATAAATTGGCACTACTATCGGAACGACGAAACGACCTCATTCACCTATGTTGAAATGCTGATTAAGCCAAAATAATTATAAATATTATTATTATAAATAATGTAAATAAATTTCAAACCATCATTAAACAAAAAAAAACAATGTATAGGAGTAAGCAAATATTTTCAAAATTAATTCTGATTTGATCGATTTTATAAATAAAATACAGCAATTTATATTCCATTGGCAGACATTCACCAGTTTTTAAACTTAATTTGCTTGTGGAGCAACTAAATTTTTATTATATAAGATTTCAGTCAATCAGCAGCTTAAAAGACAACCACCACTTTAATAAATACGACTTTTCTACTATTTAGTTATTATTTTCACATATATATATATTTCGTTCGATTCGCTTACATGCTGTTTTCTTGTTTAGGGGAGCTACACGCATCTGGTACACTTGAGACATTTGTAAAAGTATAAAAAAAATACATGGTTTTTGTGGCTTAATGCAAGTGTAAAACTAAATGCACGACGGAGAAAGCAGGAGAAAGCAGCGATTAATACTCGTTGAGCGAGACTGAGAGGGAGATTCCAAATGTTCGAGATAGATAGAGACAGAGAGAGCTAATGTACAGAACACAGAATAGAGCGGAATGATGTTGCGACGGCTTAGACGCCGCGATTCGGCAGGTCCTTGACCTTGTAGATGCGCACCAGCCAGTGCTCCGTGGTGTAGGCCTCCTCCAGAACGTCCAGCTCGAAGTCCTTGTTGCCAATCTCGGCCGCCCGAACGCGATCGTAGCCCTGGGCCTTGCCGCCCTCGGTGTACATCTGCCCGAAGCGATAGTAGCACATCTTGTACATCAGACAGTTGAGCAGAGTGGGCGAGCCCTCCTTGTCCACCCGGAATTCCCCATTGGCCGCATAGTAGTCCTTTTCGCGGATGTGCGCCCCGCGATCCGTGCTGCCGCCAATGCGCACCATCCACAGGAACTTGTTGATATCGTCCGAGGAGTAGCCGGTGAGTCCGCCGAAGATCACCAGAACATAATCCACATCCAGTTCGCGCATTATCTCGTAGGCCTTCTCCTCCGACGAAGCCATCGCCTGGCCAACGCGCGATATGTGCGTGTTGTTCCAGGTGTTGTTGTCCACCAATATCGTGCGATTGGCCATGGCCGTTATCTGGTAGCCATAATCCCACCAGGACATAATGCGAGCATCCTGAAAGGAACAGATTTTCATTACTCAATGGGAACTTTATAAAAAAGGAAGGGTGTTTTAAGTTTTTTTTTGTCAGCTTGGTTGTTTTAGTACTCATTATGTTTCATACTCTTCCTATCAAGAATTTACAAAGTAGTCATCATGAAAAGGGTGAAAATCGCATGTTGCCCACTTGGCCAGAACAAAAAATTCTATACGAAATAGGGTAATTTCAAATTAATGTCAAATTTATGATTCAATCATATCAAACTGATATTATAGCATTTCATAGGTTATAAAAATACTATTTTAAAATACCAAATGTAGTATTTTTTGAACAAGTGTTTTAAAATAAGTAAAGCATAATCTTTATTCATATCATTTTGATGATTATGCACATATCAATGTGATCTTTTGAGAATTTTTTTTTCTGGGTGGGCAAACACTCGATGCAAAGGACAATCTATGCTGGGAACTCACCTCCGGCGTGTTCATCTGCAGCCAGTAGTAGGCCTCGCGGAAGTCATCGAAGATAATGCGGCCGCCGTCGTGCGAACGGGCACTCAGCACAATGCTGGGCGAGGAGTACGCCTCCGAGGTGACCCAGGTGCAGTGCAGCGTGTAGACGATCAGCATCAGTGTGATGACTCCCACAAATCCGATGGCCACCTCGCTCTTCACGCCGCCCGTCTGCTGTTCCAGCTTCTTGTGCTGCCGCTTGCTCTCCCCGCCCGCCTTCCCCGAGCCGCCCGCATCCACGCTCTTGATGTACTTGGCCAGCAGATGCGAAATGGCTATGCCGGAGAGGACGCACATAACGGGCGCCAGGACCAGCATTAGACGCACCATCACACCGGCGAAGTAAATACTGGTCACGCCGTACAAAATGATGAAGATATTCGAGTCGGTCAGCTTGGAGAAGCAGAAGTACAGGCCAGCGGGAAAGAGAAACACGAGGATCTGCAAGGGAAGGGCAAAGGAAAATAAGTAAATGAATTCTATACAAGTTAAAAATTGTTTAATCTTTAAAATTGCCTCAGCGATCAAAGTGCAAGGTAATCATTCGAATGCATTAAGGCGCAAATCATTCGCATCGTGGTTAAGTTCTCATCTCAGGCAGATATAATAGTTAACAGCAGTAAAATAATTGATTAATTTAGAAAAGAACTATTGGTATAGGTGATTTAATAATTAAAGTATGCAACTGATCTTAATAGCTAATGAAATTCTCTTACAAAACCAGCGCAACCCACCTGCAGATCAAAATAGAAGGACGACCAGGATGTCGGCTGGTGCTCTGAAACCGAGGCAATGATTGGAATGTGATTCTTGGCATAGGACGGATCGAGTAGCGAGTAAAATCTGCCAGTCCAGGGCGATACTTTTCCAGTCAGCGTGAGCAGAGTGCCCACAACGAACACCACAGTGAGAACACTGGAAACCAAGGTCTTGAACAACAGATCGAAGTGATCCTTGGGAATGCGAGAGCGCAGATAATCCACAAAGGCGTGAATCTGGCACAGGCCAAAGGTTCCCAAAGCCTGCAAAGGATAAAAAGCAATTAGCAATATTATCTTTAATATTTAACAAAAGATTTGAAAGTATTTCTAATTAGTGATCAAATCAGCTTGGGTTTTTCGTACTCATTATGTTTCATACTCTTCCTATCAAGAATATATTAAGTATTCATCACAATAGATCACTCATCTTTGGAATTTTAAGTTTTAAACCCTATTTAGATCCTCACCAGCATGTGCTCCGAGCTCTGGATGGGTTGGAAGCCCACGAACGAGATCTGCATGGACAGAATGGTGCCCACGCAGTAGAGCGTGCTGTACGCTATGTAGATCCTGTGCGAGAATCGCCCGGTGATCATCAGCGCCAGCACGTGCAGCGGAATGAGGTTGATCAGGAAGACATAGCCGCCCCACGAGGAGACCATATAGAAGTAGGCCAGTGCCGACATGGCCGACCAGAAGATCGTGCCCGTCTTCACGGCCTTGATCCACAGATAGTAGGTGAAGAGCATGCAGAAGATGGCGATGCCCTCGTTGTCGTACGATCCCGCCACAGATCGGGAGATATAGCCCGGCACGATGGAGATCAAGGCGGCGGCCACCAGACCAGCTCCGGTGCTCTAAAAAGAAGAGAAGGTATCATTAGAATCACGTGTGCGACATAACCTCGAATTGGGAAACATAAGTAAGGGATTCGATATATCATCTAACAGGCATCATAACTTGGAAAGTATTTGTGAGACAATGAAAAAAAGTTTATTTTCAGGATTAGTAAGGATCGGAATAAATGATATTATATTGGGTTTTTCCTTATCTACATTAAATATATCATTTCAGAGGCTATCAAAAATTGGAAAGTATATGTAGAACTATGCAAAGAAAATTACACACAGTAGTAGTAAATAAATAGAGTTTAAGTTTAGGATGAGTAAGGATCTGAATAAATGATATTATATTGAGTTTTTCCTTATCTACATTAAATATATCATTTAAGAGGCTATCAAAAATTGGAAATTATATGTAGAACTATGAAAAAAAGTTATTACATGAAGATATAGACATAGAGTAGTGAATAAAAAGAGTTCAAAACGTTCAAGTATAGAAAGGATCTGAATAAATTATATCATATTGGGTTTAGGATTAGTAAGGATCTGAATAAATGAAATTATGTTGGGTTTTTCCTTATGAATTGTACATAAATTTATAGGTACTTCGGAAATATTTGGTATATAAAATCTTTATAACCACAAACAGATTACAAATATGATTGGTTAGGATCCATGGATCTTCCGAAGAGAACACAGATCATTTAAAGTTTAAGATCTAGGATCTACATATCATTTCCGGGGCACTGCGACTTACGTGGATCTCCTTCGTGAGGGCATAGGTCACCAGGGTGGTCAGCGAGGAGAAGAAGGGCGCCAGGAAGACGCACACGTTCCTAATGTCGATGGTCACGTTCAGGAGCCACATCAGGCGGTACAAAGCCGCCGAGGTGAGCATCAGGCCCGGGTAAATGGTGCCGCCGATGATGCGGCCCAGGGGGTACCAGGCGCGGTCATCGAACCAGTTGTGGAACTTGTAGAAGCCCTGCTCGGCGAGGAACCGCGTGGTGCGGTAGTTGAAGTACGGGTCGAACTCATGGATGACGCTCTCGAACCGGAGGACGGAGAAGAGGCGCGTGGCGAATGCTGTCCGAAAGAAGAGGAAAAGGAAGTTAGGGTCGGCGGTGGTGGTGGTAATGGCACAAGCCCAACCTATCGGCCAATCGATATTTTCACAGGGCTGTCAAACCATCGTTTATATATGGGGTTAATAAAAAATCTCGACGGCCTCGTTCAGAAAAATAAGTAAATAGAACCTTTTAAGGGATAAGAAATATTTTTTTAAAATTAATTTTGAATATTAACTAATAAAAACAGCCATCTCTAAGTGTTTTCACTGACAAGTGCCATCCCTACGAGCTATCGACGCACCGCCACCGACTATCGAGCTATCGATAGCGGGGAAGCTCGAACCAGATGTGAATGTTTTTTTTTTTTTTTTTAGCACGCCCACTCGCAAAGCCAAACAAATAGGAGCCATGTACTCACACAAGACCGCTGCCAGGATGAGAATGGCCAGCTTGACCAGGTGCTCCTGCTTGTCCCAGGTGAGCAGACCGCGGGCGACGCCGCCCACGTCCAGCGTCATTTTCGCCTGCCGGCGTTTTTCGGCGCCGTTTATTTCGGCTCAGGAGCTGTTCTATCGCCGCTGCGCCTTGTCCACTGCACTCCGGATGTCCAGGACTACGCGTGCCGCACCAGGGAGCCCAGGATTATTGACCTTTTTCGCGGAAAACAACGGCTGCAAGTCGAAGACGACGGAATTCGCAAACTTGCAATTCGTGGCAAAGAACGGCGAGTGCCTATCGGTTATCGCGTGCGCCGCCGTCTGCCTATCGTCATCGCCGGGGGTGACAACCCTGGCCGGTGGGCGCCACTTTATGTTTACCCTTTTTCGTCGCTTCTTTGCGGTTTGCGCGGCAGTTAATAACTGATTTACGATTAGTTAATTAGTTACTATTAGTGAGTCAGCTAAAAGCGCGGCTGGCATTTAAATCGGCCATTTACAACCGGCTGTTCCTGCGCCCATTCGCCAGCTGTTTTCCGCTCTCCGGGAGAGCAAGGGAGAGCGCGCGCGAGAGAGAGAGAGGGAGAGAGAGTCAGCCGTTTATATTGCCATATATTTTCCATATAAAAGCACCGCTGCTTCGTGTTTTCGTTGCGTTTTAATAAAATCTCGAAGAAAATATGACAAAAAGACATCGGATAGATCGCCGGGCAGAAAAATCACGGTTTCCAGTGAAGAACTACTGATATTTATCAGATTTCCCAAATATATATATTCGAGGCGAGAGTCAAATCCCCGAAAAACGAAACGAAAAGCGGAGTAAATACAAGTTGACTTCTGCTGGTAAATACATAAAAAAAGAAGGAAAAAACATAAACTCACGTGTTAAATATTTAACAACAAATTGTTCTCACCAACACACGGGCACCCCCACAGACTGCGTGCGTGTGTGTGATTTGCCAGTTCAAATCGTTGATTTTATTTTTTTTTTGGAGTGGCAGCTTTGTTATGTGCAATATACATACATCTGTATATGTATGTTTGTGTATATATACGTGCGGCGTTGTTGTTGCTACTTTTTTTTTTTGTTTTAATTGAAGTCGCGCCAAAAGTAATTAAATAATAACTGTTTGTTTGTGTGCAAAGTGCAGTAAGAATGGTGAAAAATCGAACATCAACACGCTTTTAAAAATGCATGTGTTATGTATATGTATATATATGGGGCGGATGTGAGTGTGTGCGTGCGGGTGGTGGCAGCGACGCCGGCAGAGGCAGCGCGATTGCAGTTGCCAGCACGCATCGAAGAAGAGGAAGAAGAAGTGGGGGATGGGGGGTGGAAAAGAGGAAAAGGAAAACAAAAGCAACAAACTCCAACTTCAACTTCTGCAGCTGCCCCTTCTTCTTCTTCGTTCTCTTCTTGGCCCCCCACACACATACCGCCCACCCCCTCTCAGTATGTGTATGTGGGTGTTTGCATTTGCATGGCATTTCTGGCATGCAACTCTCTCGTGTGTGTGTGTGTGTGTGTATTTATGGAAGTTTGTGCCCTGCTATTCTCGACATCAGTAATCATCAGTGAGAAATTCATCAGATTGTAATCAATGATTCATCAAACAAGGGTTTTCATCACAATTTTCATCGATATGTCATCGATCTTTCACCAACATTTTTGTTAATTTTCTTTATTATCCGATCAATCTCTTTATTAAAATTCCCATCATAAGCGCAATAATTAAAAAAAAAAAGTTTTGTAAAATATTATTTGTTAGGGGTGAAACGAGTTTCAAAATTCCCCTTTTAAGATAGTTTCCAAAATGCATTCCTGGGGAATTAAGCGAGTTCCTGCAGTCTCAAAACTCAAAAGAAAATATTAAAATTAAGTTCTCAGCGAATTTAAGAAGATAAGTTGTATAAACAACTTTTAAAACGAGTACATTAATCAAATAAAAATTGATGTGAAAAATTTACCAAATATTTGCCTTGCCAAGTTTTGAAGAAGTATAAGAAATTCAAATTTCAGTCGTAAATAGAGGAAATATTTATTCATGATCTAAACAAATCGTTAAGTTAACGTTATTTTCAGACACAATCTTAACCATAAAGTTGGATAACTGCCAGCTACTTGATATCGCATCTTAGGTAGTATTCAGATAAGATAAGTGACCTTATGTGCCAAAAAATAAAAACAGAACTATGTAGCTACCAATGTGCATATCTTAGCTCAATGGAAATTTTCCCTTATCAGTTGTCGCCCCTAGATGAAAGTTGATAATGGTTTTTCATAATTGAAAATTTCCTATCAATATGCGTCATGAGTGAGCCGAAAATTGACTGCAGACCATTAGTATGGTAATCCATCAATTTTCTGTGTATATTTATGTTGACCATTTCCTAACCCATTTACATAGCCAACGAGTAATTAAGTGATTTTTTTTTTTTCGTATTTCTGCTTTCGCTCGAAAATAATTTACAACAATTTTGCTTTTGTTTTGCGCCCCGTTTTTGACCATAAAAACGATGTAAAACTTAATATGGCATATAGGGCGAGAGACACAATGTTGCTGCTGTCTCGTTATTGTTATTATTATTTTTGTTTACACGTGGGAAACGGAAATTGGCGAGTGAAAAAAAAAGTTGCCGCCGTTTCACTTTCAGCTCTCCATTCCCCTCAAAAGTTGTTAAAAAATTTACAAATAACAAAGGGAAACAGTCGAGAGAGGACCCCTGAAGAAATGCTGCCAGCGCTGTGTTTTTTACACAATTAATTTCATGTAATTAAACCTTTACGACGCTTACAACTTTTAAGTCTGATCTCTGCCTTCTTTTCTCTCTCTTGGCTTTTTTTATATTTATTTTCCCCCTTATCGACGGTTCCATTTTCAATTGTTGCCATACAAGTTCCGCTTCCAATTGGATTACGACCATAATTTGTCTGCGGGCCAAATAGCAATTAGAATCGGAACTCTGCGGGTCGCCTTTAACGTCTTATCGATAACTGAATACTCTTCATTGATGGAGTTTTATATAAAAAATCTTAAAAACTTTATAATTGTTCAGAAAACGATTAAGATATTTATTTAAGTAAGTTCTTAAAATGAAAATGTCAAAATCATAATAATAATAATATCTTTAAATATCATATTACTATTGCTTGATTGATTACGATGATTTCCATTGTCAAACCCCAAAATGTTTATAGCTGTTTGAAAAAACGATTTAAATATTTATTTCAGTAAGTTCTTAAAAAGAAAAGAAATAATAGTATATAGCTTTAAATATTATATTACTAAGTTATTACTTGATCACTTAATCTACCTTTATATCTACAGATTAAGACTTTCTCCATCATGATACAAGCGATTTGGGGGGAAATGAAAAAGAATACAAATCGCTTATATGTAATGGCCATATGCGATATCTCATTAGATGCCCCCCACGACTATTTAACGATGATTGCGACTGAGCAAACATCAATTGCTGGACAACGGCAATCGATGACTTCGATACGAAATTACCACAAAAAAAGGGGGGGAAAAGATGGGTGAAACCGATGGAGTGGGACTCCATATAGCGCCCATTAACCCCACCCACTTTTCCAATATTGTCACTGGCCATTGACATGCCATTCAACCCGCCGCCCCTTCCTCACCTATTTTTTTCACCCAGCGACTTTTCCCTTTCTTCTGGCAATTATCAGCCACAACTTATTGGCATTTTCGCATTAAAAGTTTCCCAGTCTGCTTTTCTACTTTTCTACCAGTTTTCCCCGTGTGCTGTTTTACAATGTTTGTTTTTTGTTTTACAAAAAAAAAACAGCTTAAATTGGCAAAAATACTCTTCTTGAAAGTTTACTAGAAAATAAAAATCTAAAATTTACTTTTTTATTATTTCATTTATTTTCTTATTATTTCATTTATTTTATTTTTGAATATTTTTGTATCGCCCCAATATTTATTTTTATTTTTCCCAGTTTTTATACCCGTTACTCGTAGAGTAAAAGGGTATACTAGATTCGTGCAAAAGTATGTAACAGCTAGAAGGAAGCGTTTCCGACCCCATAAAGTATATATATTCTTGATCAGGGTCACTAGCCGAGTCGATCTAGCCATGTCCGTCTGTCCGTCTGTCTGTCTGTCTGTCTGTCTGTCTGTCTGTCTGTCTGTCTGTCTGTCCGTCTGTATGAACGCTGAGATCTCAGAAACTACAAAAGCTAGAAGGTTGAGATTTCCCACACATATTCTTTGGCTTCCTACGCAGCGCAAGTTTATTTTAGCCGAGCGCCACGCCCCCTCTAACGCCCACAATCGCCCACTAACGATTTTAAAATGGGTCCTGCGCCCACATCTTTAAAGATTTCCGAGAAGTATAAATGCAATTTTGTTGTGTATATTTATACCTATCGAAATGTAAAAGACATTTTTCAAATCGGACCATTCATTAAAAAGTTATACGCAATCCAAAATTATATATCTATCTCCCTCGCACTCCCTTTAGCTGAGTTACGATTATTAGTTGGGACACCAACCCGACACAGCGTTCGCACTCCCTTTAGCTGAGTGACGGGTATTAGATAGTCGGGACAACAACCCGACTATAGCGTTCTCTCTTGTTGGAGTTCGCTTCGTTCGCGTTGTACCCATTTTACTTTTGGTTATGGACTTTAATTTCTGGTCTTTTAAGCGAAGTCGCGCTTAGTTGTATTTGCATTTGTTGTTGTTGTTGCTTTTTTGTTTGTTTTTTGGTTTTCGTGTGGTGTGTTTTTATTTTCAAGGCAACAAAACGATGACTTCATCTTCACTGCCCACATTTTTTGTTGTAGCTAAAACAGTGTGTGCGTGCGTTGGTGTGGGTATACCCTTTATAGAGGGTATTTATAGTTTTTCGAATTTAGCCATGCTCCGGAGAAAGCATTTCCGACCCTTCAAACCAATTAATCAAGCCAAAAACGACGGTAATAGTTACCAATTATTAGCTATAAAGAAAGCTTATAATTATTTATATTCTCGTCATTTCCCAAAACTTCTGTTGATTGGTTTTTAGAAAGGAATTTATGAGATCTAATATTTTATATTTTTTAGTAAAAAAAAACCTCTTTATTTTCGCTAAAAATGAACTAAAACTTATACAATACATAATTTAATGATTCGATTCAAATCAGACTTAAAATTGTATTTTAAGGATTTTTTTAGTTTGTTTTCCAGGGTATTCGCTTTCTCGGTAATCAAAGTCTATTTCCATTGCTTTGTTTTGTTGCACACCCCCGAAGCTTTGATGATAATGATGAGGAAGTGTTGGCCTTGTTTGTTTTTGTGTCTGATGTGTGTCACTTGCCACTATCATCATCATTATCATTATCAACCGCACGCCAAAGACATTGTTGCAGTGCAGCCAATATGCAAAGTGTTGAGTAATCGTCACAACACATTCGAAATCGACATCACTAGTGCATCATGTTCGTCATCATCATCATCATCATCATCAGACTGTCTATCAACGGTTGGCTGACCGCTTTCAATAACCACACTGAGAAAGAAAATCATATCATCTGCAATAGAGCTTAAGGATTATCGATATTTTCGATTTTTTCACAATATCGATTCGATAATATTGAAGTTTTCAAGGGGAAACACCTATTAAACATCGAGAAATGGCAAACTGTCGATATTCTTTCAAGCTCTAATCTGCAATCATCAATATCATCATATAAAATTAAATTTTTTTTAAAATTTAAAAATAGTTTACAATAAAAATTATCAGTAATTTCCGGAAAGTTTAATATTTCTTCTCAGTGCATTGGCGACCACGAACTTTGCGACATCAAATTGATTATTTTGATGCCCTTCTTTGTCGCTCTTTTATCCTCCGCTTCTTTCTCTCCCTTTTCCCTTTTCCCTTTTCGCTTCCACCGCTATCTTTCCTGCTCGTTGCCTTTGTTTTATTATTCATGTCCAGGCCGGAAATGTTTCGTTTTCCAGTCGCACTCACCAGACCAACCCCAACACTATAAAATATACAGAGACCAGAGACCAAAGACCACAGACCATATAGACCATACCCTCACCCACTTTTGGCCACCTTCCCAGTGTTTTTTATTGTTGCCGTTCTTTCTATTGGGGTCAGCAAACAAAACTCGCACCCGTTGTTTGCTTTGTTCTATATGTGTATATACTCTCTGGAGAGTTTTTGACCAAGTTTTGTTGTTCTGGTCGAGTCGGGAACAGGTTGTGCGGATCTCTATCGCCAAAAAAAAAGAAAAAATTACATATAGTCTTTGGTTCCGTGAATTTCTGTGGATTTTCGTATGATTTATTTCGGACTAGCGTGATTTTTGTGTAGATTCTCGTATGATATACAGTATTTTAGGTTGCCGTGAATTTATGCTAAATTTTTAGTGGCTCCGATCTGAAGATACGGAGAATACAGAATAGGTCAGTAAAGTACTAGAAATTGTCTGGGGAGCAATAAATTTTGCTCTACACAAGTAAAACATGTTACGATTAGTCATCATATTAATTATGTATTAAACTGTTTGTTTTAATCAGCTGAATAATTTGGCACATGTGCATTAATTCCAATCAGTTGTATTGAATTCAACTGGTGGGAATGCAATGCATCCGCTGTATAGGGAGCATTTGATAACCCCACTTCCTATTTCCACAGTTTACTCTATGAATTATTCATCTATTGATGAAAAACTGGGCAAGCAACAACTGCTTGAGAATAAGTAATATTACAGATAGTTTTGTTTTAAATAGCAGATATTTTATTTTAAAAATATTAAATATTTATAAATTAAAAAAACGGTATATTAATATTAAATATTTAAACACGATTTTAGGAGCTTATAAATACGAGTTCGTGGATGGGCTTAATTATTATGATTATGAGAATTGGGACATTCGCTAGCACCTGAAGCAGTTCACAGCGAGGGGTTGCACTATCGATTAATAATTTATTAATGAACTGCATAAGCTAATTGCCTGCGATTTTATTGCGTTTTATTTTGTAAAATGTTTTTTCATTGAATTTCTTTCAGCAGCTGCCTAAACAATGCAACAATGTGACAGGCGGCAGCAGCAGCAGCAGCAACTGTGCCAGGAGCAACATCAGCGGAAAATCCAGCGGCAGCATCGAAAAAAATCGGCAGCTACATACCAATACATAGTCCAAACATCATAAACAATTACTCCCTAAACGCAGCCGACGAAAAAAGATTAACGAACAGCTAAAGAAACCTTTTGAACAGTTTAAAAAAAAGATAACAATTAAAATTCATTTGATTTAATCTGACATCAGCGCGTAAAACAACCACTGGCAACTGGTCTAGCCGATACAACAACCGCTAGGCACAAACATTTCGAAAAAGGGCAGCAGCAATAGCAATACCAAACCGGAAAAATTAAGGCAGCTAGAATATTTAAAAAATTATAGAAGAAAAACTGAACATTTTTAAACGCAAACGTTGGAAAAAAAAACATTTTTCTGCTAAGCGGATACAAGAACCCATGCGCTTAATCAGCAGATACACCAACCCATTAGGCTTCTAAGTGAAGAGGTGTTTGTTTTTCAAGAGGAATAGCTGAGGAGAGCCACAGACTGAAACGAAGGCAGCTAAGGGAGGATAAGCAGGATCGGCAGGATCATCAGGAGCAGCGGAATGCCCAGCACGGCGGGCAGTAGTGCAGCGGGCGTTGGGATGGGCGCTCTGATCAATAGTGCCGGCAGTAGCGCCAGCAGTGTCATGGGCATTGGCCTGGGCGGAGCAGCTGCAGCAGCGGGAGCATCAGGAGGAGGAGCACCTGGATCTGGAGGAGGAGATGCCTCCGCTGCTGGCACCCTAATTGCCCAGAGCACGGCGGGAACGAGCGCCGCCAGCAGCGGCACGATCACCTGGGACAACAACGGCACCCTGCGATCGATCAATCCCGGCGACTGGTCCATCGAACAGTGCCTCGGCTGGCAGCAGCCGCATCACCTCTACTTTCAGCTCGGCTGGGCCTTCCTCTTCCTGGCCTTCTTGGCCCCGCACGGCCCCTACGGATCCCTCTGGATGCGGGCCATGCTGCTCATTGGCTGCCTGATGATGGGCATGCACGGCTATCTGGTGGCCTGTACACCGGATGTTGTCCTCTGGTCGGGCATGGGACTCTTCGTCAACTTCGTCTATCTCGTCGTGGTGCTGTGCCGCCTGAGACCCGTGAGATTCGAGCAGGAAATCGAGGCGGTAAGTGGATATACCTATACCTATATACCTATACTAAAAAAAGGCTGGAAAATTATCGATATTTCCGATATATCAGCGTTAATAATTCGACAATATCGATGTTTTCAAGGAAAACCCTTATTAAATACCGAGAAATAGCAAACTGTCTATGTTTTTTTAGGCTCCTTATAGAACTGGTACTATTTTAAAAGAATTCCTCCTTATTACTTTTAAAATTGAAAATATTGGATGATTTTTTAAAAGAGTGATTTCTAAATTATTTAAATTGAAAATATTGGCAAGTGATTTTTTAAAACAATGATTACGAAAATACGAAGCAATAAAATATTGTTGTGAATACAAATTTATGGGAACTGTTGTTAAGGATTTTCATAAAATTTATATTATTTTAATGGGTAATAATATTGGGTATATCACAGGGAAATACCTTTTTTTCTGAGGCCCCTTGCCTTCTATAAAATCAATCAGCCGAAAAGTAGACAACCCAATCAATACCACTCAATTGGCAGAAAATTGATTTCATGACAACAAAATTACCCATACTTTTATTTTTTTTCTTGCAAAATTGCCCATCGAATTAAGGAGCCTCAAGAAAAACAATCATTTGAATTGTACACTTTGCTTGGATATTTTTATTGATTTAATTTGTGTTTTTTATTATTTTTGTGTTTTGGTTTTTTTTGACTTTTTTGGTTTTTTTTTCTTTCTTTTCTTGTTGGTTTTTACTTTTGTTTTAATATAAATTATATTCTCTAAAAACATCCGCACTTAAAACAGAGAAAAACATAGTTTTCGATGGATTAATAAATAACAGAAGAAAATTAATGAATTTACGTGCTCTCGCTCGAGGAAAAAAAAGCAGTATAATTAATTATCAATAGGCTATTAATTAATAACTCCGTGTAAATTATTGGCTATCGACTATGGGCTAAATGTGCTCTGTGGTTTGTGGTTTGCGGGTGGGGTTGTGTTGGTGGGTGGTTGGGTGATTGGGTGGGGGATTGTGGGGGGCTGAGTTTATCACAGGAAATCAGATTGAAAACGAGGAGTCCTCGGGAGAAATTAAATATTTTTATGCTTGGGGCGGAGGAAGGGCATCAAAAGAAGATCAATGGTTCAATAAGCAATATATGTATATAGATTTGAGACAATTATTGAACATTGAAATACAGTAGTGATGTGTGTGATGTATGGGCTCCTAATCTACATATATAAATTCTTCACTCCGGTTCCTTGGTTTTTTGTGGTTTTTTGCCTTAGCTAAGGCGTATTTTCGATGCTAGAAAATACAACTGCAGGCAGGTGGTCAGCATGACCGTCATGTTGCCAATGGCGATGGTCATGTGGATGCGCCGGAAGCCCTTGTGGATGCGCTGATAGTGCGGACAGTCGACGAGGTCGCCCTGGACGAGGCTGCCCACCTCCTGGCCGCTGCCGATCGCATCCTCGATCCTGTACTTCTCGTGCATCAATTGCAGCATCGGTGGCACCAGATACAGCCGCACCACCACCTCAATGCCCGCCGCCAAAGCCAGCGATCCCATCTGGATGCCCGCCGATGTCGTCCAGCCGCTGAGGAAGTACTTGGCATAAACCACCAGCATCGTCAGGCTGAGCATAGCGTTCAGGGCGAAGTAGCGCGGGAACAGGATCTGCTGGCACTGCCCGAAAACGTGGCGGGGCAGTGAGAAATACAGCGAGAGACCTGAAAGTGATACATTATGAAACAATATTAGTAAACTGGATAGGAAAACTGGATTAAAAGTAAATCTAAAAAATGTAATTACGATTTTTTGGATGATGATCGAATATATTGCAGATTTGTGATTATTTTCGGGATGTATCATTGATGGAGGCTCATATGGATAATCATATTTAAGATATCTGAATATGTTCGCGATGTTTTTCATTGATTGATGCTCATATGGAAGATCATATCATATCATATTGAAGATCACTGATTATCTTCGGGATGTATCATTGATGGAGGCTCATATATTGAAGATCTGTGATTATTTTCGGGATGTATCATTGATTGTTGCTCATATGGATGATCACATCATATTAAATTGAAGATCACTGATAATATTCGGGATGTTTTTCATGGACCGATGCTCAAATGGATGACCTATCATATCATATCAAAGATCACTGATCTTATGTTCTGGATGTTTTTCACTGATTGATGCGAGTTCCCTGAAGATCAGAATGGTACGCCACTTACCCGAGACAAATGTCATCCAGATCTGCGACCCAAAGTGGGTGGCAAAGGCGCCCAGAAATACCAAGGCCGCCAAAACGCCACCCGTCGCTGTTCTCGTCGATGTTTCTGCTGTTGTTGCAGATGTCTCTTCTGTTGCTGTTGTCGTTGGGTCGATGAGGTCGCGTCCCACAGTCATCAGCACAAAGGCCAATATGCAAACGGCTATCAAGTGTGCTGGTTGTGTTGTACGCGTCAGAATTCTGCAATAAGAAAAATAAATAGCAAAGTTTTCGATAAGTAAATGTTGATCGAAATAATCATTTATCGAATTTACTTAAACATCGACTTATTTAGTTATCGAATTGATCATTAATGATCGATTATTATCGCTTCTATTAATTTATTCGCTAAAGCAAAGCGAAAAGTTTGAGCTATTAATTTATTTATAAATGCCCTACATTTTTTGCGGTGTGGCTTAAGTGCTTTTATAACGCCGTCTGTCATATCCTTCTAGTGAATTTATTAACGCAATAGCAACGCAATCGCCGATGGTCCAAATTCCAAAAAGATATAGCCGCCTGATCCGCGGGCAAAGGGGGTATAGGTAAATGGGTATTACGTACCCACGTGGCCCTCATGTGCGATTAGATTTGATTTGCGGCGAACTTTTGCACTGATTGCGATCGTGCGAATTCGCCGCCCCCCTTTCTCTCTCTGTCTCTTTCTTTTCTTGTCTACGCATTTGTTGCGTCCCCCCTCCTCACCACCTCTTTCGTCTGTCATTTTTGCATATCCGTCTGTTACGTTTTTATGTTTTTTTTTTTGCAAACTTTTTCGCCGTTTTTGTTGTCGTGCGGCGAATAGAGCCAAAGTGGCGTACGTGCGAAAACGCATGCAACCGAATATTGTATATTTTCGCCGCCCCCCACTATCCCCTTCTCTGTTGCTCTCGTGGAGACCAGAACTAAAAGCCAGAAATTGGCAATCTTTAGGCGATATTCATAGAGCAAGAGCGTGGAAAATGCAATTTTGCACTTGCACTTGGGGCGAATTCAGCGAATCAGCTGCCGACCAGCTGATAAAACGATAAAACGCGGCGAACCCAGCTGATTTATAGACAGAAGAGAGAGAGAGAGAGAGAGAGTTAACAAGGAGGTACAGTTGCGTTTAAAAAAAAAATACTTCATTTTTAATTTTAAATAAATAATTGTATAAATTCATTTAAATATAATTAATATAAAAATATTTATGTTTGGTAAAACAGTTTGTCCTAATTTCACAATTCTTTTATGAAATCATTTGCAAACATTTAATTTTAAACAAGTAAACAAACAAATAAAATAAAGTTTAAAATTTTAATAATTATAATATATACTTTCCAAATATTTTTTTAAAATATTATTTTTAATAAATTAATTAAAAGGTTAAAAAACAAATCATAAATGGCTTTTTAATATATTTTAAAAATATTTGTTATTCCTCTGCTATTATTATGACCTCGACTGTACGCCTACGAAAGCTCTGCCAGATGACGTAGGACCCGATCGCACTTTGCACTCCAGCAGGTGGTTGTGGATCCGAGCCGAGAGAGCGAAAGGGTGAGAAGGCGAGAGAGGGTGGGTGATTCAAGGGGTCTTAGGGAACTCTATTGACTCGCCAATTGTCGTCATAGCGGCCCACTGATCGCAAGATAGCAACCGTAACCAGACACACCCCCTTGCCCCCATCGAGGGTTAACTTATCGCTTGACATTGAGTCAGCATTACGGTCAAGGCGAATATCACTAGATCGTATTTTTAGACTAGCACACTTATCGCTAGTAATACTACCCCCTAATGGCAAGAAATCCTCGTGAATCATCTAAGGTTTTATGGCGATTCTCTTATAGGTTATTGTCGGTTTCAATTCCTTGGGGCTCCACTGTACCCCCAACGATATCGTGCAGGTCACGAGTTTGGCGTCTGCTGCCAGGCATTATCAATGGGGTGCTAACAATCTACTTAATGGGTTTTGGTTGAATTTCGCTATCTGGCCAAGAAATTGCAAAAACCAAATCAAGAAATATAGAATATATATATTGCAAATCAATTAAGAACCTGTCACTGGTATAAATTCTATAATTGAACTAATTAATTGTCCATCATTAAATTCAAAGAAAAATGGAAAACATAAGTTGGGAACCCGAGCTCAGCGTCTAGTCTTTTAATAGAGGCAATGCCTTAAATTTCCTGGTTACGCTCTTTTTGCATAACGCTTTTGCGCCCTAGACAACAGCAGACGGTGGAAAAATTATACGAATATATTTGCATCTATAAATATCAATACAGAGGCGTGATCAACATGATCCACAGCCGTGACAATGAACTGATAAGAACTGATAATGCCACCAGCAAATGAGGGTTTCCCTTATGTCACCTGATGAATTGATGGCTATTTAACAGAGGGGGCGCGTGCATTATGTCGAACAATGTCTAAAAGATATATGTATTTAATATACAAAATATCGTGGATAAGTAAACTATAACTATTACTCAACTGGCTTATTTTGGGCATATTACTAGTTTGCGATACAAAATATTTGCTGTCTATATGGGGTGGGACAGCCCAAAATAAATTGGTTTTGCGACTTTGTCGGTAAGAAAAAAAAATAATAAAATAGTCAAGCGTTTCCTGTCATTTTTGTCGTGGCATGTGTAGAAACTGCAGTAAATGTCACAAATTGACTACTTATTAGTGGCCTTAATGATGGAAAGACTAACAATTACTAATTTGTATATGATTTTGTGAAACAAATTTTGTGAGAACTATAATTAGAATGAATTCTTGCTACATTGAATTCTTTTATAAAAATTATACTGATTTTCTTTTATGATCTAGCTAGGGTTAGAGTACATTTTTAAAATACTTATATGAGGAACGTTTTTCTAGGTGTTTACAAGACAAGTTGAGGGTTAATTTAAGTGAAGGTTAGAGTACTAATATTTTAATATATAAATATTTTTCATTTAATATGAAATAATCTATTTAAAAAGACCCAATGAAACGGAACCTTTCAAATATTTATATTAGAAGGTGTTTACAAGTAAAGTGTGGGGTTAAGTTAAGTTAAGGTTAGAATACTAATAGATTAATATTTAAGTTTCTTGAAATTATTTCTCGAGGTGTTTACAAGTTGAGTGTTCTGTTTACGATGATAATGATGTTTTTTTTTTTTGAGGGGGAGACTCACGTGTAAAGGCGACTGGCCTGCAGCTGGGCCACCAGACAGGTGATTCGCTCGGACACCTGTCGCGTCATCTGGGTGCCAATGGCCAGGGCGTCGTCCATGGATGGCTCCATGGAGCTCAGCTTGCGCTGCTGTTGGGCCTTCAAGGCGGCGGCATTGGTGTCCAACTGGTCCATAGTTTCCGCCTCCTGCAGTTCCATCTCCTTGAGCATCTGCTGCTGCTGCTCCTGTTCCAGTTTGCGGAATCGCGGACAGAAACGCAGGAGTTCGCTCTTTTTTTGCGGTGCAGGGGTAATGCTGACTTTGCGAGTGGGGGTCGTGGTCGGAGGTGGAGATTTCACAAGGGTTTCGGTGACACCGCTATCCTCGCTATCGCTGTTTGTGATCGAGGAGGAATCACTGCTACTGCTCAGCTCGAGATCCTCCAGGAATTGCTGCTCCTTCTTCTGCAGCTCCTTCTTCTCGCGCTTCTTCAGCGTGTACTTGACACTCTTCACCGCCTTCGATGGCATTCCACAGGCCATGTAGCGTTCGATCTGCTGCTCGTTGTTTTTCTCCACGATCCCTGAATTGTGGCACATCTTTGCATTGGTTTCTATGGGCTCCGGTTGTCTTGTAAATGGGGGTTATCCTCTTTTGTTCTTCTCTTGATCTCTTTCTTTTGGGGCACTCTTCTTTGTCTCGCTTCGCACAGCAAAAAAATTGTTGTTTCTTGGGGTTACTTAACTTTGCGCTTTTAAAATATATATTTTTTTGTATTTTAAATTTTGGGTACTTTTATTGTTTTAGAACACCGCGTTTAATTTTTGGGTTGGTTTTTTTTTTTTTTGTTAATATCTGGGGATGGTTGGTTATTTGGTTTCTTTTCGAGGATTCCGGGGGGACCAAGTGGAAGTGTGTGCGACACGCGGCGCGCTGAGGTGTGCGATTTTGAATGGGAAGTCGGCGCTGGCATTAGGTTTTATATATACCGCCGACCGAACGCCCAGTTCTTGCGCCGACGTCGCTGCCGCGCTCTGCTTCCGCTCTCTTCGAATTTCGGATTCGTATTGGCTCTCTTTTGGATCTCTTTGGGCTCCATTTTTTGTACTCGGCTGATGCAACCGTGGGTCCAATGGCGTTACGGATTGTCCAGTAATCTAGTTCACCATGATCGCGTGCTTTCTTATCCACAAACTGCATACGAAGTTTTCGGGGACGTAGAACCCATTTCTTTTGAACGAAACGAAATGAATAACAAGTGATTAGATAGGTAGGCCTTTCATCATATACACCGAATATTATATTATTCAGTCGTAATTCAACACCACACTTTTATTCTGGACATATGTATATTATTATATTTTTAATGCAACGAGTATAATGATTTAAGCTACGTTTTTTTAGTGTACTTATATAATTTATAACACTTCGAATTTTATAAATATAAAATATAAAGTATAAAGGAAAAAAAAGATTTACTTATCAATCAAAACAATAGATTTAATTTAAGGTTTCACGTTTCTTTAAAACTTGAATTTTTTTTTAAACCTTGTAAACCTACAAACTAAAACTTCAACAATACATCCCACTGTGCGATGCATTTAAACTGGATTATCCCCAAAAGAGAGCGAGAGAATGGGAGGCTGGGCTTTCATAGGGGGTCGGTCTCTTAGGAACATCCCAATATTTAAGAGCACCGCCTTATCACCACCACAAAGTCTCAATTAACGGCGGCTGTCACGCTGCGATCGTTTGGCATTATGCCGCCTTATAAGCACCTGACAAATGGACGCCACATGTGAATAGTTTTCGGCCTAACCTTCAGTCGGCCCTTCTTCCTCCTCCCTCTTTCCACCCTCTTCTTCCTCTTTTCTTCTTTCTTTCTAAAAACTTTCCTACAATGTTGCGGCGAGAAAAAGTTTGGAATTCACTGAAAATCACCTGCAAATGGTGTAAATTTCGCAGACGTCAGCGATCAGCGATCAAAAGCAATCCCCGCTTTTAATATTCATTTATATATTCTTTGGATCCAACAATTCTGGTTTACCGAGCATGAGTCGTCCGCTTGAATTCGGCGAATGGATTTCGATCACTGACGTCGAGTGGATCTCGATCTTTTTCGCGATTCAGAGGAACTCCTCTGGGAACTCTGGGAAATATTTGTTAGACATTTTGAGGGGAAAAACTTGTTAGAGATCCCCCGATTTTGTTAGAAATAAAATACAATTTTAAATTCTTTAATAAGTTTGTTCTTAGGAACTTCTTATTATATCAATATTATAGTATTATTATATTATATTAAAATGTTTACTTACAAATTCTCAGCTTATCATAGTAACAATCAGAAACCATTTAATTTTCCATTCAATGGAAATAGCTATTGGTTTATAGACTAACCAAAAAAGGAACCCCACACAGAAATATCGCTAAATCGAAGTGAAATAAGCCCGATAGGAAATGCTAATGATAAGGATAGTCTCTGGGTGAGTCAGCCTGTGATTCAGTTGAGGATCAACCAGATCGTCTCAAAGTCCCCGACAGAAACTGACCATTTCTTGTGATCCCATATTGGGCAATTCACCCACATAATAATGCGCAAAAAAAAGCGGCGAACGTGATGGCAAAAAATAGAATGCACTGATTAGTGTTGATTCAAGGTCATTTGTGTTGATTAACCGACCGACCGCTCAAAGGCTAATCATGGCCAATCGGCGGACCTTGGGCATTATCCCCGATATATGGATTCGCGGACCCTGTTGGATTCTTGAGAGCCACGATGAGTGGGCAAGAAATCACAAGTCAATTGGTTGACCAAAAGCGGAATTAATGGCATTATTTGTATGTAAGGAGGTGGTCGATCGTCTCGATCGGCGGAGAGATCTACGTCCGGCCAAACAGACACGTCGGAACAGAACGATCGGGATTGGGATTGGGATTGTGGAGCCGCAATTAGATAATGAGCAGTTTGTCGACGATCGGTGCGATGACGACCATCTGCATACATCATCTTATCGATTCGAGGAGGAGAATCCCCTTGTCATGTGGCGCACGTTCCGCGAGTTGTCGGCCCCAAAACTTATTCATAAGAAATATTATTAATGAATGAATTTCGAAATTGAAAATTGAAATCTGCAAATGGCTGCTCAATCGATCAATCAGACAGTCGAACAAATGCAACGATCGATAAAAACAAGGGGAAAAGTTTTGAAGAGAGCAAAGGTTGCTAGGCAAGCTTAAGAATTAATAGATCAATAAATTAGTGTGAATATTAAGTCCTTTAAAAAGTCTGTAATTTAAATTCCAAACCCCAAATAGATACATCACTTGGACAATACATTTTTTTGCACTTTGTACTAGTAAATCAATCATTAAATTGGTTAATTGTCTGTGATATATGGGCTAGTGAATGATATAACGATTAAGTAAAAGTATTCATAGAATGTTGGCATTAACTACAATATAAATTATTTGCCCACACTTTGGGGCGTGTGAATGCCATAAATAATACAAAATAAATAAGTAAAACAAAATAGGATTAATTTAATTTCGACAATACATTAATATACAAGTGACCTTTAAAATGAAGAGTAATTAAATTGCACAGATTTGGTTAAATGATTATAATTATGATATTTATATTTTTTTTTTATAAAGACTAAATATATTTATCTCAATTACTTTATATGGTATTTAAATGATATGATACTATGGTTGTATTTGCATTTGTTGAAGATCGCAAAGACATCAGATATCATTTATTCCTAGTTGCTTTATCTTATTCTTCGTTGAATATTTGGACTTTGCGGTTATAATCTTGTCGTTCGATTAGTTTTTATAGTTTTGGCTGGTTTCTTTTTGCTACGGTTGGGATGGTACGTGGGCCAAGTCTGGTTTGTTATTTCTTAGTTGGCGCTGTGGCAAATTCCACTTCATTTTGCCTCAAATGCGGACGTGCCGGCCGGCTTTCGCGTCATATGGGCCAGCAAATGGATGGATGGGTAGAAATTGGAAAGGGGGGGACCTTATAGATTACGGGGGACACTCAGCGATGTTCTTTCTTTTAGCACCTGACGCACACCAAATGTGTTTTTTTTTTTTCTTAAAGAGAGCTGATGAAAGACGTCAGGCGTCAGCATCAGCTGTCCATTGTGGCATTGATCCAACTGAAGAGGGCAATATTTCCCACGAAATACCGAACCGCCCCCTGAGAACCACCCCTTTTTCCACACCCACCCACGCGCCTTCACTCAATCATTGTCCGAACTGAGGCGTAATCCCTTCATGGGGGCAAAAAACACAAACACCGGCCCACGTGAGAGGTCTAGTAGTAGATCCAGACATATAGGTTATGCAGATACGCCCACCGCCCACTTTTCTGGAGTCACATGAGTCACCTAAATCACCGGGAAAACAAAAGCGTAGATTGTTGACAACTCAATTAGCGCCCGAAAGTGGTGAAAAAAATATGAAATTAATTTTGGAGAGCAAGAGAAAACAAAAAATATTTGTCATATTTCTTAATTTCCTCAAGATATCTTTGATATATCATTAAAAAATGTAGTTTTCTGTTTATCAAACGGAAATTGTCTGAGAGATTAGCATATCCCTTTAAAGTTCCATGATTTCTTATATGATAGTGTTTTTGGAAGATTTCACTCTTGGGATCATAGCAGAATGTAATTAAAAATCAAAACAATTTCAGTTATGGATGAAAATGCCCATTTTAGGTATTTCACCATGAGTTAGTCTAGCTGTTTTTGCGAATGATAAGCGGCTGGGAAAGGAGAGGAAAAATTCCAGAGAGAAATAGAAAGAGAGGCAGACAGAACTCCGCTGCAGTTGGGACTTCTGTTATCAGCACAAGTTGTTGGTTGTTGACGGCAATCGATTTTGTTTACAAGCTCCATTGTCGTGTTTTTTTTTTATTTGCATTTATTTTTTAATTTCTTTTTTTTATGGCCCACTGTTGCCGACTGGCCGTTGTTTTCTGGGTCTCCCGCCCACTCTCTCCCGCTCTTAAAAACGAAAAGAGAATCTCTCTTCGGCTTTGGCTTATCACAAACAGGTTCAATGGCTCTTGAATGCCTTTTCGCACCGATCTTTTACGATCTTCTCCGCTCTCCTATGATCTACATATGTATATGCGTATTTGGGTAGGTCAGTTAGGAGCTAATAAGAAGCGGAAAAAGACATAAAATAGAGGTAATAAAAAAAAAAGCGTCGATCGAGTAAGGAAATAATTAGACCCGAGATCGATTAGTGATAATTAAACCGCATAAGTATCTCCCATTATGGATCGATAAATGCACCAGGAGAATTCTTCTTCGCAATTAAGTGATCTTAAAGACCCAGGGTGGGCAGATTAAGACAGGCATTTCGAAAAAATTCCAGAAGAATTCTTCCAGGCGTGTGGCTTCTCTACAAGAATATGTGTATAAATATGTAGTCTGAAATTATTTTATAATCTTAAAGTAATAACAAAATCACTTATAAGTATGATACAAAAAAAAGGCTCAAGATAGCACAATACAAAGATTATTTTAAAATATTTATTTTCCCATCACCATATCATTTAATTTGAATTGCCGTTTTCCTTAATCCTTTTGGACAACACTTGATAAATTAAATTATTAAGGTAAATGGGCCATTTAAAACAGCAATTCATCTTCAAGGAACGATTTCCTTGAGCCGATTATATTTACTCATGACTTTAAGCCCAGTACATCTTCTTTTTTTATTTTGGCCATCACACTTATGAATCTCACTCAAGATTTATCTTATACGATCAGATTCAGAGATTGTCCCAAGTAGAGTAAAGCATTATCTCAGGCCGACGATCGTTCGCAAATTGCTCAGTTTCGGTTTTAATACATATCTCTTTTTTTTGTGGAATTCTTTTGCTTTCATTGATTTCAATTTGCAAATTGCGAGCGGCACAACGGAATTTGTGCTTTGTTTCCCACAGCCAAAGGAATAACGACCCTATCCCCGTTCCGAGTTCCCATTCGATGGCAGTCCATCATGTATATGTAGCTGTCCAGCCGGCAGTTCATCATCATCTAGAGCCCGCTAATCTGGCGTATCTGTAGCCGTACACAGAGATTAATTTGTTAGAGATTAATATTATGATGGGTTCTGTTTTTGGTGTTCACACAATATATTTTTAATTATAATTCCCTATATAGAGGGAATTTCGAATAGCTTGTTTAATGTATTTTTTTTTTGCACCTATGTCAAATAATTTAAAATTAGTAAGTTTAGATAGTTATTGTTGATTATATATTTTTCCTATTAAAAACCTAGGAGTAATAGTATTTATAAAGTTCGTTAAACAACGAGAGCTTAAAAAATATCGATATAAGTGTTTTTTCAATATTGTGAAAATATCGAAAATATCGATAATTTTCATGTTGTAGATCCAACTGATTTGATCATTATTTAAGTTATGAGTATTGTTTTTCTCCGTGTATCCTCATCTGCGACTCTTTCTTCTCAGTGCCTCTGTGGATTTTGTTTTAATTTTGAATGCTTTTTTTTTTTGCGACTCTCTGAGCAGCGCTTGGTTTGGCGGCTTTTAGTGGTTTCAGTGGTTTCAGTGGCCCGGTGGCTCTGTGGAGAGTGGCCTACGTGACTCGGGAATCCGCGGCAATGTCCGACGACCGACTGGCGACCGGCGACTGTTGCAAATCGAAACGAAACGATTCGCTGGATCCGCTGGATCCGCCACCAAAAACCTGCCCCGGATCACAATTTGTCCGCCGCCCGGGCAAACCTCTTGATTATGTTATTTATTTATTTAGCCATGCTCGTTAATGTTTAATGTTATTGCCGCGCGTCGCCTCGGTGGCAAAAAAAATATATATATTCAAAGAAAATCCATTGAAACGAAACCTCATTCGGAATGATATATGAAAGTCCTTTTATATTAAGTCGATAACTCAAGACTCTGTCTAAAATATTATGGCCTAAATTTGAGAAAATTCTTTGAACTAAAATGAATTAAATAATGAAAAACAAGCTTTATCATTCTTAAATTCAATGAGTTTTAAATAAATTGCTGAGATTTAAATATTAATTTTTAATTGCCAATAAGTATTTGTGTTCGTAAGTTATCAAAGTTAATAAAAGCCCATATACCTTTAAGTTAGGGTAGCGGAAAATTGAAAACTGCTAGCGTTTCATGTTGCTGGGTGCAATGCGATCACCTCCGATGTTGCTGCTGTTGGTGTTGCTGTTGTAAGTGCTGCTACTGCCCCGATCCACAGACGCCCCCCTGGGGAGCAGGGGCGTAGAGAGGGGGGCCCCGATCGGTTGGCCTGTCTAACGGCTGCGTCAGCAGAGACACACACTTAATATTTTTGCATGGCAACCACTTGCCTTGCCGTTTGGCTGTTGCTACCACGAGTCTTACATTTTGGCCATGTGATCGCTGTATTGGCTTTTTGGCTCGCGACGGGGGTGCGGTGGTCCCCCCGTCCGCCAAAAAAATTAAAAACTAGTCACAGCATTATCAAGCTAAAGCTCATCCACACCCGCGCCACATGGAAAGAAATCTATCTATCTACAAAAATATTTTACAAATATGTAAAAATAAAAAAATTACAAAATCTTTTTAAACTTTTTATAAAAGATAAATGGGACAAATGAAAATATTTCTTTTGCAAACAGTTCTTTGAAATCTATATTACTTTATGAATATGTACTTTTCAAAATTGTTCTATAATTTTCTATATATTTTTTTGAGTCGTTTTCTTTCTTTCAGTGTAGCCTCAATGAAATAGGAACACGCAAACAGGTGGGAAAAGGGGGCGTGCTCTTGATATACTTGACGCAATGCAAATCAGTTAACACTCTCGATCAGCGATAATATTTACCCATTTCAGTTGTTTATACGTTTGTTTGTCCATCATTTAGTGTAACATCAGCTACTTGACAACAGAGATTGTTAGGCGATAGATCTCTCCATGGAAGTCTTTTGGCCAATGATCTTGGGAGTTTCCGTTACTCTGAAGTATCGGTTGTTTACCCATTCAACTTATTTTATTGGGCACACAGACTTGTAAATTAAGGCTTGGCTTGAATTTTAATGTTGCCATCAGTTAGAACCCAATAATGTTCTACTGAAAATATATGGAAAGTTTTCAGAGTGGGGAAAAAACGAAAGGGAACTTTTGAAGTGCAGTAATATTGGATTAAAAAGAATAAAGCCTTCTTCCGGTTAAGAATTAGTAATAATTTGTTAGTAAATATTTATTTAATTGTGTAAACTATGTTTTTGGAATTAGTGATTATAAGAAATTTTTAATAAATAAACCAAAAACGGAAGTAATGTTCTCTTACTTTAAATTTAAGTAAACACAATAAATTTCACTTTATTAAGTGTTTTATAAAATCCAAATAAGTATATTTAATTGATCCATAGCTGTCACAATAATCATTTACCTTATTGATCGTATTTGCAGGTGTACCTGGCACTTTTCCAGCCGCTGCACGTGACTCGCCATCAGTTCAAGAAGGTGCTCAACTGCATGAAGGTGATACGCGCCCTGAAATACCAGGAGGTCTATGCCCAGGAGAAGGTCACCAAGGTCGACAGCCTGTCGCTGGTGCTGAGTGGCAAGTGAGTGAGCTACATTTCCGCATTTCGGAATGGTTAATAACTATCGAGTATCCTAACCACAACAGATTGGTGGTGTCGCAGCATCAGCGAGCCCTGCACATTGTGTTTCCCCATCAGTTCCTAGACTCGCCGGAATGGTTTGGCGTCTCGACCGATGACTACTTTCAGGTGGGTGTGATAACACAGAAAAAAAAATTTAATATGAAATAAGGTAATTTCTTCTTTATTTCATATCAATAAAAAGCCGATATCAAACATATCAACTTGATATTTTATCATTTCATAAGGTTTATAAAAATACTGTTTTAAAATACCAAATGTAGTACATAATCTTGATTCATATCAAAATGATATGAATAATTTGATCTTAAAGAAATATTAAATTAATCTGCTCATATCAATCGGATCTTTTGTCAATTTTTTTTCTGTATGTATTAATATTATATTTTTGTTAATATGATAATAAAATATCGTTTATTAATAGGTCTCCATCATGGCCATGGAGGAATCGCGGGTGCTGATCTGGCATCGCGACAAGCTCAAACTGTCAATTATGGCCGAGCCCTTCTTGCAGACCGTTTTCGATCACATTCTCGGCCGGGATGTGGTCAAGAAGCTGATGCAGGTCACCCAGGTGCGTTTGTAAGTCGCTCTCCAGATCAAACCATTTCAAAACCTCCTTATTTTGTTTCCAGGTGAGCGAATCGATAGCCAGCAATGGCTTCCTGCCATCGGGAGGATATGCGGAGGATGCAGAGGATAAGCCCATGTTGATACTCAAGAAGAGTGTGGATGTGGGCCACGGACTGACGGCCCTGATCAACCGGCAGCTACAGGGTGAGTGCGGCCCCCTTGACCCTTGACCCCCGGTCTACTCTCTCCCTCCCTTCCTCGAATATCTGTTCACTATCTACCCAATATTGTACAGCAGCGGTTGACAAAATAGTATCACTGCAAAGATAAACGGAAAGGTTTTTAATAAATTTGTATTTATTCAAAAGAAGAAGTTATAACTTCTGAGAGGAGATGATAATAAATAATTGTCATTATTCTGCTGTAAAATTAATACTAAAATTTTAAAAAATATATATATTTCAAAAATATTTAACTGACTTTATAAATGGAGTTTTGAGTATTTTCGTAAATATATATTCCCAGTGCTATTCATGTCACCGCTGCTGTTGCTAGCTTTTTCCCACGCTTTCATTAACTTTCTTGGTGTTTGGGGTTCTTGATTTCTTCACCTTCGACCTTTGTGTGTCTCCCTCCCCCCGTGTCTCTCTCTATATATCTCTCTCTCTGTTTGCACGCTTTCTGCATGGCCTAAAAACCTAACCTTACTTGAATTAAACCCGTAATATAGTTTAATTTAATTTTCTTTTTAATATATATATTTATTTTGTTTATTTTCTGTGCATTTTTGATTTTTGATTTTCGGTTTTTGTTTTCTTTTTACCTTTTTTCTACGCCAAAACTCTAATTTTAGAAGAGCATGTTCCTTTACTTGGTCGCACGTACAAACAACAACAACAACTACTACTGCAACAACTGCAACTAGAACAACAACAACAACCCGTACAAGAAGCAGCAACAACAAGCGCCAACAACATCGAGCAAAGTGCAATCTGAAATTATGCAATCGCCACGCTGCTCCGCTGCTCAACACTTGCTCAACTTGCCACGAAATCAGAAATCCGAGCACTCCTCCTCCGTCCCTTCACCTTTGACCTGCACAACAACAAGAACAACAACAACTACAAGAACCACACCATCACCCACACAAGCAAACAATCATCAGTCATCAGTCAGCCATCAATCAATCACATGAAGCAGCAAACAAGCAACAACTACGATCATCTGAAAAGAAATGCCGAAGAAATCTGGAAACTATCCATCTTAATCCGCATCTTGAATCCAATGCATACATATAAATATATATATAATCATCTCATACCTAGCATTTAGCAAAGCAACTAGCACTAGCTAAACAAACATCTAACACACATCTAATCGTTCTAATAGCCAACTTTGTATCACAACCACCCCGCCAAGCCAAGCAAATAGACAGGCACTTGAGATCTTTGTGTAAACTATACGTCTTGGGAAACATCAAGTTTGCAGCCCAGCGGAAATGTTCTAAAAAATAAAATCAGTGTTGCCATTTCTAGAAAAAAACATACTGAAAAGTAAAAAAGATTTATATTAAATAAATCTAATATAGTATAGTATTATTACAACCCAAAAATTTTCATTCTCTTTGTAATTTTAACTATCTTAATTGTTAATTATAAACCTTAATTTTTCTGCCAATTAAAAATAACTAGGAAACATGGCAACACTGCTCAGAAATATGTTCATTTTGCTCCCTAAATATCCTTAGCAAAAAACTATCGTTAGCTGTAGTCAAACCAGTTGTAAAAATTGTAATTTATTTTGACTGATCATGGTTGTATGTTGAGTTGCAGTCGTCGGACAAGACACTTGATTGCGTTTGCTCATGAATTAGTTTCAGTTTGAGTGGGCTTTTGAGTTGAACACGATCAAGCGACAACCAAGGTTTCGATTTTAAATTAATTGATTGTGGTTGTTAATTCGGAATGAAAAAAATATTATTTGATATATTTGATAAATTGTACAAATTATTATTATATGAATCTGAAATAGATTTAAAATATACTTTTTTTTATTGTAAGGACAATTTAGGGATCTTTTGATCACAAAAATAACAGCAATATTTTTATTTTATTTCTCGTCAACTATTTAATTATTACAATTAATATAATTACACAATATACATATTAGAAAGTTATCAAAGGATTTGTAATGAGTACTAACTAGTTCTTTGACATGATTGCAATGTGCTAACTGGTTTGATCAACAGCACTTCAGTTTCAATTACCGATTCAAGATCTTCAGGTGACAGGTGATAAATGAACTTTTCCGCTGGCCCAAGAGTTTTCATCGCTTTATTTAATTTAATAAAAAAAAATGAATTTGATACCGCTTGGCATTTCATGGAAATTTACCGTGCTGGCACATCCATCAACTCTCTATATCTTCCATTAACACATTATTCTCTTTTTGTACCTCCTATATGCATACGTTTCTGTTTTTTTTTCGTTGATTTGTCGATTAATTTGCATACAAATTGAGCTTGAAGAAAGCGTGAAAACTAATTAGAATTAATATCGAATAATATTTGAGATAATGTTAAGCAATACATAGCCTAAGTTGTTGTACATACGCTATATACATATATACATATATTTGCTGTACATAACCCCCAGATTGCCCCGATAAATCCGAGAACCCCCATAAACCAAGGCTCCCCCAAGAAAGTGTAATAAACGAAAAGGAATCAATGTGAATGTAAACAAGCCAAAAACGAAAGCTAATAAAACAAAAAAAATATATAATATATAATATCAAGATGAAGTATTCGAGATTAATCCATAGTTTGGGCACGCGCTCAGCCATTTGACATCATTAAATGGCATTGATATGTTTTTTATTCTAATTCGCATTATTTGGCCTGCCGCCACGAGGAAAACAAAACAATATTTGTTATTTAATTAAACAATTTGGCTGTTGTCGCGATCGCCGCGTGTTGATGGCGATCGTCTCTATAGTCTCTATAGGCTACAGCTTTGTGCAGGGCCTGCATTCATCGATCGATCGGCTTTGCAAGTAATCATAAAAAGTGGAAAATAGCAGCATGCCCATAAACTTACACACAAAGTGCAGTGCCGACAGCAGTACGCATATTGCCACGCCCTCCACCCGGCCACGCCCCCTACCCCACCATTTCCGCCCATTTATGGTGTTGTACGGAAAAGTGAATCGAACTGCTGCTAATAGAAATGGTTTTTTAAAGGTACATCTTTATTTTTAACGATTTCCCAGTTTAAAAAAAGGAAATTTATTATTTCAAGTGATAGTCAAATGATTTTACATTTTAATATAGGTATATCGCTTTATTTTATTATCACCAGCGATCGGCACGCGAAAGTAAACTTGGAACCTAAAAATATACTCGCTATTTGATTAGAGGTTCTGAAAATAGCATTCGATTTCAAGCGTTACCTTTTCTATTAACGGAATAGCATTGTATTTACTAGTAAAATATTTGATCACGTGATACAGTTATCACAAAATCGATCTGTTTTCTGTATATTACACATGTTTCATCTAAAATATATATGTGCTGATTATTCACACCCCCAACCGCCCCCCTTTTATGCTAACCACGTTCTTCTACTGATTTTTCACCATCAACGACAACAACAACAAGTTTATCTATCTATGTTTGATTTGTGATGAAATTTATGTATTTGATTTTCTATTTTTTCGGTGACTATAATTTTGTTGTATGTCTAACGTAAACGTTCCAAACCAAAAAACTCCATCATAAACGTTAATCAACAACAACAAAACTACAACAACAACACGACCAATCAAAAAAACCAACAACAACTACCACGAAAACAGCCCTGCCCAGGATATCGAAGTATTATGACTGCGGTAAGTTTAAAGTCGTGTAAGGAAATGGATCTTAAGTTTCGGGAACCGAAACATCAAATGCCCTTGCAGACCGATTGCTATATAGAAACTATTTGAATTTGTTGGTTCGATTAATGTACGATACTATTTTTGGGAGCTTCCGTTTTAGAAAATACAAAAAATCCACAGAAATCAGTAAAGATTTCAAATCACTTTATTATGGTGCCTAAAAGTATGCAGTAAAGTTTGCATTGTGCTTTTTTTCAGAATTTCGAAAATAAACTTTTTTAACTGAGAGATACATTGATTTTTAAGTGGTCCGATTGCACAATTTCCATCTAAAAAATCCCATTCCCTCTGCAAGGGTCTAGAAACAACAACAGCAGCCCACCGCGTATGTATGCTAGCCTGTGTGTGTCCCTGTCTCTTTCTCTGTCTATACAGCTATCTCTCTCTCTCTCTCAGTCGGTGTTCAATTTTCTGTAGTGTGACCGTTCGTGTGCCTGCTTTTAGATTTGTGCATGCAAAACTTTGTTAATTGTAATTTCCATTGTTTTGGATTTAAAAAAAGTTGTTTTTGAGCAAAATGTTTTTGTAAAGTGTTTGGTAAATTTGGGAATTTTAGCCTTTGCCTCTTCACCCATGAGCTTGTGGGTTCTTTGAATACAAAATTTAAATAAACGTGTATTCCTTCTTTTTCTTCCCCTTTTTTCTTCAACTGTCTCTTTCAGCTGGGGATCCTAACTCTTGGCGCCTTGGAAGGATCGATGAGACGGACCATGAAACGGCCGTTTGAGAGGGATCGAGACGAAATGTTTAGACTTGTGTTTTTGAGTATTATTAGATGTATATTTTAGGCAATACTGAGGAACGAAAGTTGCGAAAATCCAACAGAGCGGATCCGAGGAACCCAAATACCAAGAGTCGTTATACAGAATTATTTATATATGCTATATGGAGCTGGTAACAATTTGGTAACGGGTATTCTTCTCTTGTAGTCGTGGAAATTACCTAAGATTAACATAAATTTGATTAGTGACATTAAAAAAAAAAACACATTAATAGCCAAAATTGTTGTTAAGTATTTCAGTCGGCTTTTGCAAGTTTAATTGTATTTTTTTTTAATACGAAGCCAAAATGAATAAATCTCAACGGTATTATATATTTTTTTAAGGCACTACGAGAAGAATACCCCTTGAAAAAGAAAAAGAGAATGAAAATATATATGTATACACAAATTATATATTAATTAAAACTAGTCTAGTTGCAAATTGTATTACGCCTATAACTACGGATTAGACGAATGACAAACCAAGACGAGAATTAGAAGGAGAACAACTGAAATGAAAATGTTTATTAATTAAATGGAGAAAAATGTATTTTTTTATTACCCTAAAGTTAAGAGATTATAAACGAAAAGAAAAGCAAAGAAATCGGGAAAAACAACAAGAAAAACCAAATCGTTAAGTGTGCAATATACAGATATAAATACACGATATGTACATGAATATATAGGAGTAGTTAAGGGAAAACTAAATATATTTGTGGCTACTCCCCAGCTAGATGCAAGAGAACATTCCATCGTTGATTAAACCTATTCAAAAAAGAAAACCTATAGCAATCACTACAATTTCTACATACAGTTCCCGCCTAAATTGTCACCTCAATCCAATCCTGTGAAATGAGTGTCGAATGCAGAGTTCAGTTGGTTTTCCCACATATATATATTCATATTCATGTGCCTGAATTTATGCATGTGCATCAATCACAAGTTGAATAATATGAAAGGTCGAAAATTAATTTTGTTGAACCATGAACACACTAGCTAGGTATAAAATAACACAACAAACCCCAAACATGAGGAATACATATAAATGTGCGTTGGCAAAAAGAAATCTAATTAAATGCAAAATATTAAACCCTGGAAATGGCTAACAACTAAAACCAACCCCCCCGCCCATGGAGGAGGTTTCGAGCTGATATTCCCGACCCCAACCCCAAAAGCCGACTCATTAAAACCATTGCCATTATGCATAGAGCAGGAATTTGGTTTCACGCCCGCAGAACTTCCCCCTAAATTGCAACGCATTGTATTGTATCGATCCCAACGTTTGTCTCATGTAAGTTAATGGTTAGAAAATAGCAGATCCCCAAAATCCACATAGAGCATACACAAAACTACATACCAAACCAAACCGAACAAAAACAAATAGTTCAATGTATTTCGTACCTTTGAGCATAATTAAAAATAAAGTAAAATGGACATGAAAAAAAAGTACATCGTGGTCTAGTATTATTCATTTCGGGCTCTGAAATTAGGTAAAAAACATATTAGGTAAGTTTAGGGGCTACCTATATTTATGTGTTATTTTTGGTATTAAAAAAAAACATTTCAAACCTACAAAAATATATATTTTTTTTTTAATTTCGATTTAAACTACATTTTTGTTTTTGGTATTTTTTATTATTTAAAATTTTTTTCAAACCTACAAAAATGTTTATTTAATTAGTTTATTTCGCTTAAGGGGAATCTGAAAGTTGAGACACTCGACTCGAAAGCTTTCCTTCTTGTTACTCCTTGGAACTAAGAATGAAACGAAACTTAATCCGTTTGCTTTGTAGTGGGTACCTATTGTACATATGGGAAACGTGAAAATCCCGCTGTTTGCCCTCCGATATGGCACAAATTGAGCCAATTAAAACGCTGCATTGTATAGGGACTGCCGACCGACCGTCAAGACCCATCAGGACCATCAAGACCGCCAAGGTTTCCCCCAACAGAAAGTAGACAGGGCCTGTGCTGGGCAGCATTCAGGAATATTAAGTTTCAGCCTTGGGCGCATAACAGTCGGAGAAGAGGGACTGCAATTAATGCATGCAAGTGGCCACAGATCCGGACCCAAACTTTTGGCCAACAGCAAGGACAATGTCCAGTTGGATAGTTGGCCAGTTCGCTAGCCGCGGGGCCAGGCCAAAACTCACTCGCAAAGTTGGCCAAACGACATTTTTAATATTTGATGCGGTTTTCTCTTCTGTCTGCGATGCCAACGGGTTGTTTTACTAGCGCACTCGGGGAAAATAATAATCAAATATTAAGTATACGTTTGAGTAGGATTAAAAAAATAATTATTTAATTTAAAATATCTTTCAAGTACTTTGCTAAAAATAGCTTTAATTTTTTTTTAAATTTACATTTTTTATAATTTTAAATCCTAACTAATACTTTTTTCTCAGTGCTTTTCAGGGCTCATCACGTTATTTATACATGTATTCAAATTGTGTGGTCCACCTTTTGACCCCCTCCCCTTCTTCAGTTCTAACTTTGTCCAGATTTCCACCCCTTAAAAGTTATTAGTCCATGGAATTTTCGCTAGAAACTTTAAATACTTATTCGTAGTATATGTATCAGTCAGACAAGCAGTTGTCAAGCAGTGCGACAAGCAGTCAATTGCAGGCTGCGTGCTAAACTGTTGCATATTTAGGGGGGCAGTCGAGGGTTAATTAACTAAGCGGGACTTCAAAGCGAAACGTCCTGTAAAGTCCTGTTTGTGTGTGTGTGAGTGTGTCTTCGGAACACAAACAGGTGGACTTAATCCCAGATTAACAGGTCCTTGCTTTATTTTTAACTCGTCGCCGGGTCACGTGTCCTGGGGTGTGCAAACATCAAAGTGCGACTTCCGTACAACGGAAAATTCTTTTTTTATAATATAAAATATAATAAAATAGTATATGGAGAACTTTTAAATAATTTTTTAGTACAATATCAAAAAATTTTGCCACAAAATTAAAAAAATCAAAGGAGTATTGGAATATTTATTTATGTAGTATATCAATATTATTGGCTAGTTACCACTGTACATATATGTCTTGCGGTCTTATTTAATGGAAAATACGGCAGATTGATTGAGTCCCAAAGTCGGGCAAATATTGGCTCATTTTTTTCCCACCCCGTATTATTTGCAACGAAATTGGATATTTTCATATTTTTAACGAAAGGCAAATCAAATAAATCGCTTCCCTTTTCGGAGGACCACAGGTACCTTTTTATTGGTTTGTGCACCGACAATTAAATGCTCAATTTTGTTGACTTAATTTATGGACGGATTCAGGATTCAGGATACAGGATCCAGGGTGAGAGGGGAGGGGAATGGGACGAAGGGGGCGTGGCAAATGCATGTGCAAAATTAATTGCAGGTCCTTTGCTCATTTCGTTTGTTGGCCACATTCTCCTTCCGCTCCACTTGCGCCCGAAGTTGCGGCTCTGTTGCCACCGGAGTTGCTGCTGGTTGGATTTAGGTTAGTCGTTCACCTTAAATCAGTTAATGTTAATCAGGGTGTCGCTGGTGGTGTTTTCCAGGGGGGGCGGGGTTTTTCGGAGGCAGGGGGCGGTGGGCGGAGGACTTGTCACTCAGTCAATTGCTTCCGTTTCCGTTTGACGCTTCCCATCCGGCGCAGGATGAGCAAGTGGTCTGGTTATGGCTGCTCCTCGGCTGGCTGTCGGCATTGTTGTCGCTTCGATGGATCTGCGACTATATTTGCACTCGGCGAAATAAACTATTTAATATTTTATTTTTAATTTGTAAATCAAGTTTATAAATATTTCTGATTAAGTAAATATTACAGCAGTTATATAGAAATAGGTAAAAATTATAAGTTTAACTTTTGTTGTCAATTTAAAAAATATAAACAAACATTAAATGTTGCTCTTTATGTTTTAAGGGAAATATTGTTCTCGATGTTTTAATTTTTTATAAAATCCAAATAGGAAAAATATTCAGATTTTAGTCCTTCTCAACTTTTGTTAACATATTGTAAGGTAAACTATTAAATAAAAAACATAAATGTGGCTCTTTCGTTTTTCAAAAAAATATGGTTCTCAATCTAAATAGGAAAGATATTTAAATTAAAGTCTTTTTCATTTCTTTTTCACACAAATTTGAAAAAAAAAAAAATCTAAAATATCTAAATATTTTTTTATATATTTTAAAGTTTGTAAATTACTGTAAATTATTCCCAGTGCTGTACCACATACTATATGTACTCGTATATATGTGATTGGGTCAGTCGGGAAGGCAGCGAAGCGTTACTCCCCGACCCCTGGAAGCCAGCAACCCTTCGCCAAGCGATTGGTCAATAACCTTAATTGCTCATCAATTTTCAGAGCAACAGTAGCAACATCAGCGACAGCAGCAGCAGCAGCAGCAGCAACACCAGTGACAACAGCAACATCGCTACAGCAAAGGCGCTAATCAGTCAGCACAACAGCAACAAATCTGTCCCTGCGGTCGATGTGTGTCACTATGCTAGATATCCGGACTCTTTGGGCGTCTTTGCTGGCTGCATTTAATCAATATTTCGTAAATGGCAATAATCTCGGCGACAAATTGAAGCTGACAAAGTGTCGCAAGAGTGTCCAACTTTAAAGCATCAATATAAAAATAAAAGAAACTCGGACCAAATGAAAATAAAAGCCCATTTGTTGTGAAAGTAAATACTTGGAGTGCACAAAGTTTTGCCTTGGCCTTGTCGAGATGTTGATGTTGCCAAAATAGGATTTCGAGGTCTACTTTCGCAAACAATGTCCTTTTGGTCGAATGACAAAAGGGCGACCGCAGAAAAGGGTGGCAACTCTTGCAACTAGCAACACCAACATTCAAATTCAAGTCATTTTTATAAGAATTTAATTTTATATAAATTATATTAAATTAAATTAACAAATGAACAGTTGCAGGCAGCATTTATTGTTTGCATTTGGCCGTAGTTATAAGTAGCTTATCAACACCATTTGTTTTTCCTATTTAATAATTTACGCTTTACACTTATGCACAACCATATTTGCTTGATATTTTCTGAATTAGGCAACACATTAAGCTTAAATAATAAATTTGAAAATAAAACAACATTGGCAATTAGTTGCGCCAGTTGGCGGCCGTATAAGTAGCTTAAAAACACCAAAAAGTCTTGAAATTAAATAATTAATGCTTTATTATCGTTTTTGGCTAAATACATTTAAATGGCTTAAAGCGAATATTTATTTGTAATTAAATAAGTAATTTTGTTTATAGAAAAAGCATGTAAAGAAAAAGTAACTTTAAAATAAAATATAATTTATAAAATATTAAATACATTTATATTAATATATTTTCGAGTTGTATAAAAAAAAATCAGGTGAAGAATGAATAATGTAATAAAATCAAATTTTAAAAAACTAAATATATTATTTAAATACATTTACATCCCATAAATGTCAAAAAAAAAAGTAAATGCAATATTTAATTTTTTTGGCCAGTAAGTAACAAGGAAAATGGTAGGAAAAATGCAGGACAAAAATTAAGAGAGACAACAGCGATATATGTACGCATACAAGTGAATAAAATTAGCAACCCACACATACAAAGACTCTCGCTTTAAAATCCACACACATTTACATACCGCCAGCAACAACAACACTAGCACTAGCAACTTGGACGCGTCTGTGTCCGTGTGCATTGGCAAACATTTGACAGTTGCAACAGCAACAAAATGCTACTCGAAAAATAACAAAAAAAAATAATAAAATAAACTGAAAAAAAGGCCAAAGTAAACTGCCAAAAGGCAGAACACAAACAAAAAAAGCGAACATTTTGTTAGTCCTCTTTTGCAACAAAAAATAGGGGAAAATAAAAGAAAAGGAGAAAACGAAAAGTGTTGCCAACATTTGCAGCGCATTTAGATGAAAACTTTTGCGAAAGTTGTAAACTCTGCTCCCTGCGTATTTAAATGCTAAAAATAGAGGGGGCAACGAGGCGGGTACTTGATTCTATGGCAAATTAAAGGCGCGCTTCCAACAACTTGTTGGCATTAAATTAGCACATCTTTGTTTGCTGCCAGAACGAGATTTAATTAAGATTTTAATTAATTTGTTTGCCTGTCAAACAAAATGGTGAGCAAATACTTGAGGCTATTTGCGTTAGCCAAATAGTATTTTATTTAATTAAAGGTTCTCTGCTGAAACTTTGTTCCAGCATAGTTTTTGCACCAAATGAACTAATTACACTAATCGGTATTAAAAAAAAGATAAAATGGTAGTTTTGAAAACAACCATTTTTTTGAGCATTAAAATAAAATTATAGCTTACTTTTCATGTTAATTTGGTTTTATTGAAGCGCCAAATTGAAGACCAAAATGGTTGAAAATTGCACTTTTCCCTCAGTTGAAGCCCAAAAATAGTAAAAAATCTTTGTTCATAGATTTCACTGCAATATTCCTCTCGCCTGATTACCTGTGAAATTTCTCGTTCTTCTGCCAATCAAATCTATATCATACATACTTTTTCGAGTCCCTGGCAGTTGGCTTAATTGCCTTTGTCCTTGGCTTTTGGGCTTTATGAGCAAAAATAGCACGCATTTTGCCATAGCAATAATCGGCAGCTTTTGTTTTCCATTTACTAGATTACACGTGGCTCTCGTATGCATACTTTTCACTATTATCCAATCCAATTCTGATGAAATACTCCTTCTCGGTACGACTCTATATGTGATATACTTGGTCGGAGCGGCGCAAAAGGAGAAGTGCACAGCAAGTAATTTCTAGAATTTTAAATGATTAAATAAACAACTCTTTCAAAGGTGTTTAAAAGTAGGCAATGAAAATTTTAGGTAAATTGTTGCACATTTTAAGGCACCTACCAAATAAATTTAAATGAATAAATCGCTAGGATTTGGAAAACTCTTTTAAAGGTGTCTAAAAGTAGGCAAGGAAAATGTTTAATAAATTGTTGCATACTTTTAGACACCCAAAAAAGTAAATATGAATTAAGGAAACTTCCAAACAATATAAATCTTTTACCAGATTTTCCTATATCAACGCATATTTTTTTTCAGTGTGGATTTTGCCGCTTAATCTTCAGCTTTTGTTCTGGACTGCTCTTGTGCGTGCACTCAGCAATTCCACACTTTCACAAGGTGCACTTAACAAGGTGCTCTAAGGCAAAAATGGAGTGTAAGTAGAAGTGGGCTGAGTATTTTTGGTGGGCGTGGCTCCGGGAGGCGGAGGGGGGTGAGGCATTGTTGGCCATACCCTTTTAATGTGGCACAATCATGGCACGAACTTACCTCAATCACATGTGGGAATTCAATTAAATAAACGAGAGCTGCAGCGAAACGAGCTGGGGCTGCAATAAATGCTTAGATTTGCAGGCAAGTGCAGCAACAACTTGGATGGCTATATCCCATATCCGCACACATATGTATATAGATTTAGCCACATACTCTAGTACGCACACACACAGACGGACGGACACACACAGACAGACAGTGGGGATCCCCAAGCGACCGGAAGTCACTTTTAGCTAACAACGGAAGTTGCAAACGTCTGCTGGTTGTTGTTATTACTACTCCTGGTTGCCGTTGGGCCACACAGCGAGAAATTATAAGTAATTCAAAATGTTATTATTTTTCTTAATAATAATCATATTATTTAAATGACAATTATATTTTTTAGGAATTATAATAAATGTATATATTATAAAGTTATTTTCTGTATTTCTTAAATAGTATTAAAATTTATTTTCTGTTTGGAAAGCATTAATTAATTTTTAAATTTTTTAGGAACAATAATAAATTAATATATTATTTTCTGTATTCTTTTTAAATTTATTCAAATTAATTTCAGTGCATTCTTTTTGGGCATATGATGTTTGTAATTTTCATATTCAGAATAATTGATAGGAACGGGGCTGAAACTCGAGATCCCAGTGATTTTCTGGCCGTGTAAAATGTAAAAGTTAATTTTCCATTGGTCATAGCCGCTATATTTAGGACTCTGCCAAGGAGGCGGCGACGAATCAAGGATTGGCGATGGCCATCACTAGGATGGAGACCATCAAAAGAGTAGATAAAATATGGCTGCTGTGTTTTATAATCGCAAGTGAACAGGAGCAGCAGCGACAGCAGCAACATCATCAGCACGAAGTCCTTCGTTTCGGTTCGTTTTACATGGCCGAGTTGGCTGCTTTGGGAGCCAGGACCAAAGTTTCCCTTAGTCGAGTGAAAGTTCTTCAGCGCAACGGACGTGCCAGCCAGGAATTTAGAATCAGACCCCCGATTTTTTGGCGCGCTTTTGAAAGTGTTGAATTAATTTTAGTTTAGTTTCGTTTTGGTTGTTTTTTTGGTTGTGTTTTTTTTTGTGTTTCGCCTTACGGTTTTATTGATTGAAGTTAAAAAATTCCGAAAAAATGAGGGATTATCCTTCGGTGCCCAATGTGTTCCGCGTGGCCTCCACGCACAGCATCAACAGCATGGAGAACCCGTACAACAACATCCGGCCAGCGAATGTCAACTGCAACACGATCGAAAGGCAGCAACAGCAGCCTTTGGCCATCCACCAGCTGACCACCAGTGCATCCATCGAGCATAGTCATCCATCGCAGCAGCAACAGTTGCTGGTGCACCACCAGCAGCAACAGCAACAGCAACAGCCACAGCATCACTCGCCCTATGCAACATTGCCGCGGGGCCAGCGATTCGCACCGCAGCAACATCAGCAAACTGGCCTGATCAACACCATCTCCGGCAGTATACCAGCCACGGGCTTTAGTTCTCTGGCCAACAGCTTCAGTGATCTGCAGTTGAACAACATTGGCAACCAAAACAGGAGCAACACCAGCAACAGCAACCAGCGACAGCAGCAGCAGCAGCAACATCGCCAGCAGCAACAGCAGCAGCAGCGACAGGTGGCCTCCTTGAGTCGCCACCAGCCAGTGAAAGAGGTGCAACAGCAACAGAAACAGCAGCAACATGTCCAGCGACAGCAGCAACATAGAATGGTCGGTGGTGTTGCTAGTGGAGGTGCTACCGATCCTCCGACAAGGGGCATCAGCAACATAACCAACGTCAACGGGGGTTACCTGTGGCTCCTCACACCTGTTGCAGCCAGGTTAGTTTGGAATCAGGATTCTATATAGTCTTACAAATTAAAAAATAAATATTTTAAAAGGAATAGTGATTATTTGTTGTAGTTTTTATTTAATTATAAATAATTTATGCATAATGTTCATTGAATATTTTTATCAAATATTTTGTTGTGTTCTTCCTTATATTTTAATTAACTTACAATTTAAATTGTGTGCTATTGTGTTTGATATTTATTAGATACATTTTATAAATAATCATTTCATTTATATATCAAAGATTAATAAATATTTGTTGTATTTTGGTATATTTCAATAAACTTCCTTTCCTTTTTAATATTTATATTATTATTTAAGAAATATATTCTTCTCATTGAATAACCCTTTATACATTTACAAAATGTTTTGAAGTTATTTTATACTCGAGTTATTGTATTTTATTTCTAGCCAACTTTCAAGTGCTGTTTCATTTTTATGCAGCACAGCTTTAGCTTTAGCCTGACTTTTTGAACTACTTTCCGGAGTTGATTTTTCGCAGGACAGCTTTAAGGGTCCAATGTCACAGATTTTTCGCAAAGGAAAATGCTCGAAATTCCTGTAGGGAAAGAACTAAATAGTCGAATCCTTTAAACCGATGGCGAAGGAGCTGCTGGCATTCAAGCAGCTTGAATTCCTGCACAAAACGCACACACACAATTTCCGCCCGTTCCATTTACTTATTTTTAAAGAAGCTGAACTGAAGGATAGGAAAGCAGGTTTCACGTGCTCCGCAACTGGCAAATGGCAGCTCGTCCTTGTCACAGGAGCAACCAGGACGTCAGGACATCCAGACATCCTTGCGCCTCCTTCATCCTTGTTGCTTGACAAATAATTGTGTTAGCGACACAAATCACTGCAAAGTGGGCTTAATTTGTTCGCAAACTATTTCGCACGAAAGTGCACAGCGGAAAGACGAAGTGAGAGATAAAAGTGAAATATTTGAATTAAAAATATTTTATAATTGAATGTTACATTTTCTCTTCTATTAAAATATAGTTTTATTTAAAATGCAGTATTTCAGTGTTTATAAGGAATAATTCTTTTAAAATAATTACATTTGAATTATATTTTATGGTTGTATTTATTACAATATTTTTGTTTGCTGTGTAATAGAGCGGTGAGAAGAAGTGAGGAGGTAGGACAGATTTATTCTGGCATTGTTCTTCGCAAAAGTTGCTTAATTTCATTCGGTTTTGAGATTCTGAACTTCAGCAGATTGCGCTCGCAGGCTTTGCTGGAGTGCATGCGTTTGAAGCCCGCTGTGCGGAAGATCTGGCCACACTGGCCGCACTTGTGTGACCAGTTGTGATGCCCTTCCTCGCGCTGATGCTTGTACAAAGCACGCCTGAAAAAAGGAGATGCATACAAAAGTAAATTAATGTTTCATTATTGAAGTAGAGTTAATGAAATGATATTATTTTTATTAATATTATTTATTATATATTTTAAGATTCCTGAACTTACCGTAGCCCAAAGATTTGCTTGCAGCTTTCAATAGGGCAAATAAAAGATCGGGAAGTCGGGCTTACAGCCAACATGGATGGAGTGTTCTCCTCGTCATCGTCGGTAAACGGCGCTTGATACTGAGCCTGTAATTGGTTCGGATGTTGGACAAAAAATAAATTCTGATTCGAATTTCGGGGCAGGAGCTGGCTCGAATTAGGAGAATCGTTTGAGTTCTGGTTAAAGTTTTGGTTTAAATCCGGTATAAAGTTATGATAAAAGTTCCGGATACGGTTCCGGTTAAAGTTCTGGTTAAAGTTCCGGTTAACTTGCTGGTTCATGTTGTGGTTAAGGTTGTTAGCCTGCTGGTTAACGTTCTCGTTCCCGTTTAAATTACGATTCGAGTTTTTTGAATCGATCATAGAACCCATGTTTTCTTTGTCTTCCGAGTCCTTTGAGAACTGCTCCAACTCCTTAACCATTTCCATTTCCATCGCCTCCTCTTCCTCCTCCGACGAAGAAGACGACGACGAAGATGAAGACGGGGACTCACTGTCATCCTCGGAAATGCGAAAGCCCCCTACTTGAACGGCAAAATCCGAAGCGAATTTGGCCACGGTGGCCGCCGTTGGAGGACGACCCCTTCGCGGTTTGCCATTGTGGCTGAACTCATGGGTGGCCGCTGCCGGATTGAAGCGCGGCATCCGGAGCCTGCGGTTCCTGCCCTCGATATTGCGACGCACCACAATGGGCAGTAGATGGCTCGATAGCCAGGTGTCGTTATCCAGTTGCTCCCTCGACTGGTTGGCCATCTGGCGATAGGATAAGTAGCGACGACGGTTGGTGGTCTGCTGGTTAAAAACCTGCAGCTCGGCCGGTTCCCGTGGACGCTCGTACAGGGGCAAACTAGGATGAAGTTTCCTAGCTGCTACAAAGGGCACGGGAAAACATCCATAAAGAGTTTACATACTTTCAGCAAAAAACTCACCTTCATAACGCTCGTAAAAATCCCGACGTTTATTGCCGTAACGATTCGAAAACAAGCTGCGCATCTTGTCAATTACTTAAATATTATTATTACTATTATTTTTGGCTTTCAATATTAAGTCACAGGCAGGCAAACGAGAAACTAGACACAACGAAAGTGAGGACATTTTAAAACATCAAATGCCATAAAACCAACAAGGCCAACTTTGGTTTCAATTAAAAAAGTATGGTATATACTAGCATATACCATATATGCCACTAAAGTAATTCTCAAATGAATATAAAGAATTAAAATAGATAAAGAAAAATAGTTAGGAAAGGTTGTATAAAAGTAAAGTATTTCCCATATAACTACATTACATTAAAATAGACAACGAAAAATATTTAAAGAAAGGTTGTATAAATTTGGCTTTTAATAAAGTCAACTCTTTAGTATCAGCTTTATTGAAAACGTTCAATTAATACGGAACCTTTATTCGATTAAATAATAGTGTCCGCCTGGGCTGAAGACCCATTGTTTGTTGCATAAATCAATTGGCAATTTTTTAAAACAATATTGAGTACTATAACAACACATAAAATCCATCTCGGCACTTGCGAGTACACTCGTTGCCGAATTGGGCAAATATTGGCGTTCGAGTGCACTCATGAATGTATTCACGAATACTCGTGTGCCTGGGCGACGACGAAGAGGGGACGAGATCCCCCTAAAATAAAAAATCCCCACCACCCTTTGACCTTTTTTTTCGCATTTCCAATGCTTCTTTTTCGCACATTTTTCAGCGCCAACAATTTTATTTGTGCTCCTCGTTTTTGGGTGGCGACATTTATTTGCATATCACTGTGAATGTGGGTGTGAGTGTGTCGGTGTATGGAGGTCCTCGCACACATTAACTTTTTTTGTTTTTGTGGATTTTTGGCCTCGTTTTTGGCAATCCCTCACTCCATCCCCCCATTTCCTCCCTCCCCCAACCACAAAACAGGTTGAAGTATTTTTTAATCAGCAGCCTCACACAATTTTTGGAAAGCCCGGAGAACCTGGGATAGGCATTTCCCTTGATTACACTCCGACCCCCCCGGACTCACCGCCCACATCGATTTTGATTTAGAGAATGCAACTTTCTCTGCTCTCTAAAAGCACTAGAAAAAAAAAATTTAATTTGTCGTATGTCAACATAAATATTATTTTAAAAAATGTCTTTTACCATAAACAAATTTTACAACTTTCTTTTTTCAAAATGGAAACCATTGTTTTGCTAATAAATAAAAATATATTTTTTTTCGAAAAATGTCCATATTTTTTTGTTTTCTAATAAATTTGTAGAACAAATTATGTAATCATTTCAAAAACGGAAATGAAAATATGAGCAAACTTTTGTTAAATAAAAAACATTTTTATTTAAATCAAAAATATACAAAAATTGTTTTGATTTGAGTTAATTAATTATTTTTATAATTTGTATACCTACAAAAATGTGAATGAAAGTTCTAGTAAACTTTAGCAAAAGAAAAAATATTTATAAAAATTTTTATTTAATTCTTAAATATAAAATAATGGTTTTACTTTGACTTAATTAATTGTTTTTTTGGTTTTTATACCAACAAATTTGCATATTTATTTGAAAATATTTATACAGAAAAGTGTAGTTTAGTTTTAGATTTTTGGCAAGTGTCTGATTTTCACTCCACTCTCGTTTTCTGCAGCATATCGGTGGCCATTGTCATCGCCGCCCTGGCCGGACCCCAGTGGCTCTTCACGGAGGAGAAGCTGCCCAATGCCAACTACAATGGGACGGCCAACTTCAAAGCCCTGGACGATGGCGCCTACATCACCAAGTGCACCAAGTCCAGTCTCTGGATATTGTGCACCACTCTGCCAGGTGAGTTGTGAGCTGTGTTAGCTGCACCACATTCCTGGCCAGCCTTTGCACCACCGACAAAGCCAAAGACAACTGTGTGACATGACGGGGGTTTTCAGGGGGTTTTAAGGGGATTTGAAGAGGTTGGATTTTTCGGCTTCGGTTGGTGGCTTTATCCTTTATCCATTTTTGTTGGATTTTTTTTTTGGTGCCATGTGGTGCCCCCTTTTGTTAGCCAGAACGTCGAACAATGATGTGTGTGCGCTTCGCCTGGTTATTTTTGCGGTTTTAATAACTACGGAAGCGACGGGAGCCCGAGGGCTCTGGATTTGACCAAATTAAAATGCAGTCAGTTGGTTGGTCAATCAATCAATCAGTCCGTCACTTAATTAACGCCCACACACTGGCAGTTGTCCTTTTAATTGTATTTTTTTTCGATAAGGTAAGACTGATCGGAGCTTCATTTTAAGCTGTAAGGGAGTGAATTTGAAACTATATATAAATTCAAAAATATGTAAATATACTTTATAATATTAAAAAGTTGATTGAATTCATAATATTAATATAAATGTTGCACTGACCATAATTTAACCATTAAAAAATAAATTTTTGGAATATTATAAGTATTTATTTAAGTACTTAAAAAAAAGTACTTTTAAATTTGTAAACAAATTATAAATAAAATGTCATTTATTAACAAGGATTTATTCATTTTTATATTTTCTATTAAATTAATGGTTTCTTATATTTTTTTATATAACTATCTTTTGTTTCCTTAAAATAACTTTTTAAAAAACAAAGAAATCCAAGATTAATTTATAATTTTTATTTGATTATGTGGATTTTTTGAATTTTATTTTTTTTGCTTTACTAATGCGACAAGAAATAAAAGTCAATTGAACATTGAAATGCTTGATGCGCTTCAGCGGCTCCTTTTCGGGGGCAGGATGCCTCCGAGCGACAGGATGAGCTCCTGGAGATGGGTGCGCATCGCAGCGATTTGATCCCAGGCGATGAGTAGAGAACTGGAAGCGTAACCGCAGCGGGACACATAGTCCGCCACGTGATCGGTCATGCACATCAAATGGATGCCGGAGGCGGGATCGCGATTGCAGCCCTCCTTACTCGGAGGCAGACGCTGCTGCTGCAGGCAGCGACCCGTCACCAGGACGAACTTCCAGGCCTCGAGGGGCGCTCGCAAAGTTTCCGACACCGAGGCGGCCAACAGCGAATGGCAGTTGTCCAGCGAATCGAAGTGATAGAACTTGCTATCCGGTCGCGAAATCAGCAAAAGGGACCAGTGTCCATGGGGTCTAGGGAGTTGGGATCGAATTATCAGCTATATGTTTTTTATATTGTTTTTTTTTTGCTGTAACTTGGCCAAAAATGGTCTTACACCAAAAATACATACTGTTTTGAACAGATAACAAAATAATAAATAAAGCCATAGCACTTTCTGGGTGATCTTAAAAAAATAAAATTTTCCCTATTTTTAAATTTTTTGTAAGGGGGTACATCATAATTTTTTACGAAAAATGGCAAAAAAAATAAAATGCCCAGGTTTTAATGCCAATCGATTAGAAATTTAATAACGAGTTCAGGGTATTACAATCCATAATTTGCAATATTAAAGGAATTTTTTTTTTGTAAGAAATTGGGATCTGGGTTTTTGGTAAAAATTTTAATTTTTTCTGATTGTTTTATTTGTTCAAAATATTAAATAAATAAAAATAATATTAATCAAATTAATAAAATATTAAATTAGTATATTGTATAAGTTGGCCATTAATCATATGGGGTCTTATATATAATATTGAATAAGTTCCAAATTTTCTCTGTGTACTTAGGAACTTCTAAGGAATTTTTCCAAATTCTTAAGCCAGAAAAATATCTAAAAATAGGATAGGGATCGTCACGAACCTTGGATGGCTGGCCAGGGGCACCAGGATGAACTGTTTCTCGTAGAGACGGCGCTCGCGGACCATCGCCCACAGCTGGCGCATGTCCATGTGACGCAGTCGGGCGGCCAGGGCCGGATTGAGGAAGTGCAGGTCCGGCTCGGAGCGGTAGCGACGGTGCTGCAAGTAGGCGTAGTAGAAGGCCACCAGGCGCTCGTTGACGCCCTCGTGCGAGGACTGGAGCAACTGGACGTCCGAGTGGCGCAGCGAGATGTCCATGAAGTGGAGCGCCACCAGGCTGGGCTGGGCCTCCACCTGATGCGGTCCATCGCCGCTGCCCCGCTCGAAGGGCAACGTCAAGGAGTTACTGGTTGATCCCGACTCCCCGATCTTGTCCTTATCCCTGCCCTTTCCCTTCGCCTTACCCTTTCCCTTGACCTTGGTCTTTGGCTTGGTCTTCAGCTTCGACGATTTCTTCACCAGCGGCAGCTCCTCCCGCACCTTTGATGGGTTCTTCACTTTGAGCGACTTGTGGGCCAACATCATCCTGACTTTAGGTTGTTTTTTCCTGGGTCTGTTGTCTACATCTGGTTTCGGGTTAATAATTGTATATATTGTTTGTGAGTGCTTTGTGATTTTACGTTTGGACTGAAAATACAAGGAAACTGTATAATAATTTTTTGGAATATTTAAAATTATAAATAAATAATCTTCCTTATTCTTTATTTACAGGCCAAGATGCCGACTCGTCGTACAATTGCGTTAAGATCGACTACTTTCCTGATGAGGGCTATCAACCGGATCCACACGACTCAACAGCAGCAATACCCTGTAAGTACCTACCCATAGAAAAACCTGACAAAATATAAAAAAAATTTAAAATATTTTAATAATAATATTTATTTAGGGAGAATATTATTAATTATTTGTTCATAAGATTTAAGGCCTCCGAGTTTTTTGACAATATAATATCCCCATTAAATGTTGAACACCAGCTCAAAATCAAAGGTTTTTCTCCGTGTGCCATTGCAATTGATGGTCGGTCTTCTGGCCCGATGAATTAATCTTAACTGCCGCGTTTTAAGATTCAACTAAGCCTTAATGGGCTTAACTGTCGCCTGGCATTTAAACAGGTGAATGGATGCCTGTCCTCACTCACTTGGGCTTCCCCCCAGATGACTGGGCCAAATTGAAATTGATTTATTGTTGTTAGTTGGCCTACAAACGCACAGGCATTGCACATAATACAACTTTAGTTGGATGAATTTTAATTAAAGGCCTTTGGCCTTCGTCGGCAAAGTTTTGTCCCTATGATTTGTGGTCTTGTGCGAATGGGGTCAATTGATGACAATAGTTGAACATTTTCAATATATATCTATTATAAGATTTTCGCCCAAATCAACTTTCCCAATAAATTCCTATATCCAATATCCACGGCCAGTGGAAATTTCATTAATTCTCACACAATTGTCCGTGGATATGAAATATTTCTATTAATTTTGTTTTGTTACGGCGCTCAGAAACTAATTTCAAACTGGCCGCGGGTGACAATTCCGAAAATAAAACTATTAAAAAGTCGGCCAAAAAGTGAGTGGCTTTGGTTGGGATATTTTCTTTTTTCCCCTCCTTTTTTGTGGAGAGGTCCTTTCTCTATCTCCACGTGTTTTTGCTTAGCCGCGGGATATTTTGTCACCTGCTGACAGGTCGAAAAGAGACCAAAAAATAGAAGCAAGAAAACAAAGTTTAAAAGTCAGAAATACGGCAAGGCTAAAAAAAGGGGGTACGTTTTATGAAGGGGAACCAAAAGCAGCGGGAGAATATTTTATTATATGCGAATAAATGCTGATAAAGGCGAAGGATCAAAAATATTAGCCAGCTATATTTTCAAATTAACCATCCTTTATTTTATAGATACCGTCACCAAGTCCTGTCCGATTTTCCTGGCTGCCGGTGTATTTTTGGTGATCAGCTTTATAGTCTTCCTAATACCCACATGCTCGCATCGAAATAATTTGTATTATTTCAGCGCCGGGATTCTCTTTATTGTTAGCGGTGAGTTTTAATAGGGATATAGTCCCTTGAATCCCTAATTTAATCTTCAATATTTCAGGTCTTGTGATGCTAATCGGCCTGATTGCCTATATCTCAATACTAAAGGCGGAAATCGGTTCGAAACTCAGACCCCGCTCCACCCTCCAGCCCGCCCTCATCAAGGTCTCCTACGGCCAAAGCTTCTTCCTCTTTGTCTTCGGTTTTATTGTCACGGAATTCGTTGGTGTCCTCAACATTTTTCTCTTCATCAACTTGCAAGAGGTCAGCTACTATAATGTGAGTGTATTGGAACAATCTACAAAAATTAAATATTATATTAAATATAATATTATTTAACCTAAAATATACAAAGAAAAAAAATCGATATGAATTATGTTCATTTCTACGTTATTTCATATCAATAAAAAGCCGATATGATTCATGTCAAATTTGTTATTCAAACGTAACAACTTTGATATTATATTATTTCATAAAAGTTATAAAAATACTTTTTTAAAATGCCAAATGTAGTAGGTACATAAATTATTATATATTAATATTATAATTTTATTTATCAAAGTTTTAATTTCAAATTTAATTGGATAGAGCTTTAGTTTCATCCATCAATAATCCCCGGGCGCCTTTAGCCACCTCTTGATTCGTAATTCTCCCGCTTGACTGCAGAAACCTTTCAGCTTAAATGCAAGCGTCACCGGATGAGTCCTCCGGGATTGGCTGCATCTCATCCAGCGCTCTTTGTACACTTTATCTAGTTTATTTTCAATATATATATAAACATATACGCATTTCTCTTTAGCGCCTGCCCTGCTTTAGTGTGGCAAATATCCATGCCAAGTTTAAGGAGGGGCCGCATCCTCTGAGCGACTCGTACAAGCGCTACAAGCAGCCCGGCAACACCACCACCGCCAGCCAGGAGGGACTCAGTCAACAGGGTCACCAGCAGGGGCAGCAGGGTCACCAGCACTTGCAGCCATCGGCGGTGCAGCCAACGCACGGAATCCTGCGGAGCAGCGCCAATTCCCGGCTCCACCAGGTCCACGATGCGGGGATCCGAGGAAACCACCCCGGAAATCCCGGCCACATGATGATGGGTCATCCTGGCCAGACGCAAACCCTTCCGGGGGCATGTCGCAGACATCCCAATGCTGGATCGAATTTAAATCTTTATCTACACAACGACCTAGAGAGACGGTAAGCCATTAATGGTGCTTTAGAATATTTTATTTATTTATTTTTTAAGCAAAAACTTAATTTAATATTTTTTTGAAGGGATTTTGACATTGCCAAAAATGATACTATGCATACAGTGACGGATCTAGGATTTTGTTGTCGGGGGCGATATGAAAACAATTTTTTTTTAATAGCAAAATACCTTTTTTTCACCTGTTTTAGTATTTCCATTAATTCGGTCAAAAAACCAATTTTTTTTGTGAAAAATGCGGATCTGGGTTTTTGGCAAAAATTTGAATTTTTCTTTTTGTTTTTTGGCTGTAACTTGGCTAAAAATGGTCTGACACCAAAAATACATACTGTGTTGGACAGATAACAAAATAATAAATAAATCCATGACACTTTCCGGGGGATCTTGAAAAAATAAAATTTTCGCCAATTTTCAGTGTTTTTGCAAGGGGCCGATCCAAGAAAATTAAATTTTATATTCATTTTGTAAAAGTACGTTTTCTTTTAATTACTTTAAGTATAATATTTATTTAAGTTTACATTAATATTAACCAAAATGAATATTTTAAGCAAACACAAAAATTTTTAAAAATAAATCTTGTACATTTTTGAAGTCTCTTCTGAATCTTTATTTTAGTTTCTACTTCGAGAAACCGGCGGTGTCCAAGTGCAATCTGCACTCGCGTAGTTTTGCCAAGTCGCTGAATGAGCTCTGCACGGAGGCCTCGGTGACCTCCACCCATGTACCCCTTCCCATTCCCGTTCCCATTCCTGCTCCCCTGCCCGCACCTCCTCCCCCATCTTCTGGCGATCCCGATCGCCTGCCCGCTCCACCGCTCTTCGCCGACTTGCCCCAGGAATTTCCACTTACCCGATCCGTGTCCACTGCCACCGAAATATATACGGGATCTGCGGCACCGCCCTCCGCCCAGATGAAGCGCAAACAGCAGCGAAACATGGCCACCAATACGAACACCAAGGTATCCAATAATCCCGCCGCCCAGCTGGAGGATCAGTCGCGTCTGTGCGGCCTGAAGCGTGGCCTGCGGAAGACCAAGGACGAGCTCTTCCAGGAGTTCTGCCGCCGGGCTGGGATGCGCAGCAAGCCAAAGAATATCTACTACATCAGTGGCGGCGGCGAGGAGGCGGAGGAGGAGGAGGAGGGGGAGGGGCAGCAGGAGCAAAAGGTCAAGCGGGAGGAGGCTCCTCAGGCTTCCAATCGCCGCGATGACGACGACGACGCGGATGGGGATGATCACGGTTTCAGGCAGTTCAACCGCATGGAGGAGGATCATCTCTATGTGGTGGGAGGTAAGTGAATAAATTAAACAAAAGGTATTCGTAAAATTATAAAAAATGCAAAAATTGGTCAAAAATTTAATTTTGCAAAAAGTGATGTGGATCGTTAGGTTAGATTGATAGCTATTCAAAACAGTAGTTGGTTTTAATTTGGGACAATTTTCGGAATTGCAGTAAAAAAATCGCATAAAAATATCCTGCTTTTGCCAAAAACCCATTCCTGATTTTTCCCAAAAATCAAATAGTACTTTTGCCGAAACAAAGAAATTAATAGTCCAAATATGGAATGTCATACCTCGTTGAACTCGTAATAAAATTCCCAATCGTTTGGCATTTTAACCTGGAAATTTTTAATTTTTGCCATTTTTTTTGCAAAAAATTATGATGTAACAACCCCTTATTAAAAATGCGAAAATTAAGTCAAAATTTAATTTTCTCAAATCAGTCGTAAAGTGCGCTTATATTAATTATAATGTTGAAAGCTGCTCTAAACAGTGTGCCTTTTTGATTTGGGGCCATTTTTGTCCAAGTTACAGCAAAAAATCTATAATAATACAAAAAATTTCTACCAAAATTTCTACATTTATTTTTTTTTGCCATTTTTTGTAAAAAATTTCTCAATTTTCTCAAAACAGTCGAAAAGTGCACTGATATTAATTATAAGGTTGTAAGCTGCTCAAAACGGTGCGCTTTTTTGATTTGGGACCATTTTTGGCCAAGTAACAGCAAAATACCTATAATAAAAAAAATCAAATTTCTTCTAAAATTTCTACATTTATTTTTTTTACAGATCACGCCGCGTTGGTGATGCCGCGTCGCACGTCCATGTGCGTGGATTCGCTGGGACAGCCGTTGCGCCGACTCAACTCGAATCTCTCCCTGCACACGGCGGACTCGAGTTACTCGGCAGTGGGTGGTGGCTATCCGGGGATGGGGATGCGCATGCCTCTGCCGCCGCCAAGTGGCGATCTTGGCCAGAGTCGCACCTTGCCGCGCTGCTTCCTGCGGCAGTCGTCCGACTCGCTGGCCTCCCAGGGCTATTCGTTGGGGGCCAGTTCGCAGAGGTTCTCCCAGCTGATGCTGAATCATCAGCAGCAGAATCCGCATCAGCAGTTGGCGCGCCAGAATCTCTTTGTGTCCTCCACTCTGACCCTGCCCCAGGTGGGCCATCCGCCAGGTTCCAAGGGTCAGGTGCAGTGGCCCACGGCGATACCGTCGTCGCCGTCGAACTACGCGAATGGCTATCAACAGCATCCGCAGCCCATTTACCCGACTCCAGGGGCTGGCGGAACTGGAGGATCTGTACCCGTTTCCGGACCCTCGAAATTCCAGCGCGGCTACGCCTTCGACGATCAGCAGCGAAGGTCCAGCTTCGTGAGCGATGCCTTCGATCTGGACGAGATCGAACGGGATCGACGACGATCCCATGCCAGTCTCTTTGGCCTGGGTGGTCAGAATAGGGATCCCTATGATCTCATCAATGGCACCGCCGTCTAAGCTAAAAACTAAACCCACATACTCGTAACTATCAAAACCAAAGAGAAAAACCCAGAGCTACATGGTTTTTTTTTTGAAAGTAAGACAAACCAGAAAATCAAGAGCTAACATTTTTTTTCGGAAGTAAGGTGACAACAAAAAATATAAAATATATGTCTATTGCAAACACAAAAAAAAAATAAACAAAAAAATCGATTTAAAAAATATATACAACAACAAAAAAAAAATAAAGAAAAAAATAGGTGGTCTCAACAGGTCTAAAAAAATTGATAAACATAAGCGCACAATTTTGGCCATTCAAAAATTTATCAAAAATATACACAAGTGTAAAGCGTAGTTTAATTGGATATAGGACTTAAAAAATTAATAAATGCGCACACTTTTGGCCCGAAAAATGTTCAAGGAGTTTTATTGAAAGCCGGCTTGGAAAAACAAAAAAAAAAAATAGGTTTTTAATTGCTGGAATTATAAGTCTGGAAATCATCGAAATCTTTGATTTGCCATAAATAAGTATATAAATTGTAATGAAGGTAATTCGATAATTAAATGATAAGCATGTTAAGCCTCAAAATTTAGAAATCGGTTGCCAATTCTAAAATTTGTGAGCTTCAGTAGTTGTGTTTGGGGTCACCAATGATTGAAATAATACATTTCAAGGCAGTTTATTGAATATTTAACCACGAACTTTTAGATGTTTTCGATTGCAGTTTTAGGTCACAAAATTTAACATATTAATTGAGTTTTTCCCATTGAATATTTCACAGATTCATGCGTTTCCAGAACGCCTGGCTGTAGGAGACCTCTGGGCTGGATTCGTGATGCATGGGCTTAACGGCACTCGTGACCAGATCCTCGAAAGCTTCGCCTGCCGTTCTCTGCGAAGAGCTGGACGTGGAGACATCCAGTTGGAGGATGGGTGATTCATTCTGTTCGCTGATCGCTTGAAGAGTGGGCGCCGTATGGGGTCGTTGTGGCAGTGTTAAGTGGTCCCTCAAGCCGGATTCCAATCCCGATGTGGGTGCACTCACAGGTCTGCCCGTTCGTCTGGCCGGGATTGGTTTAGCCGGATCGACGGCGCCGCCAAAGAGCAGCTGCATCTTGGCCATGGATTGCTGGAGCTTCGTGCTCGGCGATCTGGAGGGCAGCTCCAAGCTGGAGCTGGAGCTACTACTGCTGCTGCTGCTGTCGTCCAGGAGCCGATGCGTTGCCTTGTTGTTGTTGTTGTTCATTCCCAAAGCGTCCTTGGCTCGCTGAAGGAGCAGGCTCATCTCTCCATTGCTGCTGCTCCGCGTAAGATCGGGGGTAATCTCGGCCAGCAGGCGATTCAGTTCGGGTGGTTTAACGGGATCAAGGACCTCTGGAACTGGAACCTCAGTGGGCAGCCAATCCACCTGCTTCTTCTTATCCTTGGCCTGCTCCTCCGGCATAATCTTGCCCAGCAGCTTGCTCCTCGCCTCGGAGATGGCGTTCGTAAAGGGATAGCTATCCGGCTCGTGACCCTCCTCCAGTTCCGATAGCCACAGCGGCGAGGAGGAGACCTTGGGCTCTGGGATAATCCGCTGCTGTTGCAGCTCCTCCAATTGGGCCAGACTGGCGGCATCCTCCTTGCGGACGCGTCGATGCCAATCCCGAAAGCCGTCCAAAGTGCGATTCATCTGGTCACGTTCGCGCAGGCAACTGGAGCGGATCCTCCGCGAGCGGATCGAGGCGGAGGATGCCTCCTCGGTGGCGCCACCTTTCGGGGCGCCTGACTTCGACTTGGCCTTCTCCAGATAGCTGAGGAAACTCTGCTCGAGCAGGTCGCTCTCCTGTTCCAGCTGCAGCATGCGATTTCTAAATTATAGATGGAATTAAATGTTTTTTAATATTTAAAAACCAACATTTTTGCAGATTTAATGTTTTAAATATTTTTATATATTTATTGAAGATTAAAAAATTAAGTTTAACGGTTTTACGGAAGAATGAGATTTAGTTAAACTACAAATATTTGTATTCTATAATTATAGATATTGGAGATGTTGTCATAATTCGATTTATTTCTCTTCAAAAATATTTCAAAAAAACAATATTTAAATTTTTGAACATATTAGTAAAACAGAAATTAAGAATGATACGGATTTTAAACGAAATAATTATAATTTATTTAAAATACTGCAAAACTGGATTGTTAACACTTACTTGGCACTCAGTAAAGCCTCTTCGAAGCTCGGACCTGTCGGGGATTGTCTAGAAGATTGCTTAAGTGGTGTCATTTTAGGTGGCACTGCAGGTGGAGCCATCGTATTGGTGGCCACGGAGTGCATTGAAGGCTTGGGAGGATCAGAAGGTGCAGGAGGTACATCTGAGATGGATGCATTGGAGGGCAGAGCACTGACCTCGGGTGATGGCTTAGGATCCCGAGGAGCAGGAACTGGAGGAACTTTCGGAGCAGCAGGTTCCCTGGAAACTCATGATGGTTGAATAGAGAACTTACAGAGCAAGTTGGTTAGCTTACCTGGGTATATTATCATTTCGCGGAGTAGAAGGTTTAGTATCACTGGGTTTCTCAGGAGGTACAGTTGGCCTGCTGCGTGGCGGTTGCTCCAGATCCCTTGCAAAGTGGACAGAAAGTCGTGGATTCACGGACACAAAGGCGCCGGCAACTGGGATTCCACCTGGCGGGCCAAGTGCCAGCAATTGGTAGGGATATCCCAGGCGTTCCAAGGGAGGAGCAGGAGCGGTAGCCGGAGGAGCTGGAGGATCTGGAGGTGCCGGTGTGCGCATTCCACTCGAAGTGGGCGTAGTCGACATCGCTGAGTTCCAGTTGCCAGGAGCGGCGTTACCATCGACACCCTGGCCCTGCTCCTCCGCCCAAAGGGGCAGGATGCGGGCCGCCTGCTCCGCCGCGATCTCCGTCTGCTGGATTTTCTCCGCCAGCTGCTGGTGATGCGACTCGTAGTGCTCCAGCAGCCGGAAGATCTTCTGCACCAGATCCCGGGCCTCCGTCGAGGATTGCGAGTCCCGCTCCACACGTTTGCACAGCGTCTGAATGGGAAGTGCATATATTAATTTTCATTATCTACTACTATAAAAAAATGACTTTTTTAAACGGCAAGTTGAACGTATATTAACAACGGTTGAACAAATAAATCTAAAATCAAAAACCGAAATTCGTAAATAATTAAATAAATAAAATAAGATAAAAAAAATTAAATTTTTTTAAGGAAAATTTAAAATATATTTTTTTTTAAGGAATTAAATAAATATTATTTTGCAACATTGAAATTTTAGTTTTTGCCTGTCTGTTTAAGGAGAAATGCTAAAGTGTAAGGACTAATCCCCGTGAGAAACTCACCCGCCAGGAGTTCTGTCGCCTGCTGAGCCGCAGCATCTCGGCCTGGTGCCGCAACTTCACCTGGAAGAGCTCGTCCAGCCGCTCCTTCTGCAGCTCCAAGGCCTTCTTCAGCGAGAGCTCGACCCGTTCGAGGAACACTTGGCCACTGGAGCTGTGCAACATCTCGTGGATCCACTGTTCGTAGGACTTTTGCGAGGGTTCCAGCAGGAGATTAGCCTGATTGGCGGCATCTTTTAGGTTCTTCTCCTTGGTTTGCGTGTGGCTATTGGCCAGGTGAGTTGACCGCCTCGAGGTTTGGCTACCCCGACAGTGGACAGTGGGTCTCCTGACCTCCACCTGGGTGCCGATCTCCCGCCTCTGCCTTTCCCGCTCCCTCTTCCGCTGGTCGAACTGCTCCTGCTTCTGACCCTCCTGCAGGCCCATAAAATGCCCGTGGGCGAATCCCTCGCGGTAGCCCGTCTTGAAGCCCTTGTGCAGCCCCACCGCGTGCTCCTGCTCCATGGAGAGATTGAGGACATTGCCGAGCAGCTGGACACAGGTGGCGATGTCGCCCATAAGGTTCTCCATTCGCTCCATGGACACGTACATCCTGCCCTGCGGCTGTCGCGCCTTTCGCTGCACCTTCTCGAGGGATTGCCGGATGACGGCCAGGCTGGCCAATTGCTCGCTCTGCAGGTAGGGCAGCCGGGGAATGGCCACGTCCAGGACGGGCAATTGAATGGGACCCACATCGGACTGGACCACCTCGTCCCTGGGCCCCGCCGGCTGCTCCTCCTCCTTCTCTTCGACGGGCTTGGCCAACTTGGTGACCGTTTCGCTGGGATCAAATGCCTGGCCCGCCTTCAGGAGGCGCTCCCTTTCCGCCAGCTCCTTCTGGAGGAGATTCTCGAACCTGGCGGCGGATATCACCTCGATTGGCGGAGCACAGGACTTGGCCAGCTGGCGGAGATTGCGCATCAGCTGGCTGAGCTGCTGCTCCACGGAGTGCAGGGATTGGGAGACGCGGCCGCCCACAAAGACACTTCGCCCATCGGCGCCCAGGATTAGCTCGTGCTCCTCCGCCTGGTAGAGATTGCTGGTGTCCACCTCGGAATGGGCTGCCAAAAAGGGCGAGTGCATGGGTTCCGTTTGGCAGGCGGAATCTTGCAGGGAAGCGGGAATAGTCGAAATAACTGGGATTACCTCCTCCTTCTCCTTCTCCGAGTTTCTAGTCCTAATCTCCACCAGAGATCGCAGGAGGGCCATCAGCAAACACTGCGTCTGACCCGCCAGGTCCTCCTCGTAGTGGGAAACCACTAGCTGGTTAAATTCGGGATCCTCCGGCGAATCCTCACCGCCCAGTACGGCGGTCAGGACCTGCTGCAGTTCCTCCTGGCGGAAACGGAACTCCGGACGACGGCTGAAGTCGGGCAGCTTGTGGCGATGCGGCGTCTCGCTGCAGAAGACCGACAGGGTGAAGTGGCAGTTCTGGGAGTGCAGGAACTCCGCCACCAAAGTGTGCAGGATCATGGCCAGCGGAGAGAGGAGGAGGGCGTGCGAGTGGGCCATCTGCACACCAGCCGCCTTGCTGAGGAGCTGACCTGGAAGGGAAGGTAAGTCATCATAATCTTTAAGAATATAGATTCTATATATAAAATAATATATATTATAGATGGTTGTTTTTTTATCATTAAGGTATTATTATGTATGCAATTTTAAGAACTTCAATATTAATTGGTTGTCATGTAGAAAAGTTTAAATATTATAAGCAAATAAACCAAATATAACTTATGTATATTAAAGGATCTGCAAATATTAATTTGTTATAATATTTTTTGCAAAAAACAAAATGTTTTTAAAAGATAAAAATATTTATGTTTAATATTAAAATCACATTAAAATATCTATATCTATTTTTTTTAATATTTTAGTATCAAGTGCTTTGGGAATTCATTATTAAAATTTACCGAGTGCCGTATTATTGAAGCAATGGATGAGTTCCACCCGCAGGTGTGAGTGCATTTCCCGGGCGATTCCCTCCTGGTCCAGCCACTGGCGGAACTTCACCTCGAACTCCTGCTCCGACATGGCGGCCAGCTCCTCGAGCTGCTGCCTCAGGCGATCGGCCTTCACATCGTACTCGTCCTGCTCGTCCTTTCGATCCTCGCTTGCATTTACTGCTCTATTGGCAAATTTTCCCGTCCGAACTGTGATATTGAAAAAAATCAAAATAATAAAATACATTTAAAACGAATTTAATTAACTCTTTTAGTGGTATTAAAATAAAACATTTTAAATAAGATTCATTGTATATAGAAATAAAATGTACAAAATATTGAAAACTGCTTTTTTAAATTTGTTTTTATCTTCGAAAACACTTTGCAAGAGTAAAAGCTTTTTAATGGGTTTTTGAAATGGTAAATTTTAAAGATGATTAATTTTCACAATAAGAATAGTGTAAACAAGATATTATAAATTTAATTTTTGAATTTTTCCCTCTTCGAAAATACTTTAAATTCATTTAAGAGTAAAAAACAAAAAAGTAAAATCTTGATTTCGAAAACTATACTTTCGAAATAACGACAAACCCACCTCCTGTGACATTTGGTGCTCCTCCTAGTCCAGCTGCCCTTTGAACGATTCCCTTGAGATATGGATTCCTCCTTGGCTTGCCGAGATCTCCATCGACTCCTCCAACTCCTGTCCTGCGATTGTGCAGACGCACCCGTTGTGCCGCCGCTGCTGCCGCCGCCGTCGCCTTGTCCCGCTTCAGCTGCTCCTCCCGCTCCTCCCTCTCCCGCTTGGCGGCCTCGTGCTTCCGCTCCCGCTCGCAGGGCATCCCCAGCCTGCTCATGCCGCCCACAACATCCCGCTGTTTGGCTCGAAACGAGACCGTCGTCGTGGTCGCAGGCAGCTGGCGGGTTTTCATCGGAGGATTCGAGGGATGTATGGGATCAGGGCTCAGGAATCAGGAATATATATATATAGCGGTGTGATCTTCCGACCGGCGCGCGTTTCTTTCGCCGTTACTGCGAGTGACTGAAATTTCCAGGTGAGGCAAGCGCGAGACACACTCACCACCACCGGCGAAATGTGACAGGTGCGACGAGGCATGCCCCGTCCACCTGGAAAATGGGGTAAAAAAAAAAAAAAAAAAAAAAAGTAAGGGAGGAAACGGGGACGGGGGTTGGTCCTCCGCAATGTCAGCTGTATTGTCCTTTCTCGATATTATTAATAAAACATAAAAAATATTGAAAAGTATTCAGTAACAATAAAATATACAAAAAATACCATAAAAAACCATTTAAATTATTTGCTGTATTTACTTAAAATAAAACTTTATTGAAAAAATATTAACTGAATCTAAAACTAATATATTCATATGAAAAATCTATTTTTCTCAATTTGAATTTGAATTACAATTTAAACCGATGTTGGGTTCAATCATCGATAAGTATCGATAGCTTTATAAGGCCTTCCACAAAAGCTAGTTGCTATAAAACATAGGCGCGCACTAGAGAGAAATTTAAAAAAATATATTATTTTGTTGAAGTGTATATGATTATATTAATTCTACTCTGGTTTTAATAAAGTAAAGGAATAAAAAACGAGAAATATGTGTGTGTAAATTGATGTTAAAGGTAAGTTTGTTTTCAGCGCCACAAAGTTAATAAAAAATTTAAAATTAATAAAATCAATAACAATGACTTTTAATTGCGGTCCCTGCTAAATAATAATATTTAAAAGGGAATAAAAACATTACAAAAACATCGATATAGCCGATGTTTCCAAACTATCGATTACATCAAGGTTTTCCCACCTCTGATATAGTTGTCAATATCATAGCCATAAAGTAAATATTAATTTTCATTTCACAACGCCGACTAATCGGCGCATTTGATTTGATTCGTGTTTATTTGTGTCGTATGATTTTCTTTTCAGTTTAAATTTGGTATTTGCTATTTGCTTTGAGTGAAAACCAGGAAAATCACGCGGAAATCGCTGATTGCGCATCTTCTTTCTCTTTGTTTTGTTCTTGTTTTTGTTGTGGCGCAGAAACACATGTGCGCGGTGTAAGAAGAAGAAGAACAATAACATCATATCATTTGGTAAATATTATGACTTTCTTTGTGACGTGGTTTTACAGCTCTACATATCGGAATTCTATATATCCCAACGCGAAACAGTTTTTTGGCTACATTTTGTGCATCATCATCGTCGGAAATGTCGAATCTGGACAACATATTCATCCAGGTCCGGGCACGCCTCCAATCCGAGGGCGTTAAGCTCTGGGAGGAACCCTACTATTCCGAGGATCTTGGCAGCATAGAGGGCGCTCTGGAGGTACGTATTGCTACCCTATCTTATCTATTGGAAAGTACAAAAAGAGGGCCTATTTTAAATGGTATATACATGATATACATTTTATGATCTTTTTTAAAAGTAGAGAAGTTCGAGTTACTGATACAAATTGTATCATACAATAGAATTTCAGAGCTACATACGTATAATATAATTGTCTGATCAGATTGGATTTATTATTGTAATTACATAGAATATTTGACCATTATTTTAGTTTTTAGTTTTGGTATAGCTAAGTTATATATTTCAGAATTTTACATTTTTCTATAATTTTCATAAATGTCCAGTTATTTTTATCTGTATATATTTTTATTGATTACCGTTTAAAATAAGTTTTACTAAAATAACTTACTATTATAGGTAATACTTACAAAACTATATGTATTTCATTATTTAATTTTTAATAAAACTCCAGTATTAATTTAATTTTTAATGCAATTCCATTATTTACTTAATTTTTAATAGAATTCCATTATTAATTTTATTTCTCTCACAGAACCTGGCCAAGGACTACTCCCGCGTCATGGGCTTCGATGTGTGCCGCTGCAAGTTCATCCTGACGGAGCTGCAGGAGAATGCGCTCCGCAAGCTGGCCGCCCGGCGGGAGTTCAGCTCCACAGGAGTGGCCACTTTCAAGGTGCGTCGCATCGACAAGCACAGCGGCACCACCATGCTGGACATCAAGTGCGACTTGAACTCCCTGGGCTCCGATCTTCAGGCGGTCATAGCCGACAGGCTGCAGCTTCCGAGGGCCGAGCACGTCAAGTGCATTGCAGCCGGCAGAATGGTGGCCGCCAATGCCACGCTGGCTGACCAGCTGCTGCGGAACAACCAGCAGTTGATGGTGGTCGTGGGCGATGGTGGCAATGCCGGCGAAGCCCTCTACGAGCGGATCAATCGAGTGAAGGCCGACGTGCAGGCAGTGGTCTCCTCGCAGAATCGTCTCATCGAGGTGATCCACTCCATTTGTTAACCAGCAAATCAGGCTTTAATTGTATATATTTCCTATAGATGGAGGACCAGAACGGCAGCCCCGTCTTCCTGCCACCCGCCGAGAATCGCGCCCTGCTCCTGGGCCTGGGTTTCTGCGAGAAGGCCCGTGCGGCCATGCTGCGCGAGGATTTCGAGGAGGGCCTGCTCCTCCTTCTGGAGGCCGACGAGTCCTTCGCCACCTGCGACTCGCAGTTTCTCGAGTCCGTGGACAACTATGCCCTGCTCAATCTGGACATCGTCTGGTGCTATCTCTGCCTGAAGAACGTGACCCAGCTGCCGGATGCCGAGCGTCGGCTGGCCATCTGCGGGCGCAACTTCCGGCGCAGCTATGGCGAGAACTTCGAGCGACTGTACGCCCTGAAGGGCAAGGCCTGCCCCGAAAGGGCGCTCATTATGCGGCTGCAGCTGCTCCAGGGCGTGGTGATGTTCCACCAGAATCGCCGCGACGAGGCCTTCGAGCGCTTCGAAGCGGCCAATATTCTGCTGAGGGAGCTCAAGATCAACGGCGACCAGTTGGCTCTCCTCGTGGAGATGGGCTTCGAGGCCCAGGAGTCGCGGCTGGCGCTGCGCTCCTGTTCGGGCGACAGCAACATCGAGGCGGCCGTGCAGTTCATCCAGGAGCGGCGTCAGCAGCTCAAGGATGCCCGCAAGCAGTCGAAGGCGGAGCGGGCCCTGCAGCGCCGCCTGATGCGCACCGATGGCAACGATTGCGACTGGGTGAATCCGCGCAGTGTCTGCACGCTCACTGAAATGGGTTTCGAGGCGGGACTGGCAACGGCAGCCTTGAAGCGCTCCAAAAATGATCTGGCCAAGGCGGTAAGTCAATAGAAACTTTCTTATATTTTATACTATAGCACGATGTATATTTCCCAGGTGGAACTGCTGCAGACCGAGGCCGAGGTGCTGCGTGCCGCCCTGCCCCGCAACAGTGTCGCCAGCGACCAGGACAAGCTGGCCCAGCTGCTCCAGCTGGGCTTCAACGAGGCCAACTCGCGCGTGGCCCTCGAGAACGCCTCGAACAACATGGAGCGGGCCATCGAGTGCCTGCTGCGCGCCTTTCAGAGCGAGGAGGAGCTGAGGGAGACCATAGAGCGTGTTGGCCGCCTGGCCTTCGATGGCCCATCCACCTCGAGTGCCTCGACTGCTCCGCCATCGCCCATCATCGAGGCGGTGCTGAAGCATGCTCGCTCCGAGATCGAGACCTACCAGGCCTACGAGCGCTTCAACGCGGACATCAGCCAGAATGACATGGACTACCTGGACTTGCCGCTGGTGCAGGAGGAGAAGGTCCTGCAGGAGTATCTGGGCCTGCTGCAGCAGTAGAATGCCATCGCCGCCTTAACTTAGCTGTTATATCGAAATAGAAACCGGTTGCGGGCCGTAACTGTAATCATGACTTGTCTATATTGCAAATCGTAGTCTTATAATGGCACTTAAGTGGCATTCAGTCGTTTCTCCAGCTGGGCAAATAGTAACATATAAAGTATAAAGCCCCTTCGCTATTGACAACTGCGAAATGTGATTACGAATCCACCTTTCTGAGCCACCTGAAACTTGTTAGCGCCTCTGGCAATTACCTTTTTTTATCCGTATCTCTATTTTTTGTCGCTTGACTCTCGACCCCGGCTCGAACGGCAGCGCTTGATTGGCTCCAGTCGTGACCTTGTGGGGGCCAAAGGGCGCCGCCCACTAAGCTCATCCCCCCAAGCCGAATTGAATGGAATTTACCCGATCTTCTTTGGAAATTAATCAGCTTAACGAGGCATTTTTAAAACAACTCGTATACCAAGGAATGGGGAAGTTTGTAGGGATTTTTAATACTTGGAAATTTAAAATGGAACTTTATTTGTTGTTTTGTCTATTTTTTATACGAATTAAACCCTTTTCATAACAAGGGAAAAATGAAAAGACTGACGATTTTATTTGTTAGGTGGTTTAGCTTTCGAGAGTGCTAATGAAAAAACTGTGTGGAATATATGTGACTAAAATTTAAGGTGATGGCATTATATATATGGTGCTGTCTTTCTTTTCCAATCGGTTTCAAACAAAAAAACTTTACAAAAAATGTGTCAATCGCTCAAATATTTTATATTTTTCTAAGAATAATCTTAAGGCATGTGATATAAATATCAACGATAATTAATAAAGGCAGATTTCATTTGATATAAACATCGATTGATTATTTAAAGGAAATAAACTCCACTATAACGCCTTAAACAAATCTTGATTGGAAAGCAGCTTAGTAAGCGTGCGATACTTGAACCTCCCATTTCCATTTCCCCCATTAACCCTTCTGTATTTCAAGGGGGTCGCATGCGTGCCGTAAGTGGGAGGTGACGTCGGGTGTTACGGCAACACGTGGAATCCAGAAGCTGAGTCAACCGACTTCCTATCTATATTTCTATATCTATATTTCGGAGCAGCTTAATGGAAATCGGCTGTGAATGAACCCAACGAATGAACCCGGAATAATATCAAGGAGATTTCAGTTCAAATTCTAGATATAATCTAATATTCCACTTACATGATTTTAATATTGTTTCTAGATTATTCATAGACCTTAGATAAGTGAGTGATAGAACTCTGACTGTGATCTTTCTATTTTTTAGTATTACAAAGTTTAAACTTTTTTTATGCCTATATAATTATTTATTTTGTCCAAAAGATTTCGTTATGGATCATAGTTCTTTGTTCCTTTGTCTCGGGCTCGTTTATTAAATTTAATTACTCTGGCTTAACTTTTTGCCACTTTGGTTTCCAGATTGTCATCGCTAGTTGGCCGTTTTTGTTCTGCGCCTCGCTTTATACCGATACACAATTTCATAATTCAGATATATAAATTTAATTTCAGCATTTTAAGCGTTTAGTTTTTTTTTCGTATTTTTTTTTTGTGTTTTTACGATTTCTGCCATAATGACTTTGGGCATTATGCGCAACTGATACGCAGCCAAGCGAATCTTTTGGACATTTTAGCGTGGCCTGGGCTTTTGGGTCCGTGGACATGGACATCGAGAACCGACTGAGAATGAGAACGGTTCTGGTTGGCATAATTCCGGGGGGGGAGAAGCACCTGGACGTGGTCCAAACGAGTGGGCGGTGACGCAGATCACTGGGCGTCTTGATTTTAGATACAAAAGCACTTGACAATTGTTTGCACTCTTGAACAGGAATTTCCATATGTCACCGGGTATCCAATTCCCTGTGAGAGAATTCTTTGATAAGAACCATTCATAATTCATTATATATTCATATTATACCTAACCTCATTGAGCGCCTTTTTTTAATTAAATTGATTGATTTTATATCATAGACATAAACTCACTACTTTTGAATTAATACCGAATGTTGTCTAGTTTTAATTAACTTTATATAATTTAAAATTGCCATTTTTCGCAAACAAAGTAAATGCTTCTGAATATAAAATTAAATATAATTCATACATTGCATTAAAAAAGTTGTATTTTAAAAACATAATTATTTGTTATTAATCAAAAAATATTTAAAAGCATATAAATAAGTTTCCATACATCTATCAAATTTACTTGGAAGTAATTCTTTATTTTTAGATCAATCGACCTTAATTATTGACTCCCTTGATTCTAAATCTATAACTTAATCCAGGAACTTGATTTTGTCAACTCATTGGCGTGTTTATATCATTCTTGGGTTCCGATCCATTAGCCTAGTACAGGTTCAGGTACAAAGTGCGAGCGTTATAGCCCTCTTTACACGGCCGACTGGCTCTCGAAATTGGCACTAATTCGTGGATTCAGTGTTTCGGGAAGGGTTTCTGTATAGTTTTTGGCATTTAATTGGATATAAGTACAGTTGTCCGATGATGACCCAGGGCTGTAATTAGTACTTCCCGAAAAGACGGGCTAATTAAATCGAGCTTAGCTTTTTAGCTGCGTGTCACGCAGACGCAACTGGGAAACAAAAGAACAGTTAAAAGCAGGGGCGCAGCAGGTGAATTCTTTTGAAGGGGGTATTTAAAATCCTTTAAAACTATTGGTTAAACTAGGAGTTGTTCAACTTTAATTATTATCAATCATAGCTGACTAACAACCACGGTAAGTCATTATTCAAAATATAAATTGGTGCGCGAATTCTTAAGATGCAGAGTAAGAAATGCCATTAAATTTAGTTAATATTTATGAAGATATGTTGTGAACTGTTAAGTAATTTTAAAAAATACTTATATTTATATTAAAAACTTTAATTTTTGGTATTCAGTATTAAAGAATTCGCGGTGATCTTGTGATATAAAACCCAAGTGATTTAATAATACGTAGAACTTTAAAGGTATTTACCATGTGATTTCTTGTTTAACTTATGCCTGAACTTTTGTGAGGGGGCTGGTTCGAACCCCTCTCGCACGCCCATGACCGCTCTGGGCAACATGTTGCTGCTGTGACGGACGGGAGCAACATGTTGCCGCCCACACGCAACAACAACGAAGTTGGAAGTTGGCGATCGACGTCGACGATCGTTGGTTGATTTTTTTTTTTTTTCTTTTGACGTCGGCAGCGGCGGCAAACTGGGAGCGGAATTAAATAATTTTCCGTAAGCGCGTTTAGTCAAGCTCAGTTCAATTGCGGCCAGCTTTGTTGGCGGACGTCTCAGGCGGCACTTTTATACCAAAAAATTAAAGAAAACAAAACTAAAAACTAAAACTAAGCCGAAATCTTCTTGCATTTTTTTTAACTGTGCTAACTGTGCGAACGAGAGGAAAACCCCGAGAAAAGCGACACGAAAAGAGTAAAAACTCTTAATAAAACGGTGTGTGAAGTAAACAATTGCAGTGACCGAAAAACCTTTAGCAGAAAAAAATAAGAGATAAAAGAAATACCAGCGAAGAAGAAGAACCAGAAGCAGCAACAACAACACGTTTAGCGGGGTTAGTAAGTCAACGATATTTTCTTGTTTTTTCTTTTGTTGTTTTAGCTGTTTTTCTTACCAACTTCCTAAATATTTATTGGCCACTGTGCTGCAACTTGCAAAATCGAAGCTGCAACAGCTGTTTTTAATCGCTGTCGCTTTCAATTTTGGTACACGGTAAACAAATACAAATAAAGTACATAAATAGTTTTAAAGGATTACATTTTAGTAAAATTTACAAAGTTAAAGTTATTTATTTGTGTTTCTGATAGTATTAAAAAGATTTCAAATATCAGAAATATTTGTAAAGTTAATCTTTATACACTTTGAATCTGATAAAATATTACTTTAATGATAAATTATTAAACCATTTAGTAAATGGTATTTTATTCATGAAAATATAAAAATAACTTTGAAAAGATCTTGGTGACTACTTTTAGTTTCGTTTTTCAAAACTTAAAGTGATATACAATTGCAACCGTTTTTTATTAAAGCTATATGAAAAGTTGTTAACTAAAACATTTTTAAGTTTGTGCATATCCAATCGATCATAATTTCTTTCGGTGCAGTTTTTGGGTTTTTGTTTGGTATCCGACGTTTCTGGTTTTTGAGGTTTCTCGGCACGTTTTCTGACGTTGCTGTTGTTATTAATGCTCTTCAAAAAGGGCTGGCCAAAACAAAAAGTGCGGAGCAAAACAAAAGAGTTGGACAATTTGTCCATACGAAATACCGTATTTAACAGCAACAACAAAAGTGGTAAATTTATGTAGTTAAACGCCAAATGGGCAACACAAACAAAAGAGGTGGTAAATGAAAGTGAAAACGAAAAGAAAAAACAAACAAAAGGAAGTGCAACTACTCTAAATAATAATAAATTGTTTGGAAAGTACACGGTAATAGGGTCAGTACTTTTATTTGAATAAAAAATATTTTTAAATATTGAACTTTAATAATTAAGATTTTATTTAACTTTGTAACCTTAAAACTAATGGATTGTAGATCCTTTTAACGTATTTATTTTTATTTGTGGAATTTTTGAAAAAAATATTTTTTTTTAAGAACTTAATTTTTAGAGAATTTGAAATTCAGGCTCTTGACTAACGCATGTTATCTGTAATGTGCATAGCCAAGTAATTATCACGTGTGGGTGTTAGTTATATGGACAATTTTCCCTGGAGGGTATCCGTCATGGATTATTTGCCGGCTATCGAATCTAAAGTTTAAATGTTACAAAAGCTCGAAGTGTGAGATATCTGACAATTAGCCATGTGAAACAAAAAAAAGGGGAGAAGAATTAACTTAGCATCTTTGATGCGCTTAGGTAATTATTTGATTTATGTAAATGTGAAGAATATGATGAAAATTATACAGAATGGCTTGGAAAAATAAATTATTCATTTTTGAGATTATATATAAAATGTGCCTAACAATTTTTAAAAATGGGTATAAATTGTAAAAAGGGTAAACAATTACATTTATAAGCTTTTTATCCTGATAAAACATTTTGTGGCACGTTTAAGCAAACAAAATAGATAAATACAATGAAAAATGCCGCATTTAAGTAGTCTATTGCTTTTATCTTGTGACTCGCTTGCGACGCTAGAACAAATAAATAATAAAATAAATTGGCTAGAAATTTTTAGTTTAGAATTCTTGTTTCGTCTTCCGTTTCCTGAGCGTCTGGCGATTATCGCTGGCATTACCATAAAATCTTTAGCATACCGCTTCGAGAGGCCCTGAGTGCCATTATCAGACTTCAGACTGGTTTTTTATCCAGACTTAATTGCATTGCAAGTTTTTGCACATGTAAGCCAGCGGCGACCTTGCTGGCTGCTGATCGGGCTTAAAAAGCAACAAGTTGCCACCGCATATAAATAAATAATAAATAAAAGTGAGCAGCATTTCCTATGGCCAGCTGAATGGGTTTTATAAGTTATAAATAAAATATGCGCCAGAATCTACATGCGACTGGAAATATAATTATAGCCAAGTCTGCGCCGGTTCTTGTCGACTCATGCTGATCGATTCGAAGTTGAAGTTGAATCACAAAATCAAACTTAAAAAAATCAGAAGTCTGAGCAGGAAAACGCGTGCGTTTTTAAACGCTTCACTGCCGGCAATCGCGTTTGTGTCAGTCGGAGAGGAACTACCGTTGCATCTATAAGGCAATATTATTATTTTAAAAGTAATGTTTTAGGTAACAGTAAATCTTTCATATCCTCCAAGTCGAAGTATAAAGTCAAATCAGCTAAATGTGTATTTAATTATTATAAAAAAGTCAAAAATTAAGAAAGACTTGTATTAAAAATATCAATTAATTATAAATAAATTTAGGAATCAGCTGGAATGCAGAAAACAATTTTTTTTAAATAAAATTAAAGCAATTGGGGTATATAAATGGGTGCTATAAATAAAAGAGACATGCCAGGAAATACCTAAATTAAATGCAAAAAAATACGATAAATGCATTTATGAGATGGAATGCATTTAAAATACCTAGAAAATAAATTGGTGCATAAATTGCACTACAAGCCCAGCAAAACGCGTGCGATTTTAAACGCTTGGCCACACGCGATTTAATCAGCTTCACCGGAAAAAAAGGGAGGGGGATAAAAACTAAAAGATTTCCATGTAAAACTTAAGTGGGATAATCATCCAAACAAAATGCATTACACAAAACGATTTAAAGGGTGACGGGGATCACGGTGGCGAACTGTCAACAAACTAGTTTTGCCTTATTTATATTTACTATTTACTTTGATATACCACTATTTTCGTTTCGTTAGCGTTAGCAAGCTGCTAGTTTTAGCGATTAGTGAAGACTCATGGTCAAGGTCGCGCTGAAATCCGAGTTAGCCAATAGATCGATGATAAATTGCGGCTAGAATCCACTCAAGTCGGCAGTCGTCTGGCGGAGTTTTATGCTTATGCTGATTGCTGTGGATGCAGAGAAAGAAAAATGAGTAGTTTGTTTTATACTAAAACAAAAATACAAAATTAATTTTAAAAAATTGAAAAATTAAGTTTTTATATTTTTGTTTTATTTATTTTTATACATTTTTGTATTTTTTTAGTTTGAAAAATCCTGAAACTTAATTATTATATTTACCCAACGTACAAGAAATATTCTTTGTTTTTTTCAGTGCTCATTTGATTGGTTATTAGTAGTTTTCAGGGAGGAGAAGCAGGTGGGTCAAGTTCTCACCTGAATTAGTGCGTCTGTCAGTTGAGGCCAGCTGTGATGTACGGTTGTATATTGGATATGCAAATGGAATATAGAACTTCACACATCAAAAAATCTGCGGAATTTATTTATTCAAAACTAACAGTGTATATGGAAATAAAGCTAAGGGAAATAACAGCTAAATAAAGAAGAAAAGTGAAAAGAAATAGGATAAGAAAGATTTACATTTCTTTGCTTTATATTTTTATTTTAACAATTCAAGTTCACGTAGAGTGATAAAAGAAACCTGTTGAAATGCAGATTCTTGTCATACAATATTTTATAATCTAATCGGAGTGAAGGTCTTTAACATATAATAAGTATACCTCCACGAAGACTTAGAACGAACTTTCGATTAAGCCGCACTTAAGTGCTTGCCTGTCTGGGGTAATTCCAGGAATTCATTTGCATCTTGAGTAACTAAACGTGATCCGAAACGAGTTTTTTATTGATATATACGTATGTAAAGGGAATCTTGAAGTCGCAAAATCACAAAATCCCGTTTCGCAACTGCATCAGATTCGCAGCTTATTTGTTTTTAGCTTTGTTTTTATTTTAATTAGCCCAAAAGCAAGTATTAGTTTCGGTTTTGCAGGTTTGCAGGTACCTGAAAAGTACGCGAAAAACATCTGGTTATTATGGCCACTGGTTACTGGGGGGGATTACGTGCCGGGAGTGTCTAATTGCCACTGGAATCGCAGGCGGGCATTAACACATTTGCATAAGGCCGATATCTTCCTTGAACTGGAACTGGAACTGGAATGAAGTGGCAAAGTTGTGGGTGGTTTTGGTGTTCTACCTGCTAATTGAAGCCACTGCAATCCATCATTCAGTTTTGCTATTCAAAAACTACCTTGTAATTATCAGCTAGAAATTCGTAGTGAACTGAGCTGATAAGCCGGTTGCAAAAAGTATATACAGAGAAAAAAATTCGTTATGAAATGGGGTAATTTTTACCGATATGATTAATGTCAAATTTTTGATTTAAACATGTCAAATACTATTTTAAAATACCAAATGTAGTATTCTTAGAACAAATATTGTAAAATAAGATTAGATCATATCAAAATGATATGAACAACTTGATCTTTAAAAAAATATCAATTTAACCTGCGCATATCAATCGGGTCTTTTGAAAATTTTTTTCTGTGCAGATAGTATATACTATATAGTATAGTTAACCCAGTTTGCCGGCGGCGGCGGGAAACTGGAGCGATCGGTTCACGCAACATTAGCCGGGGATCAGATCAATCGAGTATTAGATAATCCCCGCCGATGATGATGACATTGGCTCTATTGACTGCAACATTATGCTACAGGCCATTGACTAATCAGCAAATGCAACTGAAAGTGGATTTGGAACTGGAACTAAATCTGGTATTTCACTAGATCTGGTTCCATACGGTTTGCCAAACAAGTTGCCGGTCGCTCGGTTTGGCTTTTAATTTGGGATCTTTAGAAACGAATTTAATTTGATTATTTTGAAACACTTTAAAGTGGTTTACTTACCTATTAATATATAAAATCTAGCATTATATCACACATTTGGAGCACATTATCCAAAGGAAATTATTAAAGGTTTCTTTTATAAAAGTTTATAATTTCCGAAATGCAAAATATTTCTTATAATATAAGTGCAATTTAATGTAGTGTATAGCAAAAAATATTTGTAACATAGAACAGATTTGTTTGTTGTGGATGATTAACTAGGGAGAGATAATGATAATAAATTTGATTCAGAGATAGCTTAATGTATGTATTTATTATGGTAAACAATGATTGGAAAATCATTTATTTAAGAAAAATCTTTATATTATTATTGTTTAGATATTTTATTCCAATCTTTAAGACGGGTTTCCCTAAGATCTTAACAGCTAGTTTGAGCAATGTGTTAGCCAGCTTATTAAATGCCGAAGTACCCTGGGCCAAATTTTAGTTTCTGTTTATATTTCCACACATCTTAAAATTCTTTTGTCTCGCCTCTCGAGATTTTCCCACTTTGATTGAGGTACTCAGCCAAAAGTCATAAGTCAGAGTGTTCACATACCTCCACATGTATATATATATATATAGAGAGAGAGTGTACATACATATTCAATCGAGCTGGAGTTGATTGGCATCTTGGCAAGATCAGCGGGTGGCGTTCATCAAAAGTCACAGGCCGAGCTTTGCATACCAAACAAACGAAAAAGGTAAATAAGAAAAAAACAGAGAATAAACGCTCTTTTATTGCCTGGCAGTACGTCTATTTGATTTGTAACTGGTTTGGCGAAGTTCGACATTGTCCGGGTCATAAATCGCCTGCCGGGTAATGGATGCGGCTCATCTTTCATCCGCACTCGACTCAAATGGACAGTTGGGCGCCATAACGCCATAACGCCATTACGATCTCGAGCACCTTCACCTCGGCCACGTCAAGCTCCTGTTTGGGCCATAACTCTTTGGCCGATCTCCCAGTTTAACGAGGGCCTAAGCCTTGGTGGGGGCCACAAAGTACACAAAGATTTATGCCTCTAAAAAAATGCTAAGGAAACAAAATTAAAAGATCTCTTACTTAGATTTAGAGAAAAACTTTGTACTGTTACTTAAAAAAGGAAATTCGATCACCAATTGGCATTATTCAAAAGTTTTAAGGTTTATTCACTATTATTTATTTTTTATGATTTTTTATTTCATTTTTGAAATTTATAGGAAATTTATGGGAAATGATCTAGCTAGTTTTTGAAGAGCTGCGATGCGGAAGGATCGATCCCACTTTGTTTTTAAAATTGAATATAAAAACATTAAATATATTAAAATACCTTAGAATAAATTTCATGGCACATTTGTTTAAAACAAAGGAATTTCCCTATTTGTACTTAGTCTCTCTCCACTTGTGTTTACTGATTGACTGTCAATATGGCTGTTGTGCCTGGTTGTTTAGTGACTCACAGAGTTATTCGCTGAATAATTTAATTCAAATTACAAAAGCACGCTTTAAAATAATTGTCAACAAATGGCATTTATAAAGGTATTGGAGGGGGCTGCTAAGAGGAGCTTAACTCTTCACTTTGCCACCGGGAAGCATTTTTGCCGACAAGGCGAACCACTAAATAGCCTGAATTAGCAACGCGGCAAAGCGGCACAAAGGCGCTTAACAACAGGGGCGAACAGGGGTTAATTATGCTGGGGAAGCGATATCCGTAGAAATGCGATCCTATCTGCCCGAACAATTAACACCCGACTCTCTTCCGCCGCCAAATGGAGTGAAAATATCATTATAAATTAAGTCGTTCCTTAAACATGCATTTTTCCGCAATCTTTAAATGGTTACAAATTTTTTGTGTTGAACCATAAATGTATGGAACTTGGAATCTACTATGATATTATAGAAAATAATTCTAAGAACCCAAATATCACAGTAAATCAAAAAAAAAACGTCTTAACAGATTTATAAATCAACGTTTAGTGATAATGTTTTACTTTATTTCTTTAAATTAATTTTAATGTGTTCTCATTAATTTAAGACATTAAACTATAAATAAAAAATACACTGGTTGCTATTTAAAATTGTTAGAAACACTCTCTATTTGTCACCTTGACATTTAGCTTGAATACATTTATTCAGTTTGATTTCCCGTTTAACTGCTGATTTGCCTTTGGATCAGCGATGAAGAACAATGCAACAAATTGACAGTGTTTTTCATTTTCTCCGTGCAGACAAAGACAAAGATGCCCGAGTGATCGAGTTGGAACAGCGATCGGGAAAAGTGGGAAAAGTGAAAGGAAGCGGAAGCGGAGCAGGAGCAGGAGGAGAGGTCAGAGGTCGGAGAAGCGAGGATGAGGATGCACCTGAGTGGTCGCGAGGTGCGGGAGCTGTTGCGCAAGGACCTCCTAGTGCGATGGCGCCAGAAGGGCCTCAGCCTAATCCTGCTGGCCTGGCCGGTGGCCATATTCATGCTGCTCTACCTGATCCGCCTGAAGTACGGATCCGAGGAGGTCGACGCCTGCCAGTATCCCACCCGCTTGCTGCCCACCAAAAACCAGGTGGTGCCCGCCGCCTTCTCCTACATTTGCAGCATTGAGAACCGCTGCCAGTCGGCGCATCCCTACGAGGAGTACTCCCATTGGAAGGAGGCGCCGTAAGCTTAACTCTCGAGGCCTCCAAATAAATCTGGATAATAATATTATTCTTACAGCCTGCACTCCGTGATCGATGTGGTGAATGCCTTCGTGACCGACGAACGACTCCATAAGGCCGTCGTGGAGCTGGCCGAGAAGGCCAATTTTGTGTCGGCCATCACCACGCTGATCACCAGCGATCGTCTCGATATCATACGAAGTGAGTCCGTAGTTACAACCCATGCCTTATAATTAAACATCGAGTGCTAACCATAGAGTGCAATTAGTGGTATTTACCTCATAGCGCCAGCGACCCTGATCCTTTTTCCATTTCTGAGCTGATAACTTGACCTAATCAAGCATGATTTCAATGTAGCAAACCCCTATTCATATTTTTCTTTTTACTACAATTAATTTTGAATTTTTTAAAAGATATTATTAAAAAATCAGCTTAAGTTCCCAATGACAGATAATAAAGATAAAAAATATGGTCCTATATAATCCTATTAATACTAATTACTTTTCGTTTACAGGCAACATAAGTGAAATAATCTCTCTGGTGCCCGAAATCGAACGACGGATGAACTATAGCTTCGACATCAAGCATTTATTTTCGAGTATGTTACAAAGTGTTAACTTAAATGTGATCCCGGTAATCCAAATTCCCATTGATGCCTCTGGTAGATCGCGAGACCTTCGTGAAGCTGGGCGTCCTGCTGTGCGGCCATCCTTTCCCCAACACCGATACCATACCGCTGGTCAACGAGATCCTGGAGTCGGAGGACTTTAGCCAGACGAATGACGCCGAGCTCGATGCCATGCCGAGTGAGTTTAGCCTCTATAGAGAGGGCATCCCCTACTTTTAAATCCCAGAAACTGCATATTGCCAACCAATTGCTTTGCCTCCAGACCGTCGTCGTCGTCGATCCGAAAAACTCCCCACGGACTGGAGGCCAAGTGAGCATGATCAGAGATCTTTATATCATAAAAGCTTTTCTTGCCATTTCTAATTGTTTGGTATACCTGGCATAAATGGGTTAAAGTTATTCTAAGAGCTGTTTGCTTTAATGCTTTAATGATAAACCTACGATACAGTGTTATATAGTTTTAAGTGTTTAAATATATCAATATTTATTATAATGGAATAATAAATATACAAATATTATATCATCAAATCAAACAAATTAAAAGTTAATATTACATTATAATAAATATTGATGTATAGGGTGAGTGTTTTTATTTTTTTAAATATAACTATGCGTAGTTTAAAATATTTATTTCTTAGTTTATTACTTCCCTCGTGCCTAATACCTGTTCTAACCCCTAGCCAAATACTGCAAGCGCCTCTATCGTGACGTGACCTCCACGAACCAGGGCAAACTCACCTGGAACACCATCAAGCCGATCATCCAGGGTCGGATTTTGTATACCCCCGCCAATGTGATGACCGACAGCGTGGTGAAGTTTGTAGGTTGCTCCCTATCCTTGCTTGGATAACCTTTATAAGAAAGTAATAACATTTAATCTATTTTACCCCAGAGTAATGCCACCTTTGAGGAGCTGGACAGACTGAAGCAACTTTCCCGAGCGGCGGCCACCATACTCCACAAATTGCACACGAATGCCACCTTCCAGGAGGCCTTCGACAATCTGCTCAAGCTGGCCAAATCGCCGCTGGTCAAGAGTCTGGTCGGCGATGACTTCGATATTGGGGAAATCGAGCGGGTATTCCAGTATATTCGCACCAATCAGCTGATATACGACATCCTAACCACGGTGGCCGATCTGATGGACTGCGTGTCGGCGGATCGTTTCGAGGCGGTGGAAAGTGTGGAGGAGCTGCAGAAGAGGGCCTACGAACTGAATCAGAACAAACTTTTTCTGGCCGCCCTCAATCTGGAGGACGTGGGTCTGCGGCAGTCCTCCTATCGCCTGCACATGGACACGGATAATACGCAGCCCACTTTCGAGAACCGCAATCGATTCTGGTTCCCCGGACCCGCCGGCAGCATGGTCATCGATCTCAAGTACCATCGTGGCTTCGTTCAGCTCAAGCAGATGGTGGATCTGGGAATAATCAAGAGCAAACGAAATGAGACGGGTTTCCCCGCCACCGAGGATCCCCTGGAAGCTGGCCGCTCCCTGAGTGGTCTATTTAGTATCAAGCATACGGATGACGACGTCTCCGATGAGGACGACGATGATGATTTAGATCTTAGTCTAGAGGGAAGCGGTGCAGAAGGGGCCACCGAAAAGGTGTCGAATCAAGAATCTTCAACCAAACAGGAGCCTGTTGAGGTCACCACCGAAGAAGAGGTTGGGGTCACCACCGAACAGCCGGCGGTAAGTGGTGAACCCGATCTTCTGCTGCTCAACAATGAGGATGTTCTGAAGCGATCCAAGCGTCAGGGACTCTTCGATTTACTCGGAGGATTGGGAGGATCTGGAGATAAGAAAAAAAATAAATTCGAGGTGGACGATATGCAGTTCTACACCAAACAGTTTCCCTATCCCGCCTTTCTAAACGATGTGTAAGTGGAAAAATTTTAATTAATTAATTTATTTATTTTATATATTTTTCTATTTTTTTTTTTAGTTTTAAACGTGGCTTGTACTTGGCCCAAGGTGTCCAGGTGGCCTATCTACTAGGTCTGGTGGTCTTCGTAGCTCTTTGTGTGAGGGAACGGATTTGGATGCGGGAGAGCCGAAATAGCATGGTAAGCAGAAGATTTTGGAGAGAAAAGTAAGAGGCTTAAGGGATCAATATTAATATTTATATATATAAAAAAAAATAAACTTAAAAAGTTTTATTTAACCAATATAATGGATTTAATAAACCCAATAAATGGCAAAAATTTGTATACTGTAGCTTTTCTGGTTTTTGCCCAAGCTTTAGTTACTGTAAAAAAATAGGTGTCAGTTTTATATATAGAGTAGATAATTATTAAGGCAGAAAAACCCTTGTAATACGGTTACCACTTAATAATCCACAGCTGATGCGATCGATGGGCCTGAAGGCACATTCCGAACTGGTGGCCTGGGCTCTGATGAGTTTCCTGGAGCTCTGTGCCATCTTCGTGCTAATCAGTGGAGTCCTCTACAGTGGCGGCATTTTGGGCTACACCAACTGGTTCTTCATGATGTTCTACTGCCTGAGCTTTGGCATTTGTCTGATTTCGTTCTGGTGAGTAGTATATACATAGGTTTTATTATAAAATATAATAGATATAATATCTAAACCATTTTTCAGTTACATGTGCTCGAACTTCTTCAATTCGGCGAATATCGGAGCCGTGGCCTCGGCCCTTTTGTTTTTCATCAGCCTGTGTCCCTTCATTATTGTCCTGATGTTTGACGCCAAGTTGAGTGTCTTCGAGAGCTTCCTGGTGGACCTCTCGTTCACCACGGCCTTCGCCAAGGGCTGGGGTGAGCTGATGCGGATGGAGCTGCAGCAGGAGGGCCTGACCCTGGGCCACCTCGTCCAGGTGGGTCCGGCGAGGAGCGAGTGCGCCATGGCGCTTCTCATGTTCCTGCTCGACTTTCTCCTATATGCGGTAATCGGCCTGGCCTATCAGCGTTTCAAGAGGAGTAAGTCCCTGATATTTTTTTAAATATGTAAATTTTATATGATGATCTGTAAGATTTTATTAAATTTTTATAAATTTAGTGATGATCCATAATATGTTAAAATATATATATATATATTATAGGATGACTCCTAATGTTTTATAAAATATATATATATATTTAATGATGATCCTAATATTTTATTAAATATTTGTAAATATTATACCTAATATTTTTTTTTAATAACATATATATTTCTTTAGAATCCCTAAAATTTTATTAACTATTTATTATATTTTTTCCAGACAACTATAGCTTTGTCAAGGTCAGCCGGTCGCAGTTGGACGACAAACTGGGTGCCTCGCTGGCGAATGTGACCAAATTGTACGGCAGCAAGTGCGCCGTTTCCAACCTGAGCCTGGACTTTGCCCGCAACCAGGTGAGCTGTCTGCTGGGCCGGAATGGAGCCGGGAAGAGCACGCTGATCAAGCTGCTGACCGGCCAAATCCGCCAGACCAGCGGCAAAGTGCTCCTGGCCGGGGAGCACCAGGTGGGCGTCTGTTGGCAGGATAACATACTCATACCCACGCTGACGGCCCGCGAGCACCTGCATCTGTATGCCAGGATCAAGATGCAGCCGGGTGAGAGCAGCGGCGGTGAGGAGGAGATCCAATCGGAGGTGGAACGCACCCTGCAGAGCCTGAACTTTGGCCAGCACGAGTCGTATCCCTCGTGGCAGCTCTCGGGGGGCTACAGACGACGCCTCTGCGTGGCCATCGCCTTCATCGCCTCGCCCAGCGTCGTCATCCTGGATGAGCCCTGCAACGGGGTGGATGCCAAGGCCAGGAAGGACATCTGGCAGCTGATCGAGCGACTGCGTCAGGGAAGGGCCGTCATCTTTGCCACCCACTTCCTGGACGAGGCCAAGTACCTCAGCGATTCGCTGGTGATAATGAGGAATGTAAGTGGAAGATAAGAAAAATAATTAATTTTAAATATATTTTAGGGAATGGAAAAATTTAACTTAATGTCTGCATGTTTAATTTTAAAGTGTTGTACCTATAACATATTTAAATTTCGATTTACTTTTTATCCATTGCGGATTTTATAAACTTTAACATCTTTATTAATATAAATACTTTAAGCTTTGGTTTAATTACATAAAATATCTAATATTTTCTACAATGATTTCAATAATTTGAATTCAATAATAATAAACACATATTTATATATATTAAAAGTTATGCAGATATTAATTTGCATTTTTGAAAATTTGTTTCTGTAAAAATTATAAAATTATAAAATGACAAACTAATATTTCGCAAATAATATATTTGTCGCATTGCTTATAATATGACAAAATATGAAAATTATATTTAACATATCGTATATTTTAAATAATTTGATTATAATATAAATTTTAAATCTATTGATCTGATAAAATATTTAAATAATATTTAACAAATCGGTTATAGGTATATTTTAAAATGTTCTACTCTGTTTAAGAGCAAAGAAAATATTTCCTATATCTGTATTCTATACCTACTCTTCAAATACCTTTTCAGGGTCGCATTATTGCCCAGCACAGCCGGGATTCCCTGCAGCGTCTGTGCACCTCGAACTATAGCATTCGAATGCGATGTGCCGACGCGACGGAAGTGACCTACATTGTCCAGAAGGCCCAGCAGCTGCTGCCCCGGAGTCAGGTGATCCACTCGGGAGCCTCGGATCATCCGCATAATTTGACCATCAGTGCCAGTTATTCGGAGCACTTGACGCCGGGAGCCGTGGAGTTTTTGGAACTCCTGCAGTCGCAGGAGTCTACTTCCGGCATCAGCGACGTGGAGCTGACGAGTAGCTCCAGTTTGGAGCAGGAGTTCGAGCAGTTGAACAGGAATCCCGAGGAGACTGCAACTGCTCCGCGACGAGCTAACGGCGGTGGTGGAGTGGTGGCCGGACCAGCGATGATCTCGGAGGATCCACCGACGCCCTGCCAGCAATTTGGACTCCTGATGGGCAAGCGATTGAGGCATCTGTCCAGGAATTACCGACTCCTGCTCTATGTCCTCCTGCTGCCCGCTTTGTTCGAGCTGTGCGCCATGTGGTTCGTTAGCTATCGACTGGAGGACGACTTCGACACGGTGCTGCCCCTGAGTCGTGAGCTGTACCCCAAGTCAGCTCAGTTCTTGTCGCAGCAGCAGGCCACCAGTTTCTCGGAGAAGCTGTATCCTGGGCTAAGGACCTCCTGTGATCAACTGGGCGGGGAATGCAGGGAGTTTACCAACTCCGAAGAGGCCTACGAATGGGTGCTCAGTTCCTGGGATGAGTATCGCGAGCGGCGCTATGGAGGCTATGGATTAAACGCCTCGGGTGCCACCGTTTGGTATAATAACAAGGGCTACCACTCGATGTTGGCCTGGCTGAACGATCTCAACTCGGAGCTACTGCGAACGACCCTCAACGACTCGGAGTCGAGCATCCTGACCTTGAACGAACCCTGGAAACTCGGCTATGCCGAACTGAGCACCAGCTCGATCCTCCGCCAGGCTGGCGATGGATCCATGGTCTTCATCCTGCTGATAGCCTTCGGTTTGGTGGTGGCCGCCGGTTCGGTTTACCTGGTCAACGAGCGGGTCAACGGGGAGAAGCTGCAGCAGCGGCTGTGCGGCGTGAGTGCCGTCACCTACTGGCTGGTGGCCTTCGTCTGGGACTATCTGGTCATGGTCCTGGGACTGATCGTCTGCCTGGCCGTCATCCTCATGTTCGGAATGCCCGTCTTCGTGGACCGCCAGCAGTTGGTGGGCATCATTGGACTGTCGCTGGCCTTTAGGTGAGTTTTGCAATGGGAAACTTAATAACCGGAACTAACTATGCTCACAACTTTTCGTAACATTACATTTTTTATACGGGGTTATATCACGATTTGTTGCAATTGGTTATTATATCTTGATATATTTATTTTTGGTTAAAATTCGATTTTTTTAAAATAGATTTTTTGCTGTAACTTGGACAAAAATGGTCCCAAAACAGAAAGGCAAACTGTTTTGAGCAGCTTACAACCTTACAATTAATATCAGTGCACTTTCCGACTGATTTCAGAAAATTTAATTTTGATCCAATTTTTGCATTTTTGATAAGGGGTCATAATCATAATTTTTGCAAAAAATGGACAAAACTAAAAATTTCCAGGTTGAAATGCCAATCGATAGGGGATTTTATTACGAGCTCAACGAGGTATGACATTGCATATTTGGATCATTATTATTAATACTTTAGCCAAAATACGGTTTTTCTTGGGGTGGAAAATCAAAATCTTGATTTTTAGTAAAAACTAGTTTTTTAACAGATCTTTTGCTGTAACTTGGATAAAAATGGTCCCAAATCAAAAATGCGCAATGTTTTTAGCAGCTAACAACCTATTTATTAATAATTCAAAGTTGCTATTGATACCAATAGTTTACCCCAAAAGTGCCGTATAGTTCTATTTTTTCCAATAAATAATACATCTATTTTAATATCTCAATTATTCCATAGCTTCGCCTGTGTTCCCGCTGTCCATGTGGCCGAGAAGATCTTCAGCGACTCTAGCATTGCCATTGTAACGATCTTCTGCGCCAACCTCATCATCCCACTGGTCACCATGGGCATAGTGCTCATCCTGGGCGTGGTGGGCGATGGTCCGGCGTGGGATAGTTGGCGCCACGCCCTCAACCAGGCCTTCCTCGTATTCCCGATTCACGCTCTGGGCGATGGCTTCCTGGAGCTGTGCAAGAACTATATGGTGGCCCTGGTATTCCGGCGCTACGACATCGATTCGTACAAGCATCCACTGGCCAGTGACCTGCTCGGGCGCCACTTCACCGCCCTTCTGCTGGTGGGCGTGGCCGGGCTCATACTCAACGTCCTCATCGAATGGCATCTGCTGCGGAAGGTGTGGCAGCGCGTGGAGCGAATGCTGGACTGCACCTATCGCCGCGAGCTGGACAAGATGGGCCAGCTGAAGCTGGTGAATATCCAGAGCATCTTCAAGAGCTGCGTTGCTGCTGGGGAGGCGGTGCGGGCGGAGAACCTCTGGCTGGCCTACCGCCGCGGTCGCTATGCGGTGCGCCAGGTGCACTTCGGTGTCCAGCGGGGCGAGTGCTTCGGGCTGCTGGGCAAGAACGGGGCCGGCAAGTCCACCATCTTCAAGCTGCTCACCGGGCAACTGCAGCCCAACGTGGGACACATCTACTTCGAGCAGGTGCGTCTTAAAGATTTATAATTGTTATTTATTTTACTTTATTCTTTTACCAAAAATGTTATCTGATTTTGTCATTATTTCATCTGATTTATTTAAATTATGTCAGCATTAGAGTCATTAGATTCAGTCCGTAGTTGCAAGTTTGTTAATTCATAAAAATAAAGTATGTGTCTTGAAAATATTTATTTAATATTATTGTTTTTGTTTTAAAATTATCTTATTTTTTTGTACACTTTTAAAAGGTTTAACTTTGTGTTTTCTTAAGAATTTACTCATTTTTAAAGTTACCTTTCACAAAATATATATAAAAAATAATATAATAATAAATAAATAGAAAGCAATTTAATTAAACAATTTTAAAATTGCTTTGCTTAAAGTTAAAATTTAAATTTCGAAACCTTACCTTATTTTCCAACCAGAATTTAATTCTCTGTAATATGTTACTTCAACGCAGTGTTGTCTTTGATTTATTTAAAGTAATAATTTATCTAAATGTATTCAAATCTCGTTTTCATTTTAAGAATCATTGCCGGGTTTAAGCTAGTTAAAAGTATAGCTTTTACATTTTGACCAAATATTTGTTCTGTACTTACTTTCCATGATATCAATGTAAATTAATAATTACCAACTCGATTTTATATATATAAATAAATATTTTAATTATAAATATAATTTTTTTTTAATATTAAAATTATTTAATAATTATATTTTGTCTTTTCTCCCAGCCCGGTGTGTCGTACTGCCCGCAGAGCAATCCTCTGGACCCGCTGCTCACCGCGAGCGAGTGCATCCGGTTCTACGGCCGCCTGCGCGGCATTCGCGACCTGGAGCAGTTCCTCGATCGCGTGCTGGACACCTACGAGCTGCGTCCCTACAAGGACATCCAGGTGCGGAATCTGAGTGGCGGCAACAGGCGCAAGCTAACGGTGGCCGTCACCTGTTGCGGCTGCGCGCCCACCGTTCTCATGGACGAGCCGACCAGCGACATGGATCCGGTGACCCGGGATCTGGTCTACGCGACCATTGAGCAGCTGCTCCTAGCCCGTCGGGCTGTGGTGCTCACCTCGCACTCGGTGTCGGAGATCGAGCACCTGTGCCAACGGGTGGCGGTGCTGAGGGCGGGCCAGGTGATCGCCAGTGACACCCCAGAGCGACTGAAGGCGGAGCACGGTGGCTACTATGCCGTCACCTGCTTCTGTGGCCCCGCCCAACAGGCCGTCCTCTCGAGAAGTCTGAGCTCCCGCCTGCCAGGTGCGCGGGATCTGCAGCATTATGCGCACAGTTTGAGGTTCCTCGTGAGGATCCGATCGCCGGGAAGCCCAAACTCCGATGCCCCACTCCTCTCCGAGCTCTTTGCCATCCTGCGAGATATTTGCGTGGACGTGGCTCGCTTTTCGCTGAGTCGCTGTCGTTTCGAGACGGTTTTCGAGCGAATCCTCGACAACTGCGAGTCGGCGAATGGCACCAATGGCATCCACAAGGATCACCAGCCGCAGCAGGATGCTAGAAAGGATCTGCCCAGCAAGTCGGCTGCTGTGGGTGGATCCCTGGAAACCGGCTATATTCACTGTGGCTACGAGGAGACGAGAACCTAAAGGCCGCACTCTCATTTTAAGACCAAAAAGAACCAAATTCAAATCCCCAATAGTTTTTTTTTGTTAAGTAATAATGGCTTTTATGTGTGACTTTTCAAAAGTTTAAATTACGTCAATTATAAAATAAATTTGTGTATAAAAATGATAGCAGAATTTGCGCTTTAAAAATATTTGAAAAATCTGCTTTATTAATATTATTTTGAATTATAATTATTTTTTAAAATAATATTGACAATTATTATCACTTAAAATATTCACATACTTAAATTTGACAAAATGACAAAAAAAAAATTTTATAGGGCTTCACTTTATGGTTTTTGAAAAATAATTAAATAACAGTGAATTTCTTATAAAAGCTTGGAAAAAATATCCAACAAAAATCTGTAAATTTGTATCTTTTTTTCTAATTTTTTTGTATAATAATGTAATAGGTAGACCAGTTTTTTGTGATAAGATGTGATAAGTTTCTGCCCACGTGGCAATAATATTCACTTAATTCCGGGTGTTCTGTTTAGCCATTAAGATCCTTTTCCCTTGCCCCAAAAATATTATACCCCTAGAGCTTTAATATTAATAAATATGTACTGTACATTTAGATTTAAATAGGTACGTGTATCTGATGTATATTAAGCGGAATCCTTATAGGATCTGTCTGAAGTTTTGTATTGCAATTTGATAACTAATAAAGTGAACGATGTATATACATTTAAATGTGTTAAATTTTTGAGTTAATATTAGAGCAAAAAGAATTACTTTTAAAGTTAAATTTTTTAATTCCAACAGTGAATATTTAAGAATTTTAACCCATAATGCGCATGGATTATGCTGGCGACCAAAATGAAATCAAAAGCCAAATTCGCTAGGTAAATAATGTGCTCAAATGCGGTTAAAGCTGCATAATGCCAGTGAATCGGCTTATCAGCCCGATGCAATTATTAAATTATCGGCGAATGCGGCAATCTTTCGGGAAATCGGGCGAAAAGGGGAAAATTGGAACCCCAAACGAACCCCGTATTTAATTAAGCTGTTTGAAAATGGCCGCGGAAGTGAGCAGCAAAAAAAGAGTGCAGTTCTTGCAGTTCAAAAGCCAAAAAGTAATTAAACCAAAATGGTGTAACATTAACCGAAAAGTGCAAAATAAAAAGAAAAAACCCCCCTCTCGACATTCCCGTTATCAGCGTTTGGCATTTGAATAGACGCTTTTTGAAGTATTTTTTCCGCTAGAGCTGGGAAAAATTCGTTGGCCAAAGCGCTTTTATAATTTGGCCTTCCTTTTTCCCCTCGTTTGCCTTTGCTGGTCAGTTTAAACAAAAAACAGAACAGAAGGTGGTTTTTTCTTTTTTTTTGGGCGAAAGGATTAAATTAAATTCCATTTGGTTTGTGCTGCAAACTTAACGAACGCAGGTAAAAATTAAATCAGCGAAAAATCAACATAATTAAAAGCGTTCGTTGTGCGTGTGTTTCCCCTTTTCATTTGTACATTTTCTCGTTTTCCCATTTTCACGTTTCGAAAAGCTGAAAACGAAGCGATGCATAACCAAATTAAAAATGCATGTGTACGAACTTTTATTGTTTTTTGGGATTTTCGCCTTTCGCCAAAGACAACGAAAATATATAAATTTGCAAATCTAGCCAGATATTATATACATATATATAAATCATCATTATCCTGCATAATTCATGCCCTCTCATTAAATCTTTTTTTTTTTGTGCCCTGTTCATAATTATTCAATTATGCGTTTATTGAGTTCGGAGTGGCGTAAAAAAATCAAACCAATTTAATTGCGGCCCTAATGAAAATGCTAATAAATTAATATGAAATTATTTGTTTGTCCTTCCGCTTTAATTATGCACAGACATCGGATATGCAAATTTTATGACTGAAATAAAAATTAAATGGAGACGTTTTAAAAGTCGAATTTCATTTGTTTTAATTCTTTGAATTTGGTTACAGTATAATTTTAAAATATTAGTTTATTTTCTATTTATTTTTGTTTTTGTATTTTCTATTTATAACAAATATATACAAATTTTACAATTTTATTTTTTAAATATTTGTATTAATGATATTAATTTCTTAACATCCCCATATTAGCCCCTTCTTTGCCTTTCCTAATCACTAAAAAATCGATTTTCGGCCCGAAAACTGTTGCGTTGGCTGTTCAAACATATTTTGCCAACTAATCAAATCAGTTTCGGGGCCGGGGCCCATTCAAAGTTCGATGATTAATACGACATGCCCCCCTTTTCGGGCTCTCTGTCCTTGGCCTTGTTGCCAATTTAAGGCTGATTACAATTCATCAAGCGACGAATGGGGGTCGAAATGCGAGGCCTAAACAAACGAACTGGCCGCAACAAAGGGCTAAATGCCCTCAACACCAATTTGTTTACATGCCAACCAAACACCAAGTCCCACCCCCTTTTTGGGGTCCTTTTCGTCCTGATGGCGTTATTTATTGTTATCAGACACTCGAGCACATAAAACATTTTATCACTTGGCCCAAACAAAAACAGGGTGCAAAAAAAGGGGAAAAGGTGGCGAGAGCCAAAGAGGATAGCAGCAGAAAAAAAAGAAAATGATTATGCCTGGGAATAGGCCAGGCCAAAAGGGGCGGGATAGGGATCGGGGGTTCAGGGGGCGTGGCAGGTGGAGCCTCCGAAACTTCATCACTCAATGCGCCCCGATGCGAGTGTTAAATGCTGGACCGGAAACGGAAATAACGCGTCGTTGGCCCGACCTCCGTCCTCTGTACACCGCCCACCGCCCCTTGACTCCGGCCCAGCCACATCCTTCACCTCATCCGGTCGCTCTATCTATCTTTAAGTAATTTGTGCGCTGTCCACCACTGTTTTCTGCACTCTAAAAAATGTTGTAGCCTCAAAATCACATAGACATATTAAATAATATTTATTTTTTATTGTTTTAACCATTTAATAATATTTTTCTTGATCTAAATATTTAATTGCCTTAAGTTCAAGTCTTATTATATTTTATCCTTTAAAATTTTGTATTATTATTATACACCCTACTAAATATTTAATTGTCGCAAAAACACATCCAAAGTTTTTAGTTTTATTTACAATAAAATATTTAATAGTCTTAGGAATTATAATCTTATTTTATAATTATTTCAAAAAATACAAATTATATAAGGTTTATTTTCTCAATAAAGGATTTTATTTTTTCAACTCAATTTTGTTTAACTAAATCTTAAATGTTTCTAAATAAGTAAGTCAGCTTATTAATTAAAAAAGAAAAATTTAAAATAAATCATAATTTGATTATATTTTTAGTTACCCCTTAAAGGGGGTGGGGTTTTCCTCAGTGCAGCCTCAGCTAGCCGGAAACGCAGACTGGATGGGAAAGCGCAAATAAAGCGATAAACGAAAAAGCAACGGAAAAATCACATTTATGTCTAATAGTTTTTTTTGCGTCCCGGACTCACTTAGCCATGATTAATTAAGCCTGCAGCGCACGCCTAATGGCCATGGACCCGGGAACAGGAACGGGAGCATTACGTCCTTATCCCAATCCTTATCCCGTCTATTTCCATTTTTTCTGACCATCCCGTTCGGGCCATTGACCTTGGCAGCGATGGCATTCGGACTAATTGGTAATGGGGCTAAGGAGCGATGGAACTGGATTTCTGGATTTATGAAAAACGGCAAATGGAAAACGGAAAATTAAAATGCTGGCCTGTGGGCGGGGGATGTAGGCGGGTCAAGGTCGACCAAGGCGGTCGGTCGGCTGACAAGGGTTAATGAGTCTGGGGACGTCGCGAATGGGGTCAAAGATGATTGCACATTTTTCAGCACTGATTGCAAAATATTTAAATTGATTTCTCCCTCGATAATTGCGACAGTTCTTGATTTTTGTAATCATATTTTACAAGCAAAATGATTTTTAGAACACATTTAATGACCCTAAATCGCAGCATTTCCCATATAAATTTAAGCAAAATCAAGGTTGTTATTAATTTAAATAAGAATTTAAATGAGGAAAATAAAAATGATACTAAATGTATTATTATCTATTAACTTCATATACTCATACCTTAAAAAATAAAATTCAATTAGTGGTTTTAATTACATTGGCTAAACAAATAGCCTAATGTGACATTTTTAATTAGACCAATTTATGAATTCTTTTTCAGGCGATAGCAGAGATTTACAACCAACCGAAAAAAAAACAATTATTGTGACAAATTTTGATTTAATGCAAGGGATTTAATTGGCAGGTACAAATGGCTAAAATCTATAGGAAAATAATGAACACAAGTATTATGCAACTATTTTAGTTTGTACAGAGAATAAATAAACATTTTTTTGGGGCGTGGGTTAATTGCTGCTTACTTGCTTTGGGGCAAGCTGCACAAATAACTCAATTAGAGAGCTGCCTGAATTTTCCCCTGACCAATGGGGCATTTTCATTTTCACCTGGCGCTAACTTCGTTTCTTCGATCCCAAACTTTTCGCGTTGATGAAGAAGTGCAGTTTCAAGGTGCGAGGAACAGCGGCAGGACATGAAAAGGACACAAGGAGCGAGAAGGAAGGCGAACGGAGCCAGGAGCAAACAACTAACAAAAAGCAAACTCAACGCCGGGAAAAACCCTAGGGAAATTCGTAGCCAGCCAACCCTCCTGATTTTCACTTCAACTGCAGTTTTGCAAATAAATAAAAGCATAAAAGCGCGGAACTTGGCCCAAAAAATAGCGTGAAAATGTAAGCGAAAAACAAAGTTAATTGTCGGAAGCCCCCTGCTATTCCCCATCCCAGTTTTCCCCATTTTCCAGCGCACAGACACAAGTGCATAAATAATGAAATCTGTCTGCAGCTCTCAGCGATCTCGAATTAGTCGCAAGTGGCAGACTAAATGGCAATCATTCAGCGGGCGACTTTCAACTGGCAAACAAACTGCAACTGGAAAGTGGAAAGTGGGAAACGCAAAGTGGGAAGTGGAAACTCCGGACCCCTTTTTCCCCGAAAACAGGCATCCTTCGAAAGTCTAAAAAAGTTTCGTCACGGAAATCTCAGGCCGAGTTGGGTGTAACAATGGAAATATTGGTCCAAATATGGATTGTCATACCTTTCTGAACTCGTTATTAAATTTCCAGTCGATTGGCACCTGTACATTTTATTTTTGACAATTTTTC